TAGGAAAAATGTTCGACAGTATGTGTCATGCTTCTACAAGAACATCAGGCTAGTTTATTGATTAAAAATAATCTTTCTAATTCGATCGTCGGTACTTGTATTGCATCGGAACATCTGAATTTGTTTATAACGTTTCTTCAACAATCAATGGATATCGATTTAAGTACAATGCATAAGGTACGTGTGGAGGAACCAGATACAAATGAAGAGGAACAGAGTTCTTCACTCGGAACCGTTGCCAAACGAGTAACCCATCGAGAACGAAAATCAAAAGAGAATTCTTCAATTTGGAAATGGTATTACAGTCAAATTGACAAGAATGAAGAATACAAATCCTATTCATTGATGTACTTAATCATCCAAAGTGATTGGCAAGGTGCATTATCATTAGTTCTAAACGATATCTCTCGTTTTCACTTAACATACATCCAAATCATTGAAACCGCAATAGCGAATGACAAATTGAATCTTGTTCTTCGTCTTCTCTTACGTTTGAAGAATGAAACTTACTCTCCCGAATTGAATTCATCGAAACAAAATCTCTTTCATTTGATTGCGAACACAAAACCATCCAATGAGTATCTTCTCAAACAAATTCTCGCTGCGCTCATTGAATACAAATTCAATTGGAACACACCGGATATCCATGGCTCGTATCCGTTACATTACGCATGTGTTCAACAAAATTTTATCGTTTTGAATTGTTTACGTGAACATTTTCCACGTGCTTTTAACCTTCATCAAACCGATGGATTTAATAATACAGCAAGTGGATTGTTATTCTGGTCAATAGGAGAAAAAACAACATTGGCAAAAGATGAACTTCGAGGATTGATTAAATCCGAGAAACAATTGGATTGTTTATGTAATTATGATAATGAAATCGCAAGAAATCCTTTGTCGTTCGGACATGTGTCTTCAGAAAACAACAAATCGGCATATCCACCGATAAGAACAAGCCAAATACGAACCTCACCACTGATTCATGCCGTTGTTCATAATAATTTTGAACTAGTCAAATTTTTGTTAGAATCGAATGCGGACGTGAACTTCACAGATGAAGATAAACAAACACCATTGATGCACGCTGTTCGAAAGGTAAATACGATTGATTATTCGACGAATTTACGAAATTTCATGTGCTTTGCTTTAGAATGATATCGACCTAGTGAAACTTCTTTTGAATAAAACCCACTCAATCGAAACTACCGAGTCATCTAACAAACGAGCTGTTAGAGCGCCTCGAAGATCATTTGCTCCAAAGCACAGACGACTTAACTTCTATTTTGGTGCGAAGATACATCGTGCGGCAAATCATTCGGATAAAGCGTCAGCGAATAAAAGATCCAGAGAATTTCAAATGACATCAAAAATTGATTTAAACGCTCTCGATAGAAATGGTCGCAGTTGCATTCATCATCTAATTCAACCGTTCATCCATGGTTCCTATCGAAATAACTTGGAAATTCTTCATTTACTTCATTCCTGCGGCGCTACGTTAACCATCGCAGATCGTTCAGGTCTCACCCCATTACAATACAGTACACAAAATCATTACCAACATTTATACGAAGAGTTATCGAAACTAGTTTACAATAAACCAGCCTCTATCCGATCGTTAGCAAACACATTTACAGTCGTTGATCCGAACAAAAATCTTTTCGGTGACAAGCCCGACTTTTACCGTGATGCTCAAAAATTAATCGACGATTACATTTCCATACATACCGCGAAAACACATAATGCTGCCTATCAAGTCGATCGTGCGTCGGGAATGAGCTTAATTGGTACAGTTCTCATAGATGCCGATAAAAACGAACCATACGATGTTCGTCTGACAAAAATCGATGTTAATTACGGTCGATACGGTCTGTACAATTTCTACCGTATGCAAATCATCGTACACAAGAGTAAATCGAATTTGTATTTCTTGTTTACACATTGGGGACGAATCGGTGATGCAGAAGGTCAACATCAACTGACGCCATTTTCCACCTTGGATGAATGTCGAAAGGAATTTTTGAAAGTGTTCCGAGAAAAGACCGGCAATGCATGGAAGGATACGGACCAGTTTGTACCGAAAGCAAAGAAATATACCTTGGTGAAATTGAGCGATCGAGAAATAAAGAAACATTCGACTGTCCCAATTGATTTTCATCGTTTACAAGCAGAAAATCAACATCCACCAACGAAAATTCAATCATCTGCGCACGAAACGCTAATGCGAACATTGATCAGCCGCGAAGCAATGCGAACTAATCTTCACAAAACTCAACTCGATGTAGAATGGATGCCTGTTTCACAATTGAAGCGTGAAACACTGGAAAGAGCACGAGATTTACTAATCAAAATCAAGGAAAAACTCGATGAACAGGAGAAACTCAACAAAGATAGTCCAACTAACAAAACAGCCGATCAGAAACAGGAATTACAACAGATTCTCGAAGCAATCTATCAATATACAAATGAATACTATACATTAGTTCCTTTAAATGGTTACTCCGATGAAAAATTACCCATTCTTAATGACGAATCGCAATTAAAACAACAAGAAAAAATGCTCGATGATCTGTTCGATCTAGAATTATCCTATAAGATTCTTTTAGGAGCACAAGCGAATTTGAAATCGATCTCTCCGTTAGATTATCTGTACAAATCGATAAACTGTCAATTCGAAGCGATGAATCAAAACGATCAAGATTCACAGTTGATTTTGAGATATATTTGGGCGAGTTCACCACAAATCGACGTCGAACAGATTTTCAAAATTGCCCGACCGAAAGAGGATGAGCGATTGAGAAAACGGAACGTTAACAATCACTTTTTACTATGGCATGGAACCAATATTTGCAATTTAATCAGCATACTCTCGCGAGGTAATTTCAGCGATGTGGAATTGCGTGTAAATCACACTCTCTGTTTAGGCCTTCTTGTTGGACCATTGGTTGCAACGGCAACTGGAAGTTTATTCGGAACGGTAAGAGAGAGAAGAATTTTGAAAACAAGAATGAGTTGTGATGAATTGAATGTGCTTTGTAGGGAATATATACAGCAGATGTGTTTGCGAAAAGTCTTGGCTATTGTTCGGGTGTTAAGGACAACGATCAAGAACGATGCTTTATGCTCCTATGTGAAGTTGCGTTAGGAAATATGAAGGAAGTTGGTATACAGAAAATTCAAAGCAATAATGATGATGAAGATGAAAATGAGGAAGAGGAAGAAGAGGAAGAGGAAGAACAAGAAGAAGAAGAAGAAGAAGAAGACGATGTTAATGATGCTAAATTAGATCTAAAAAAATATCAAAGTCGAAAAGGTGTCGGTCGAAATACACCCGATCCTAAGCATACAATTGTTCGTGATGATGGTACGTGCAAAAGTTTCCTTTCCTTTCTGCGAATCATATTTGTTTGCGTCATCTTAGGTGTACAAATCCCACTTGGGCGATTGATTCCAAACAAGCAAGCGTCACAAGGTTACTACGGTCTCAATTACAATGAGTATATTGTTTATGATGAAGCCCAAGTTGCTCTTCGATACCTTGTTCAATTTCGCCGCTAGAAATTTTCGAGGATTTTAACCAAGAATACTCTTTTTATTTAGCAGAAAAATATAATAAATATGAACTTATATCAGACATGTGTTTAGCTTTCCAGATTATCAAATATTGCATCAAAAGAACTATCATCGAAGTCGAATTTAGGCATGGTTTCTGATGTATCTATTTTACTATTTGCATGTCGAAATTGGCCTGCGGATGTGACTAGACTTTGCCAATTGTACGTTTGTTTCGTTGAAGTTAAGTCAGGAAGGTTATTGTCATTTGGATTGTTTGGATGAGAATCTGTGTCTTCGTCGTCAGGTTTTTTTTCGTCCCAAGCTGACCAAGAGATAGATGGAAATTGTTTGATAGGCGAGAGTTTACTTGAAAGAAAAACAATGATTCTTTATCGTTGAGTAAAGATTCAATCGATGTCTTACGTTTCTTGAGGTCGAGGATTGTTCAATAAGCGAGACATAAGAGAGTCATTTATTAATCCCGGTTGAATCTGTGGATTTGGTAAAGGTATTGATGGTTCGATTGGTCTCTTAGATGGTATAGGTTCACGTTTTTGAAATGTCGGTGGGATAAAATGGGATGATTTCGATATTTTTGTTATATAATTTTCATGGTTTTCATTGTCATCATCATAAGCACTGCGTTTCATGGCTGTGGTCATTCCCGCATATCCCCATTGATTTGGATTATGTCGTTCTAATGAGGACATAGTAGTAGGAAGAGGAGGAGGTGGTTCAGGCTTCGGTACTAAACGCGGCGGAACGAATCCCTAAATTGATCCAGTAAATGAAAGATTTTTTCACGAACTTTCGAATACTTACTGCTGACTTTGGTCTGTTTTTCGTCGTTGGATCGTTGACAGCATAACTCGGTCGAGGGCATGGCTGATCATTAAGATTGCTCTCTTCAACACTGATAAGATACCGATCAGTTTCGAATTCTCTTCCCGGTTGAATCTTTCGTCCAGAAGAAAAAAGATAACGGGAGTCACAATTCGACACTACTTACATCGTCAATACTTGAATAAAACACCACATCAATTTCATGTTTACCCGCCGATATCAACCGAGCCTAAAATATCTCATTCAACCACCAACCCAACACATTTCTAGTCATACCGAGTTCAAAGTCGGACGTGGAACTAAATATCCATCTAACCATAGTTTCACTTTCTTCGTCTTCTGTTCTGTGTATAAAACCTAATAACTTTCATCGCAATTCATCTCTTCAAAAACCGTTTTCATTACGATACTTACCGGTATCTGATTAGTCATTGTTTCTATCGAAACGAAATCTAAAGTAGTACAGGTAACAAATGTTTTTCTTATAAAAAGATTCTGATTTATAGATTAAAACAAAAAAAGTATTGCTTTACAAAATAAACAATATCAAGCAAACCCAGAGATATTAACAAAAAAAAAATTTATAAGAATTCGATTGCACATCAACGCGAATGTCCATCATTATCTTGGGCAAGATCAAATTCAGTCCAAATGGGACAATGATCACTGACTAAACCACCCCAGGTCCAACCAGCAGGTATCCACATACTTGTTAAATTCTCTCGAATTACACCCGATTTATCTTAAAAGACAAAAAGTTGTTTCTGGAAATTTATTATCGACGAACTTTACTTGTACTCAATGCTTTGACTTCAGTGGAAAGCCAAATGTTATCTGCACATGTTGAACCTTGTGGTGTTTTCAAACTGATGTTTGTATTCTGTTGAATAACATACGAATAGTTTCGTTGGACTAATGCAGCAAATTCCGATGCAGTTGGTGCGAGATTAAAGTCACCAAAAATGATTGTATGTTTTTGTTCTAAATAGGAAAGATTTGATGGTTGTTTTAGTAGATTGACAACTTACCAATAGTATCACTCATCGCTTCCGCTAAAATCGACAACGATAAAGCTTCATCTTTCGTTCGTTCGTTTTCGTTTTCATCCAGTCGTCGTGCTTTCAAATGGACATTAACAAAAACAAATTCATATTTGTCATAGATACGAAAGATAACAATAAAAGGTAAACGTGTAAAATAATTCTTTATTGGTAATAATGATGATTTTCTCAATTCAATACCAATTGATTCATCATAGATAAAACCGAGATATTCACTACTCTAAACAATGCAAAACACAATTGTTTTTGCGCTACTTTTCATAGGTTAGTCTTACTTGGAACATTCGGCCAGAGACATCACTAACTGTGTATTTCCATTGACCATTATGACGATGTGGCCAATCTTTAATCAACGGTATCGTTGGATTATTCAATTCTTCAACTATATATCCGAGTGCTTCCCGATTTCCTATTTCTTGGATACCAATAACTGAAAAACTGAGAAGGAAAATCGTTGACGAGAGAGAAAGGATATTCGTGTTTTTACTTATGCTCGAGTATAGTTCGACAAATAACTTCTCGTACACCTGGATTTTGCACTTTTTCATTAGTTAATTGTTGTAAATTCCAAGAAGCAAAACGCAAAATTGTTTGTTTACTTTCATAGACTGACGAAGGTCGTTGAGGATTTAATGTAAGAAGTATTGTTTGTAACTCCGGTGGTAAAGTTTCTAATAACAATGATGCCATAGAAAGTGAATCAGACGTTGTATTATTATTTCTGTTCAATGATGGATAGAGATTATGAACCGATGGATCGAGTATTGAGGATTCACTGACTGATGTTGGTAAGCGTCGATATTCGACGGTAACATAAGCACGAATACTTGCTAGAATGACATAGTCAATTCCTTTGATGTTTAGTAAGTCTTCGATGAAACGAAATGGACCTTTTCGTTCACGTCGTTGGAGAATTCGCTTGATCAGAATTGGTGTTAGACCAGGAATAGTCAATAATTGGTTGTAGGTAGCTGTGTTTAGATTAATCAAATCATGTTTATTATCGTAGATTTGTTGAGATAGACAATCTATGGTAATATCAGGTCGAATGCGATCGAAGAGGTCAGGATGAATTCCATTGATATATAAAAGTTCGTTGACACGCTTAAAACCATGATTTAACTGACGATATCGAAGAATATCTTGTGCGATTCGACGAGTTATACCCGGTAACAATAATAATTCATCTTCCGTTGCTGTATTCAGATTGATTGAATTGTTATTATTATTATTATTATTATTATTATTTACATTGATTGGAAGAATTGCTTGTGGTTGATCGAACTTTGATCTGGGCAGAAAATATCGACGACGATGTTGATGAGGAGGACTGGATATCGAACTCGTTTCACCTGATGTTGGAAAGCAACTATTTATGCCACCCATCGCCAAATATCAATAATAAGAGACGTTCGCACGTGCTAGTTCTTTCTTTATCTAAAAACAAATGACAGAAGTTGTGGATTTGTTCCTACTCTTCGCAATACAACGATCGGCTAACGCATGGATGAATCATAGAACATAGATCGATGTTCTATGCCGACGTGTGATGAATACAACTGACGCCTATTATTTATATAAGTCAGAAGATGAATGTTTTTGGACGTCGAAGGCATGATAAATACGATTGCAAGACAGAAGAGAAAGGGATAAAAAGTTAGTAAGATTATGTTTTTTTCGTCGTACGGAATAATAAAAGTGTCATAAATATATATAAACAATCAGGATGAAATCTATTCCGTTTACGATCTCATATCGTTTCTTTTCGCAGTAGTAGTAGTACTAGTAGGCAAATCATACCCTCTTCTGATAATGCATCGAAGTGTATACGTCTATATTTTTGCTTTTTTAAATATCAATGAATGACATATGTCTAATGACGAGATTTATAAGCGAACGAGAAAAAAAGAGAGAAAATCGAGAAGAAAAATATGTGCGAGTGTACATCGAGAAAAAAAAACAATTTGATTGACACGAAAGAAAAAGAGTTTGATTAAAACAACAAAAATAAAAAAAAAATCTTCCACAAGCAAAACACAGGAGAGGAGTTTACTAATAGCTAATCACACAAAAATAATCTATCTCGAAGTCAAATTATGTCTACTACAAACCACAGTACCGCCACGACTTTCACAAAGTCTATGCGCTGCACAATTTGATGACTGGTCACGGAGTTTTTTGTTTGTCTGAAGGCATTCGTAACAACTAAAATACATATAAAAGCTGATGAAGCTGATTGCAACCAAAACGACGCTAATTAGCCGGTTCGTCGCTGTTGAGCAAGACAAATACGGTACGCACAATCGAGATGATTCATCTGCTGGGATTTCTTCATCAAAACTATTCCCAGGTTGAGTACTTGAAAATATCGGCCATCTCACAGTACTCTTTGCATCGCAAAATTTCATTCTACCTGATCGTCGTCAAAGCAAAACAACGATTCGATAATTCACCATAAAACAATGCATAACTTACTTAATAAAAGAAACAAACAAGCGATGTATATTTTCAACATCAAAGATGTTTTTTTTTCGATGAAGTCTAAATGAAATTAAACAAGGGAAAAAATTTTAATGTACATTATACAGCATGGCAAAAAAGCGAAAGATTTTGTTTCTCTTCTGTTTATATAGACAGAACTCGATTGAGAATAGTTTGCACATCTTTGTACTTCAGATGAAAAGAAAGAAAAACGTCAATAATCTTCACCTTCAAGACTTCAAGTGATCACTACGAGATGATGCTTATGTCACATAGAAGATCGGTTTTTAAACTGTGAAGAAAATCAATCAGTTAATCATTAACCCCATGCTCGACTTATTTCGAAAAACAAAGAATCTATCCCTTAGATTGCTGTTCGCTACTAAAATATGAGCAGAGCTGTCGTAACGCAAACTCTTTTATACATCTCATCAATTGATGCGTGCGCAACTGTCAAATCTCAACGAAATATAAGGGTAATATAAAGCTCTAAAGTCTACATTATAAACTTAATCAGATTCTTTCCTATAAGTTAGAAGTTTTACAGGCCATATTGAAATAAAACAAATAAAACCTTTACCTATAATAATTTATTTGACATTTTAGTGCCTGACTTGACTAGAGAGACAGAAAAGCGAAGCGAAACGAAACGAACGAATAGGATATTTCCCAACAATGGATGCCACTCATCACAAATCGATATTCACTTCAATAGAGAACACTAGGCAATATTCTAGTCGTCATCTAGCGACATCTGTAAGAATGGACAAATACATCTCATGTATTTCTCGTCAAATATTTGAACGATGGGAACGTTTCTACTTGTTGAGATCAGGTTGACAAACGATACTTCAATTCACTTCGAAAGCTACATTACACGAAAGTTCTAAGGAGTAACAAAAAACCAGTGGCGACATTATCAAGGTCGTTATGATTCACCGATAGATAAACACTAACCAATGAAATTAACCGTCTTAGCCCTCGTCTCGTTTCTGTGTTCGTTCATTTTCACATAATATCAGTTGTGTTTTCCAATATTCGTTCACTTTGAACTAACGCTTTGTATATACAAAAACTTGCTTGAATAATGAAAGGGTAAATAATCATTCCAGTTTTCTCTCGAAACAAACAATCATCTCATATTCAAGATCATGACTGTGATTGAATCACATTTACTTTTATCTCAATAATAAAACAGTAGATTCGCACTTTTTTCTTTCTTTCTGTCAAGATAACAAATCTCTATACACACATATACTTTTTCATCTTCTAGTCTTTTGTCATTATTCATCGTTCTCTGCACTGAAATCAATTCGATATTTTCAACGTGCGATATGACATCGAAACAATTAGAAGCTGCTTCATCGACGTATTTACGATTAAAAAATGAGCGTGGCCATTGGCACGGTCAAGATCATAATCCTGCTATCGATAATTTCGAAGGTGAACGTCATTTAGCCATGATTGAATTACAAAAAGCTTTAGGACAATCAGGAACATCTGCTGATGATATCAAACGTTTGATGGGTGAGCCCACAAAGATCCTTGATCAGCCTAATGACGTTCTCTTACACGAACTCAAACGTCACAATGAAAACTATCGATACCCTCAAGATACGAAAATCTGGATTTACGAATGGCGTGGGAATCACGATTTTGTATATTTTCTTGTATCGAAAGATAACAAAGTCATCGAATCAGACTGGTATCAAGCACTCGAATGAAGAATAAGAAAGCCAGTCTACTTGAAACATTTATACACATACATATTTTATTTTATCTATGAATTCTGATTTTTTATCATACGAATAAAAGAATAAACTACAGCGAGGAAAATAAAAAGAAAAAGTAACACGAAGAAAACGTAGAAGTTTCTCAGATTCGTTTTTGACTTCGACGATTCGGTTAGCTCCTGTTGTTGAAAACTCAATCGTCGACCATTATTAAATGACGTTCGACGAGCCCCATGAATGTATTCAACGTTAGGTACGGCTTGTTGTACATTTAATGTAGTTCGCCTAAAAGTAGAACAAATAGTTACACGTGAAAGCAATCCAAACAAACTTTTTTCGTTTCGGTAGACGACGCCGGGTTTCGTACGATGATATGTCCATTTAATCATCGATTTATCTTACTGATTTTAATTAGACTTCTATTTGCGACTTGTCATCAGTGCAATTATATGTTTTCTTGTCTATGTGTCATCTGAATACTTCTTCAGAGATATCCAAAACAAAAGAATATATAGCAACATATGTCGAAAAGATGAGCGCGATTGTTAACAATCGTCATAAACAGGCAAAGTTGTTTACAAGTTGTAACTAACCCCTGTGAATGTTCTATTTACATTATTAGATTGACTAAATAACAAACGTTCGTACTATTTATCAGAGCAACTGAAGTTGATAAGATTTGTCTTTTCCTTTTTCTCTCTGAGTATATCAATCGAGATAAGTTGCGAGAAATAGAAAAGTTTCGGTGTCTAAACACATTTAGCATAGACGATGCTATAATCATCATCACACGGTCTGCTTGTTGTTAGTGCTAGTGGATTATCATCTCTCTTTAGGGAAACGACACGTTGTCAGAATTCATCGATGATAAGAGTGATAAATAAAAGAAAGAATAATATCCAGACAAAATACCTACTTATTTAATGTTGTTGTCACTTTCGATGAATCCATTGGTTTGTTTTCACTAGACAATGTCGAATCTATCGAGATTCTATTTGTTATATATGTTCTAGAAGAAAAGAAAAAGAAAACATCAGTTTTTCTTAATGTTTGTTCGACAAAAGAAATCTGTTACATGCTTCTTATTTTGTTAACATGCTCTCTTTCGCTGCTAACTTAGAAAAAAAACCAAATCTTCCGAACTTTCTTGTAGCGCTTCATGTAAGAATGATATATACACACATATGGTGATCAAAGGACAGACGTAATTCGAGATAAAACGCAATGGTAGACGAAGGAGAAAAAAAAACGTGAGGACGTGACGAGCGAAGAGGTATGTTGTACGTATTGTACACTTACATAAGGAAAGGATCAGAGAGTAAATGATATTTGAAACAGTAAATAAGAGGCAGATAGTTAAAATGTAAAGAATATCTCATTCCGGATTTCAGTGATAAGAGAAATCATTGTGACTTGTCATTTATTATTGGGTGGGAGGAACTCCTTGTAAAAAAGAAAAGAAAAACTAAAAAAAAAGAACTGATAAATATTCGGAAGTACGTAAAAATTTCTTTCATTCTAACACGATTCATGGCTGTTTCTATATGATGCAAGATTTCTCACGAGAGAAAGAGAGGGAAGAAATTCATACGATTGAATTGTAACATACCTTACCTGTCTATTGTCACATCTTCATTTTCCTCATTTTGAAACGAATTTTGACGACAGAGACTACTCCACACTGACATCGAATTTCGACGTCGTAGCATCGTTGAATCACCCGAGTGTCCCATCGACTGGACGAAGTCACTTGCTGGTAAAGTTAATGTCCGTCGGCCATATCGCATCATTTGAAAAGATCTCATAGCGTCACTTCTGTAGACAATCTCACGATTAACAAACAAAGGAGATTTTAATCGACAGCATCACTATGGAATGAGATTCACCATCTGTTGTTTACAGGACATTATTCCGATATAAATCTAGAAGATCTACATAAAGAAGACAAAAGAAGTGTTCTGTTGACTGATCGCGAAAATGATTGTGTTTCTCACATTCGCTGGTGATCTTATCGATATAAGAAAAAAGAAGATATCAATCAATAAATAACATTTATGTCGAGAACGCAAGGTTTTGCTAGTTGCAAGAAGAATACTCATTTAACTGCATTCATCTCACCTCGAGTGTGGAATGCAATTCGAGGAGCTTGTTTATTCCGTCATGAATTCGACTTTTCCCCTGATTAATTCTGCTACTAAAAATGTGCTACCGATGTTTTCTCAGTGCAAAATGTATCGAAGAAAATGAAAGAGAGAAGATTTTCACAACAAAAAATGCATTTTTATTCATTGAAAAATGAAATATAAATGAGCATGCGTATTTATATATAAATATATATATATGAGCAAGAAAATAAATAAATGTTTCTTTTTTTAAATCATATTATCATTTGATTAATAGAAGAAGAGAAAAATACGAAACAACATTGAGAAATAGATTTTTTTCAAAAAAAATATGTGTCTTTTTTACACTTTTGTGTTTATCAATTTCCGAACCAATCGAAGACTAAAGCTCCACCGGATGACTGAGTCCAGAGACCTTGAACGGATGCTGCCCATGGATTAATACCAGCCTGCATTGCTGTCACACCCGGTGCACCAACTGTTAGTCCATACGTATTGCTGGTGTGACATACTTTTGTACTGCCACATTGAACTGTCACCTAAAAGCAAAATCAATGGTTTTTTTCCGAAAATTAAAGTTAAAACGGTAGTTGTACATTAGAAAGTTCTGTTTGATCGGTGACAAGCCATGTTAAACCACGATCATTACTTCGAATGATTGAAACGCCATCTTGTGCATAACCATAGAGAGATTGAGTTTTCTCACTAGTATCGAAAGCAAATAAATTGATATTTGCTACCGTTGTATTTAAAGCTAAAATACGAATGAAGTATTCAAATTTAACCAGATTAACTTCTTACCAATCCATGTAGCTGATGATGATGTACCACCATTGAGAAGAACATGACATAAGAATGAAGTTCTACACAAATGAATGTCAATGAGTAACTGGTGAAATTACATGTGGATTTTACCTTGTGATTGATTCATCACAAACATAGACATCGTCCGCATACGTAAGACCTGTTTGAGTTGGTGGGGCAACAAGTACTGATCGGACATTAAGTGCATTCGACGTAGAGGAACAAACACCTGAATAGAAAACTGTTTTCTTGTTACTTCTATCATGATTGATCTTACTTGCAACAGTAGTATCTGAAGTATTCACGAGTCCAGTTACATTCAAAACAAAGCCGCTCGTTTTCGTCAATAAATCACTTGGTTGTACAACATCAATAATATAAATACGTAGATATCGAATGAGGAGTGAACTGGCCAGTGGAACAATGTACGATGAACTACCATTAACAGGATAAACCATTGAATCTACCGCAAAACTAACTCCATCCCAGCTGTAACCAATTTGAATCGAAAGAATAGGTGCAAATGCTGCTGGAACAGTCAGTTGAATGCTGTTAACTAACGTTAAATTGCCAAAGCTGATTTGCATATAAGTAGTACCGGATAACATCCATTGATGTGATCGATATCCTGTTTGCCAACCACTTGATCTAACTAAGGAAGCATCTGATCCTCGAACACTACTACTGAATTGACAAGAGTCTAATCCACCGAGAATATTGGAATAAGTCGAAGCCACTAACAATTAGAATCATCATTACACAGAAGAAAATGAACGGAGTTTCACATTACCTGATGTCATGGATGTGGATAAAGAAATAACGTCTTGAAACACAAATACTGTTGATGCAGGATAGTATGCAACATTTGTTCTGAAAGATGAAACGATTATTCGTGTACACAAGAACTCTTTCTTGCATTTTACCTTGCTCGTTTCATACAGAGAAATTCATGTGGAATTGTAATTATGGGTGAGTTGTATCGTTGATAGACCAATGCCATTTGATTCGATGTACCGATGTTCAAAGTAAATGTCAATGTGCCTGCATCATTGAAAAGTAATGTACCCAACTATAAGAAAAAACAATCAAAGTCTATATTATCGAAGTAGATATTCTTATTACATTGAATAGAACGTATGAACTGTTATCAGTGGTGTAGTTTGTTCCAATCGTAGTTGAATTATAGCTCTGGAGTGAGATCCATGTTGGTAAGTAGATGATTATTTGAGCATTGATACATTCAGCAGTGGAATTGTTTGCGTGACTGTATTGAATTTTACCACTATAAGTTGATCTAAATTTATAAAAAAAAAACAATCAAAAGCTTTTCTTCTTGCACATTCGAGCTTTCCAACGTACCCCATAAGATAAGTGCCGCTTGTTAAGTCGGTGCGATTGACAATCATGATTGGTCTTTCAGTTCCATTTCTTGAAACAACATTCGAATATGTTTGTGTGATATTATATCCTGCAAATGTTGCAGTTAAACCCACAGTAAATGCAAAGTTTGTTTCTGCTAACGGATTATCAGTTAAATAGCCAGTTGCTCGAACAGCGATAAAATTATCGGTTGCATTTGAAAAATTACTTATTATTGTTGAAATTCCTTTTAAAAACACAATAAATGTACAATTTCATTTCAGATGCTCCTTCTTCTCCTACCTGTATTTGTCACTACACCTAGATCAAGATAGGCTGTATCTTGATAAGTTGAACCGGCGACACTTGAGGAGTATGTCCATTGATATTTATTTCCGAGAGCATATTCGTACATAAACGATCCAACATTTATACCAGCAGAAAGGACAGTAGCTGAGAGAATATCGACTGAAACAGCACTCGAGACTGGTACACTGGCAATAAGTAGTTGCAAACGGCCTTGAGAATACGTTGGTAGATAAACTTTGAAGTCGAATGTAACTGGTTGACGAATACCGCTTTGAATAGTTGAGTTACTGACTCCTAGAACTACGTTGGATGAATCATTGGACTAAAAGATCGAACGAATTGATCTAATCGGAAGTGTCTCAAGAAAGAATTACTCACGAATAATGTGAAACCTGTGTAACTAGTGTAGCTTTTCACTATTAAGGGATAACTAGTATTGACAAAAGATTGATTATTGTTAATCAATGCCGAGATAGTAACAGATAGTTGATTATTAACTGCCACTGTAGTCGTCACTGGCACACGAACATTTGCGTGAACGACTAACTATAAAAGTAGAAGAACATGACGAATTAGTAGACGAGAAAAAAGAGATTGACTTACTGTACTAGCTGTTGCATTAGTTGGATCAATTGGATAATAGCAGAGTGTACCAAGATCCAGATACATCGACGAGTTGTATAACGTTGATCCACCACTAAACATCAAGTTCAAATTCTCTCCTATATTGAATATAGTTGTTTCGTCTTACCTCGACAAGGATGGTGTTGCTTTACTCTTCATGCACATTAGATTATCACCGGCACTAACGACATATCCAGCAGTGAAGTATGCAGCATTGCTTGATCCGGCTGCTATTCCAAATAGAAAAGCAACTGGATAACATTGTTGAGTGGTGAGATTTAGAGCAAGAACAAATTGTGTACGAATAGAAACATCTTGGCCAAGATAAGCGAATGAGCCGTTGTTTGTGTCATTCATTTGTTCATAGACTGATGCATTTAGTGGGTTGATTGTTAACGGCTAAATGAACAGAATTTTAGAATATAGGAAAAATAAAGATTTGTATCTACATTTCCAAATGAGCTGGTTGAACCGCTAGTAAATGATGATATTATTGATGCCAATGCGGATTGGCCAGATGGTACTAAATTCGATAATTGTAAATTGAACGTAGAGGCCGATTGTGCTGTCGCAAGGAGATACACTTGAATAATTACTGTATCTGAATCAACTGATAACGATGCATTGACGGTTGAAGTATTTGCTAAATAGAAATCAGAGACTTAACATAATGAAAAACAACGATAATCAAGTGAGAGTACGTACAACCAATGCTACATATCAAACCAAGATTTGTTGTTGCTATTGCGGATGCTCCATTTGTATTATACGTAAATACCGAAGAGACATCATTTGAACACGGAACATTACTACCACGTTGTGGGGATATATCAACCCGACATACACTTGTTTGTTGATTGGCTTCATTAGTAACTAGATGATAGAGAAAGGAGGGACGAATGATTCAGTGTAGTTTTTCTTTATCGTTTTACTTACTAGCACTGTTCAATAATGAATATGCTCCATAAGAACCAGATGGAACTTTCAAAGCATAATTAGCAACGGTTAATCCATTTATTGTGTACGCTTGTGCACTGGTGTTCAATGCAAACAATACAGGTGTTCCCTATAGAAGAATGTGCTTTATCTGATTAGTCAACTAGTTTCTTCACGTACAATAACATTTGGTGGAGTAACGAGTTGACTTCCAGAGAAAAGTATTTGTCCAACCCAGATATTGGTCGGAGCGTAATAAACATCAAGACTAACATATGTGGATTGTCCATCGCCTAATGCATTTTCAATTTTCACATATACTCCTAGAAAATTTTCGACGAGGATAGTTCGTGAAGAAAGTAAATGAATACACGGCTTTCTTACCAAGGCGAATTTGACCGAGGGAACTATCCGTTTGTGTGGATTGATAATTGCATAATGGACCCAATTGAATATAAGCTGTGTCATTTTTCCGTTGGTTATATCTATAACAATAGGAATACGAAGATTTAAAAAAAAACATTCGTGTTATCTTAATCACCTCGAAGCATAGGTTATAAATGGTGATTGAGGTTGATTGTAGTACGTTGGTATTAAACATGGAAGATTCGTTCCGACAGATAGAACTTGAACCAAACATATACTTGCAGCTGGTTGACCACTGCCAGGAGATGATTCATTAGTTGTAATTCGTACTGTCATCGGTGTGTAGAGACCACCTGCTTGCGTGAAAATATCGTAATAGAATAAACGTGTATAACCCAACGTTGTTGCTGATTGATTAGTTGTTACATTGTTTTCATAGGATAAGCTGAAAGTTGGTTGAGTGAGCGACTGTAAATGAGAAAAAGATCCGTAGGTGTGCTTTGAAAAAGAACTTTTCATTTTACTGTTGAGTTGTAACTGATAGGCGTGACATTGTAAGCAGCATTTCCAAGCCAAATTGTATTGTTTCCCAAAGTCATAGCCACGGTTGGCCAAAGAACAGTTTCAGTTGTATTCATCACTTGAAAAATCGCATTAAGTCTAATAAGAGAGAGAGAACATGCAAAACTCCAAAGTCAAATTCTATTTTCATTTACACTAATGTATTGACGTCATCAGAATAGGAACTTTGACGTACGCCTGTATTTTGTATCACACCGTAATCATACGATAGTTGATCGTAGATAGTCGAATTAACACTTGATGAGTAGGTTCGTCGAGAGATACTTGTGTCAGCACATTGAGGATTTGAACCAGCCACATTTTCACCAGCGGATTGGATTAATACCGAACATGACTTCAATGACGATGTAGAAGAGTTTCCTGCGCCGTTCAATTCAATAACAACTGGAGCAACAAAACCACTTGGAATAACCATTGTTACTTTCATTACTAATGATTGATAGATGCCCACTGAACTCGCTTGTTGAGTGATGGAGAATGTTGGTAGCGACCCGTTCTGTAGATATTCGTGATTCAATTCATAGTTTTCGATGAAAGAAGAGACTAATAACTTACAATAGCATATGGAGCTACGCTTGGTAACGCGGAAATTGAATATGTTTGTGACACCGTCGAACTGGATGACGTTGCTTGAGCAGTCAGCGTACCAACGGTATATGAGCTGACACCGTCGGTTTTGAATACACGACCGTACACAGTAATATACAGAGTTGATGCTGATCCACTATACGATTCTATTAATAGATACAAATTGATGAAATGATGTGTTACTGATGTTAACAAAAAAGTTTTCATATACGTGTATTAACAATTTGACCAAGAGTGATTGTAATTTGATTGTTTACCAATGCGGATGTTAAGTTGACGGATATTTCGTAGCCTAATGTTGGTAAATGTTGAAAACCACTACTCGCAGTCTTGAAAAAGGGGAACTATTAGAAGAGAGTTTTCCATTTGGAATACGTTACTTGAATATAAGCAGAACAAAGCCCGATTTGCGATGGATTATTGTTTTTAATTGTGAAAACAAAGTTGGACGCGTACGTGGCATTGTAATTGACCGGAACTGCTAACGAGAATGGTGAACCTTGTGCAAACTGTAAAGTTGAGTTGTTAATTGTGCCGAGACTTAATGGGCCTATTGTACCCTATACAAAGATATATCGAATCAAACGAATGACAATAACAAATGATTATTTTCAACGAACGCCCGAAGCATTTGCAAAGATGAACAAAGCTTGACCGATCCAAATCTCCGAAGCATTATTATATTCGATACCGACAGTAACCCACTAGAAAATGAAATACGACCGATGAAGACGACTAAGTCATTGTTTACACTTACATATTGAGATCCATTCGTTTGATAAGAAGGATTGCTAATCACCACACTACGAAAACCGATTTGAATGACGCTTTGTGTATCGTTAGTCGGTGCATATAAACCACTGTTAACTACAGTTCCAAAATCAATACGAGCATCATTAAACTAAAATTAATCATTCAAAAATTCATAATCTTTTATTCGAACAATACTTGTGATGTATTCATTGCTGATGTCATCGTTATTGAGGGATCATAGATACTCTGTGTGTTGGCGAAATTACTACCGACATATGCTATTTGAGGTTTTGATACTTGCATAACAGCAGTATCATTATCTGGCATGATGATTTCCACGCTAAGATCCGTTGAGACACTTGGGCCGGTCGAATATGGAATGGTTATTGTCACCACAAAATCGCAGTAATCCCCTATGAGGAAATATTCAATTAATGCAAACAAGATACTTTCATTCCACTTACCAACTCGGACCAGAATAGAAGAGTTGCAATTGCCTTGTTTCGCGTAATCAACATTAACACTAGCATTTACTGCGCCAACCGATGGAATCACTTGAATAGAAATATACGAATGCAAACGAAATTATCATTTCAGTACGTTGTTTGTGAATATTACGAAGCAGACTGATTATATTGTGGTAGAAATGCTCAAATTGCTATGAATGGGAAACTTTTATCTTCGACGCCGTTTTGCAATGTCTCCAACCCTCTTCATCTTATCGCGTATCTTTACAAAAGTATATTTCGTTATTCGAATCTACCATGATCGATTTCTCATGTGAATGATGTCACCCGTAAAACCTCTTTCATCCGATAATTCGATTCGCGTTTCTTACCTGAAGCAGCTATCACCATTACCACAACGATCATTAACATATTCCATTGTTTTATGTTCAATTTCATCTTACTTGTAGGGCCTCCTCCGCGTAAATGACTGCAAATGAAGGTTTTTTAAATAAAAAAAATATTTTTTCTCTTTTTACTTTTTTATTTCTAATTTTTTTTCTCGCTGTTTCCCAGTTACTTTTCAGAAAGCATAAAAAAGAAGTGGATAGACACATACATTGGCCATTATCATGAATTTGAAGAAACTTCCCCCCCCCCCCTATTTTCAATTTTTTTTTGCCAATGACGTCGTTCAACTATTCCTTTGTTCTCTGAACATCAACGTCTATGCAGCAGCTTTTCACTCAAATACTTGAAAACAAGTTTTAATTTAGTAAAAGCTTTTCTCTTTTTTTCCATATCATTAGAAAAGAAGTAAAGACTAAAACAAAACACAACTTCAATTAGACGTTTTGAGAATCCATCAGGCATTGTCCCTTTAAAGACAATAAATACTGTTATGTGACTGGAAGCCAGACTAGCGCGTACTTTTGGACAGTGTGAACGTATTTTGAATAAGCAAATCTTCTTTCGATGATATGAATCATTAAAGATGTATCCTCGAACTAAGAAAGTCTTTGTTCGTAATTTAATTGCTGTATGGAATTTTGCATCCATCTAAAAAAAATTACTTGAGTTTTGTATATTATTCATGATTGTTCCTTTTGATATTTTCAAGAAGCGCGAAAAAGGTTTCAGAGAATAAAAGCTTGTTTCTGAAAGAATGACATTTTACAATGAGTTGTCAATTTGAAGAGAAAAATAATGCTGTTTCTCTGTAAACTTCAACGAGATTCTGCGAATTGGCAATGTTCATCACGTACGAGCTGATAGCTCGCCTGGAGAATGGAAAGAATTCTGGAACATTAGAATAATGATAGACAAAAAAGTGAACGGAAAAGAAGTGTGAGATGACGTGAGCAAAATTTCACTCTTTTACAAACGCGTTTTCTTTCTTTTCATGTTCACACTCACTATAAACATTCATTTATTTTTTTTTGTACTTGAATTTATTCATTTTCTTTTATCACAACAATGAGATACAAAACCGAATATAAACACCAACATTCGAGAAAAACGAGTGAGAGCAAGCATTGCATTGTGATTGCACATCTGACATCTAAAAGCTACTACGACAATATCGAACACACCAACAAAATCGATTTCCTTTTAAACATCATCAAACGGAGGTAAACCAAACTCCACGGGATCGAATTTCAATAAGCTATCCAATTTAAGTGTAGCATGCTTTAAGATCCACGGGTCGTAATTACTTAATGGTAAACTCGGAACCAGGACGACCCTCATTCCAGCTGAGAGGGCAGCTCGAACGCCGTTTTCTCCATCTTCGAATACTAAACATTGACTCATGGAAATCGGCGGATTGGGGAATTTCTCTGCACATGCAAGGAATATATCCGGTTCGGGTTTAGTTAAACGGATTTCTTTTGTTTCGGTACAAATGACCGGATCGAATAGTTTGAATAATTCTCGATGACCACTTATTTTTAACGTGTATAATTCATGAGATGAACCTGTGCCAATCGCTTGAAAAACAAAAGAGAAAGATTTCAGAAGAGCGCATATTGTTTCATACCCATAGGAATATTGTAATTGGCTAAGTGTCGAATCAAACGCTCGGCACCTGGTAATAATTCAGCCGATGGAAATGCTTGAGTATACAATTCGTTAGATTTAGCTAAAAATTCTTCATCTGTCATTGGTAAATTCAATTCTCCTACAAACAAGAACAGATTCCCATCGAGAGACAAACGTTTCCTAAAAACATACGAATTAATATTTGTCCTGCCTCCAATGCCGATTTTCCCATCATTTCTAATTTTGTTTCTGTGCTAAAATTCTTTCCATACGGTGCACACAACTGCTGCATACATTCTGTATAAATAGATTCCGTGTCTAATAGCAAACCATCCAAATCGAATATACAATGTGTAACACTCATGATAAACTCGTCAAACAAAATCTAAAATAATCTTTCTATTTTTCTTTATCTGTGAATCGATCGTTAACAAACAAATTCCGATCAGACGGAGAAGTATTAGAGTAAGTTAATTAGGATGCAGTATTTTCGAAAGGGGTTCATTTCATTAGTTAAAAAGTGTATAAACGGAGCATTAATTTGTTTTTCCTATGTTGAGCTATTTTCTCAAAAAGTAATAAATGTGAAATGTTTTACTTACTCTAAGTATAGTTTCCTCGAAGGAAATTGAGACATAGAACAAGTCTGAGGAAAATATTTTACCGATTATGATAGTTTTTTTTTGTCAAATATATGAAATGTTCAGGCAGACTTCGTGGAAAGCATCGCAGAACTGACTTGAAAGTTGTTGGAAGGAGTGAAAAGACATGTCGATTGTTTCTATCGTGTTTAGTCTGAAAAAAAACACATCAAATAATTGCTGTCGAATAAATACTTTATAACCAGATTTGTTATTTTGTTCGTGGGGAAAATGAAGAGTAATAAAAGACGAGAACATTTCACACAGAAAAACAAGACTCATGACATATTGAAAGACAAATCATTTCGTCAATTAAATACAACATCTAGTACCATCATCACTGTAAATCCACCTAGAATACAAAGTATTTTCTTTAGCAAAAAGTTCTGCTCGAATGCAAAGTTCGAAACATACTCATCAACCACCAAGACGACATCGTTCGGTTTTGACTAAAGAAAATGCCGAAACAGAACTGATAAAATTATCGCTTCATCAAACTTACGAAGTAATTTCCGGGATGATTTCATTGAAAACAACGAACAACATTGCACCCGCGGCAAACGAAAGCGCGAACGGTAATAAAGAATTCGCTAGTTGAACAAAACACACGCCGAGAATCCCTGCAACAATCTCTACCAATCCGCTCAATTGACCATACCTAAAAACTAACAATAATCCTCTACACGAAGCTTTCAATCAAACGAACCAAAATGCCTTGCCAGATCCAATACCAAATGAACGCAATGGTAGACTTATGGCCAATCCTAAAAAGATTCTTTTCTCTTTAGATCATTCTTGGTGCACAGGAGAGAACAGTCTTTTCTAGTAATACGTGGAATCTCTTAGTACTGACTAATAAGATGTGTGCGGAAGTAGCTGTTCTCCCAAAAGAATTGTGAAAGGAAAATGAAAAAAAGAATTCTATCATTCATAGAAGATTATTATTCTATCGAACAAAAGAACAAGTCGACTTTATGGCAATCTTACTCATGACATGAATGCTTTGTGTATGACATAGCATGTTTAGATGGATCTCTAATAATGTATTATGACAAGTTTCGAAGGCTGAACAAATTCAATTATATCTTTTCGAAAAGAAAGCACTAGTTAATCTATGCAATTTTGACAGCTGCTTTGATTAGACAAGTATCGTCGTGATTTGCTGTCGCAGATGTTCTTTCATATGTAAATCTCTACCATGTTGTTTTTCTTGTTTTCTAGATGGATACTTTCACGTCTCGAAATAATTATTAAACAAAGAAACTAACTGAATCTGATTACAAACCGAAATCACGACAGAATCAGCGTGCGTGTAAAAGAAAGTTGCCGTCTATAATTTATAACAATTAACTTTCAAGACTGATGAAGCTGCATTAATAATCCATCATAGTTCTTTCGTTCTCATCGAACAATGTAAGATAAACATCACTTAGACGCTGCAGACGAAATAATTCTATTTTTATGTAACGGAGTTGTATGCGCCAGGATGGAAATTTAATGTACATACCTTCGGGGAAATTTTGAATACCGATGCCGACTGCTAAATTGCTGAGAAGCGAAGAGAACTATTATTTTGGTGGGAGCATCGGACACTTACCGAGCTTGGTTAAAGGCTGATGTGGCATTATTTGACGATGAAATTGATCCAAATCCGACGCCAACAGCCAAGCCTTCTGCAACAATTATCCCGATTAAATGAAACATAATCCGATTGAATTTTTTCTCTTATCCTCTTACCTGGAAAGTTATGTACGGTGACAGCAATTATTAACAGGAGTAATCGATGCCATTTTGTCTGTTCTTCGTTATTCTCAATAAAGTTTTTACTTTCATCCATTGGACTGTCCCCAATCGGAGTATGAAATCTATTTTTCCCATCGTGATTACGTTTCAATCGCGAACGCACAGCAGAATTCATTTTTAAAGTGGAACATGCATTGTCGGGCTTTTTTATCTTGTATTCATCGGTTTTCTTGTTCGAGATTACTTGAAACACTTGCTTGGACGTAATCGATGGTAATAAGAGATCAGTAGTGTGAACAAACAATCCGCCAAACAGAAAACCAAGAATAATTAAGCAAAAATTCACGCGATGATCTAGATGAGATTCTTCACGAGCTATTCGAAATGCGGGATCAAGTAAACTCCAGAATGATGCAGCTGTCATTACCTAAGAATAGATAAGAAACACCTGAAATTTCTATAGTAAAATTGAACTAAACTCACCCCAGCTCCAAAACCGAGACTATAGTCAAGTAACTTTTGCTAGAAAATTATAAAAAATACGCATGTTCAATATGTTCAATCAAACTTACATTGGTAGATCTGAATATAAATACGAGAGCAGCGCCTGCTGCTGTCACAAACCATGTGAATCCTGTTCCTAGGAGATAGTCACAGTGTTTCTCTCGAATAGAATTTCTGGGCAATCATACCTAGGAGGCATTGAATGAAGGGTGGTTGGTCACGTAACATGAATAAATGAACGTATCTGTCATGTTAGCATTCACCGTCAATGGCAATCCATATTTTATCCATAATGTTCATCGATTGGCTCAAAACTCTCACCAATGGAAATCGACAGAAAGAAACAAAAAACAAAAGGCACTAAAATTGATTGTATTTTGCTTCTGAAAGAACAATTAAAATGAGTGAAAACTCTTCATCGTTGGATTTGAATAAACTATGGGTCGAATACAAAAACCGCGATGGCCGTGTAAGTATCTCTCGCATGCAATGCTCGTATTTACCTCTTTCTTTCTTTCGAAAGATCTATTATTATAATGCGAAAACTCGCCAGTCGACATGGACGAAGCCAGAAGGGCAACGAGTTATGTCGCAAGATGAACTCGATCAATTACTGGCAAATCAAACAGAAACTTCAACGAAAATTGCATCGCCTTCGGAAGAAACAGATATAAGTGATAAACCATCAACAGCAATCGAAGAAATGAAATTACAGCCAGCTGAGCAACCGCCAAGTAATTTCAACCCATATGCATATCCACCGCCTTCACTAGGAATGCCATTCGGAGCACTTCCACCACATCTATTGCCACATATGGCTCAAATGATGCAAAATGGTTAGTTTCCACGCGAATCAATTCGACTGCTGATGTTCATTCGAATCTGTTTAGGTTTTCCGAGTTTCAGTTCGATTCCACCACCAGCACATTTACTAAGGTTTATGATGCCACCATTTCTGAATCCACAGGCAGCAGCAACCGGTAAAAACCTAGAAACACTTCAGACAGAACTACGCAAAGTAAGTGTTGTCAATGTTATTACTTCGTTGATCACAATGGTCTACATTTAGTTACGCGTCAAATTGAAAGAAGTAGAAGAGAAGATGGAGAAAATCAATAATGAAGCATCCGTTTGGTCAGAATTCAAGAATGCCGAAGGGCGAGCTTATTTTTATAATACAAAAACAACCGAGTCAACATGGGATAAACCGATTGTTCTCAATGATGTGATTGGTAAAGATCAAATTAGTTCTTAAGGTCGCAGAAAACGAACGTTTGTGTTTTTGTTCCATTTAGATTTCCAAAATCAACTTGAACATATTAACAAAACCATTCATGAGTCAGAAAAAGAAGTTAAACGACTTGAAAGTGAACAAAGTCAGGTGTCAAACGCAGCACTGACGACGAGTACCAGTGATAAATCACAACAACCACAAGCAGCTCCAATACCTACATTTCTAAATGGTTTCACATTAGAAAAATTGGATAACAATGAAGCACGACGTTTCGTAAGTAGTTTCCACACAGAGTTCGATCAGATCTCACAGAAAACAAGCGTATTGCTTTTCGTAGGGTGAATCACCATTACTGGTAGATCGCAATCAATTAGATGATAAATCCAAAGGCAAATCCAGACCGAGTGCAACGAAACCGATTCCTGGTACTCCATGGTAAGTTGACTAAAATAAATCTCATTATTTTATCCTGTATTTCTTTTCTTCAGGTGTATCGTATGGACAACCGATCAACAAGTCTTTTTCTTCAATCCAACTTCGCGCACATCATTGTGGGATCGACCGGAAGAACTGAAAGGTAAATATTTCCCGTCAATCTTCGAGAATTTTTCGAAAATTCGTGCTAGGCCGAATGGACGTCGATGAAATGATTCGCGCAGCCTTGTCTCAGCAGGAGTCAGCTGAAAGCACTCGTACAGCAACATCAACCAAGCAAAAATTAGATTCGATTTCCGATGACACCGAACATGAAGCCAAGAAAATTAAGTACGTCAAATTTATCACTAGACCTTCCTTCTCATTTACCATTTTTATTTCAGATCAGACACAATCCCTACACTGAACACTTCAAGTAGTAATGAAACCATCAATAATGAAGTAAAATTAGTCCAAACGTTGAGTGATCGTTCTGTTAATGTTGCTAAAGAATCAGTGCAGGATGCCGAAGCTAAAGCAACTAAATTACGCGAATCACTTTCATCCGAAGCACGCATTAAACAATTTCGCGAAATGCTCGCTGAAAAACAAGTCAGTGCATTTGCGACATGGGAACAGGAACTGAACAAGATCAGTTCCGATCCACGGTATCTATTATTGACAGCGAAAGAGCGCAAACAAGAATACGATCGTTACACACATGGTTAGAAGAAAAAGAAGTTGTCACCTACGGAATACGAGATATGATCTGTTTAGAACGTGCTAATGAAGAACGACGAGAAATCGAAGCGAAATTGAAATTAAAAAAGCAACAGTTCCGTGATCTACTAAAAGAATCGAATGTTTCAACTAAGTATGCTTTCTTGATTATCGTGTTTGTCAAATGACTAAATGGGAATATTCTATTTAGAACAACGTTTACTGAATTCTCATCGAAGCACAGTAAAGATGAACGATTTCGTGCAATCGAAAAAATCCGTGATCGAGAAGCGTATTTTCATGAGTATGTCCAAGAACTAAAAGTTCAAGAAAAAGAAGGTTCGCATCGACCAAACGACAAAGAAAAAGTACGCTTTCATGTGCATGATATCCGTGATTAATCGCTTGGTTTGTTGTAGTTAAAAAAAGACTATTTCGCTTTATTGAAAGAATCCAATGTAAATCGAAATTCCGACTGGTCTGATATCAAACACTCGTGTGATCATGATCTACGTTACAAAGCTGTTCATTCCAGTTCTCGACGTGAAGATTGGTTTCGTGAATATCAATCCAAACACCTCGATGAAACGAATCCGGCACCCACTGAAGTAAGTTGAACAGAAAAACAACACAGTTCGAATATATTTGATTTCAGACAACCGAAGAAGATCTCGAACGACAACGTGAAAAAGAAAGACAAGAACGTATTGATGCCAGCATAAAAAAACGTGCTGAAGAAGTGAAAGAGCAGTTATCAGGTGTTCATCGCGAATTAGACAAAGAACGTGAACAACTGAAGAAGGACAAAGCGACGGAAAATTTCAAAGCTCTATTAACTGATATGGTTCGCACAGCAGATGCTGAATGGAAAGAAACGAAGAAAACTTTACGAAAAGATCCGCGATGGGAGCAGGATCTCGATCGAGATGAGAAAGAGCAGCTTTTCCAAGAACATGTGAATGCATTGGTAAATAAACGAACATTAGCATTTCATACACTGCTAAGTGAACATTGTACATTGACATCCACATGGAAAGAAGTGAAGAAAGTCATCAAATCCGATCCACGGTATGAAAAAATCGTCTCCAATGAACGAAAACGTGATTTAGAAAAGGAATTCGAAGAATATATCAAGAAAAAATATCATGAAGCCAAACAAGAATTTCAAGAATTATTGAAAGAAACGAAAATAATCACTTACAAGTAAATGCCAGCGAGCCTTTCTTTTTTCATCCATTCGTCCTCACTTTCATTTAGATCATATCAAATAATTCGAGAATCAGAAGAACAAAATCATCTACGTGATATCGAAAAGATTCTCCAGAAAGATCAGCGATACTTTCTGTTAGACTCCGAGCCCGAAGAACGCTCGAGAATTCTGATGAATTACATTCGTGAACTTGATAAACGCGGCACACCACCTCCGCCAACAGCGACAGTCGATCGACGTAAACTTTGATAGAAATTCTTCTTCTCACTATTCTTGTTGTTTTACTTTGTAATATTTGTTTTTCCTCTCTGTATCAACACAGATGATCTGTGTTCTTGTTGATCTAACTGAACATGAGCAATAAAATGAAAACAGAAATAGACAAAAGACAAACGCTGGGAATGATTTGTCTATAAATGAAATCTATTCTTGGATAATTGAATGGAAGTTTTCAGCCAGACAACAATGGAAAGCTATGGTTGAGTTTTTTCAGTCCTCGGAGAAACCATTGTGTCGCGAAAGTTTAAGCAGTTCATACCTTTGAATTGAAGAGCTCATTTAGTTTTTACTGTGAACTTACTGACAGCTATTTTTGACATCTCCTAACGATTTCAAAATAGAATCGATTACTATAAGTTAGTCAGTTCAGTTGAGGGAAATCAAGTTGAACACGAGGAAATTGTCGAATGACATCTGTCTCAAACAATGAAACATATAATATGTTTCTCCCTCAATGACATACTGAGCTGATTCCCATGATACAAAACTATCTAGAGTCGAAGCAAGTACAATATTTCTACTCTCTGCCTCGGTGTCAGCGTAGTGTATAATGACCATTATAAGCTGATTTTCGTTTGTGTTTATGGATCAATTGACAAAATAGAAAGGCTACAATCATCAAAGTACTCGAAACCATGAGAAAGACAAATATTAATACGAACAACGCATGACAGTAGTTTTCCTGCTTCTGATTATTAATACTTATATGCTGGACTACATGAAGATGTTTTTCTTTAGCTTCATTTGACATATTCTCCTTTAGAAGCAAGAGCATTGACTTGAGCGCGTTTAAGAAAACTCTCTTGTGCATTTACTTCGTTCTCTCGTTTTCCACTCCATGCTTTCAATGCTAAATACAGCAACAATTACTATCCAAGCATATAAAACCAAAAGACTATCGAAACCTGATGTTTGCAATGCTCGTCCGTAGCTAAATGTTAATATCCAAGGACATTTCTCTTGATAGACAGGTCGATTCAATTCATTCAGATTGTTTGTCGCATCTTCTTCCGATTGACCACCACTAAGAAAGATCTACGCGAGAAACAAATTTCACACAAGATTTCATCTTCTTCCTTCTCACATACAATTCCTCCGAGTGCTGCCGGGCATGTTCGGGTTAGTGCAGTAATTGTTGCCAAAGCTCGAAAAAGTTAAGAAATAGAATGAGAAGGAAAGCACATGGTAGCTTGCTCTTTGATTTACCAATATCAGCACATTTGTCTTTCTTTTTCGCTTGACGTCCGCATGTAACCATATTCTGCAAAGCGAATTCGCTTTTTCCAAATAAAATTTGTGTATCATGACTCACGGTTTTGAGTACACAACCCTCGAGATAGACATCGTAATCAGACAAAGCTTTAAATATTGAGGAGAGTACTTTCTCTAAAGCGCACTGACATGCGTATATATCATGATCACCATCGGAAATAACTTCTGATTGAATGACAGGAACTAAACCTTGGAGAATACAAAATGATTGATTCAATTTATTTTCTTTGCCTAAGAATGCCTTTTGTTTGACAGATTGATGCATATCGTGCGAGAATTATCGCGTTATTTTCAATGGCTATGTCTGTTGGTTGATCGTAAGCTTCATTTATGTGGAACACACAACGCCATTTAGCGAATCGAGCTCCGCAATTAAAACTTCAAGCTCGATGCGTAGCCTTTCGTTATCACTAGGAAATTTTTCACTTACAAATCTTCACATCGCTTTTCTAAGTCATCAAAACCTAGTGTGGTTGTTTCATTTGTATTTATTGTTAATGATTCTAAACCCTATAGAGCAAAGTGTTTCTCATTGATTTTCACTCCTCGTCTAGTTACTCGATCGAGCTTAATACCAGTGAGTATTCCGTTCTGAACAAGTACCATTGGAAATGGTATTGAACTATCCGTACTTTGATTAAATGTTTCTTCATGCATAAGAATTCCACTTAGATATTGTTGAATGTCAGGCGTTGTAAATAATAACTGTCGATAGATTCGACGGTGTTCCGCGGTGTTTTCCACGTTAATTGACTGAAATCGTTTAACTATCGACGATGGATTTTCATCTGCTGCTAGAATACCTTTCCCTCGTTGGACGAGTAGATTGACATTTGTTACTAACATCTTTCGCAATGTTTCATTTAGAAATAGATGCGTCATTTATGTTCTTTTAACTAATACAAGAAAGATCAATAAACAGCGCTTTTCTCAATTAAGGCGCCATTTGTTTTTTTCGAGCTCTCGATGACTTTGACATAACTCCAGATCGCATACTGATGTCAAGGTCAATGTGAAATACGAATTCAAACATCTTGCCCTAGTTCAATTTTCCAACGTCGATAATATAATCCGAGAAGAGACACCAGGCCACGATACTTATCTCTAATCGTATTACAATCTAAATGAATTCCGGTCGAGTTTCAATCAAAAAAGGAAAAACTCGAAACTTATCTTTGCATATTTTATCAAGCAATATTAATTGCTCATTGAGATGAGTTGAATTAGAAAATGACGACAGTAATTCTATCGACGTTGTCAATTGAAGATACATGAATAGCCGAGTATTTCTTCTCTTCTCATTTCAGGAATATCCTCGGACATACAACGGAATGAACTGCGTGCTGGAATCGCTTGGAACTATCAAGAGAAATCGATTTTCGATGATGATGATATTTGTAATCAACAATCTCATGCTCGTTATATTGAATGTTTTTGTCAACATCGACAAGAATAACATTCCTAAGTAGAATTCAATGTATTGTCGACATCTGTGAATATAGTTGGGATACCCTTCGGAATAAAACGGCAAATGAGAGTATCCTGAAAAATAAAAACCGGAAAGAAGATGATGATGGAGTAGAAAGCGAAGAATTCTATCGTGATCGAAACGAGGCTTTAACTTGCTGGTTTCTTAATCAATTAACTTTGTTTCTCTTTCCATCTCCATGGGAAAGCTAGCTAATAAACAAGTGAAAAATGAACGGGATAATGATATGTAAGTAAATGTTAGACAAACAAAGCTCTCGTTGGCGATCGGAACGTTCTTAGCATATGAATCAACAAGTGAAATAGAACTACTCGAGAAAAACGATAATTGTTGAATGGAAATCGACTTCTTCCATGAACCAAACGCTGTTTTTGCGTTGGTAAACTGTTCGGCATTTTGAATAGTAATCAAATTATAACTAAATGTTATCGAAACAAAATGTAAGATGTTTATCTAAAGATGCTGTTTCATTGTTATGTGGATTAATGCTAATCAATGGCATTAGTATTACTAGGAAAAAGAGACGAAAAAAGCAAGCTTTTATCCTTTTATCTATGCTACTTCGTTGTCTCTCTTTTTTTTTCACTTTTTCTTTCTTGTCTTAGTTGTTGTCATCCAGCTCGAGCTGTCTTTCTTTTTCTTTATTAAACCACTGGATATAGAATAGTATATGATGTCGAATCAGGCATATGATACGCTAGAATAAGAAGAAAAAGAGAAACAAAAAAAAATCGAGAGAAAAGGTTTCTGAATGCATTTCTGATTATTACTCATAGTTGCTTCTCTCTATATCTCTGTATGTTCTCCTTCACTCTCTCTCTCTCTCTCTCTCTCCGTCATCTTCGTTAGTTTACTAGTGACAAGTAAAGAAATAGGAAACAAGCAAATATAGTGCTAATGATAAAGCAGTTAAGACAAACAATTCTATAGATATATACAATCTAACGGGTGCCAACCAGTCGATCAGCTTTTGTTCTATGGGTAATACGAATGCGAACAGCAACGCTCCACCATCTCCTGGTCGATGGACCAATAGTGGACAGGACGCAGCATCCAAGCAAATCCATATTCGTACGGATCAAGCCAACGGATTTTACTTTACCGGCGAGCTTCTAACTGGCTCAGTTGAAATTCCAGTGACATATTTTCAAAGTTATCTAAACAATAAAAACCATCGTAAAGCACCTAATACACTCATTCACCAATTATTATCGAATGACATTGTAATCGAACTTGTTGGCGATGCAATCTACTCTGCTGAAGTGGATGCAGCAGCAGATAGTGACGGACATTCTCAGCATCAAGTTAATGTCTGTCGGCAACGTTGTTTTGTGACACTTAATCAAGATAGTGAAAGGCAATCGACACCAAGTACTAATCAAAATGAGACATCATTTGATCAAACGACAACAACAACACCAGTAGCACGTAGTAGCGATATCCAAACATCAGCATTACCAACGGCAATCAAAGGTACATTTCAATTACAAATACCAGATGATCTTCCTCCATCGTTACTCAATAATCGACCACCATCCGTGAGCTATACCCTCGAATTAAATCTCTCCTCAAGTCGCTACCGTTATCAAATACTTCTCGTCCTCAGCTCAAAAGGTCCCATACCACATCCGATGACAAATGTCGAGTTGAATAACAACGCAATTAATCAGCATAATATCCATTTACAAGCGTCAACTACAAAACGATTCTATCGGCCCGGCGAACAAATATTGGTTCGCTTAAACTATTTGAATCCACATCAACGTTTGATTCGTTCAATAACCGTTACATTGATACAGTTCTATCGTGTACATAACGATCAATATCGCTTACAATTGGATGGTAAGGAATGGACATTTGATCTGGCAACAATGTCGCCTCAACGCGAATGGATTGGTGAAACACTTCTACAATTGCCATATCAACCATTGCAAGCATCTTATTCAAATCAATCTGTTGGTACCACTCAACGAATTGAATGTGAATTAGATTACAGAATATTAATTGAATTGAATGAGAAAAAAGGCGATGATATACATCTTCTCTTACCATCAATTCTTGTTACATATCAAAAAGGAACATAAACAATGATAGTTGAATATGCTGAAACATTGAATAGACGTTTATTTTGTTTGTGTCGAGAAAGCATTCATCTATCATAATAAATCATATTGTAATTTTCAATGTTTCTTTTATGATTAGTTTCATAATGATCAAATAAAATCTAACATCTGTTCGATTGTTGTGTCTTCTGTTTTGCAATCTTAATCAACAATACATACATTTATTATATATGAAATATTACATGCGAAAAGAACTACTAGACTGCGTAGGTCTTCGCCATCCTTCATTTTTATTCTTTTCATACCTGTGCACAGCAGTCTCACTGATTTTCTCTCTCTCCCCTTTTGCTCCCTCTCGCCGTTCTTTCTTGTTACTCTTTATACACACACACACACATACGTATATATATATACGATGGTTGTTCTGTCTGTGACAAAAACTATTGAAAAAAAAACGCGACAGAGAAGTTTCGTAGGTGTACATATTGAAGAATAGAACAACATTCGTGCATGCACCATCTAAGTTCGTTGTTTGACGACGACAACGGCAAGAAGAAAAAAGAGAGAACATTAGCAATTCTATTTCCATCGAAAACAATGCATTGATTGACTCATAGCATTCTTCGATTTGAAAGTTTGTCGACGAAAAGCACAAATTTGAATATGCATTATCTATTAAACGATCAAAGTTATTATTTTCCATCCTCCAATGACCAATCTTATCCATTGCAACAATTCCTCCAGAATATGAATTCTAGTTTTCCAATTATTGTACGAATTTCATCATCAAATATTCACGAGCGATCAATAAAACATTTCCTGTCCAGAAACATTCCTTTATTATTACTGACTACTCATCAATTTCAATCCATTCTCTCCGAATACCATTGTTCAAACGAGGGAAAACATCGATCAAGTATCAGTCATGGAAAGCATCTGATTAAAAAATCAACGAAGCTTCGTACAATGAAGAACCTGTCCAAGTCACTTGTTACAATTGCGACCTCGAGTGGCCGAGATGGAAATACTGATGATACGAATGATGATTACGATGTGGATGCGTTCAATACTCGAACGATTGCTCGAAATTTAAATAAAAAACGTTCGAATGTTGTTCCGCTTTGTCGAATTCCACTGTCTTATCCTCAATATTTCGAATTATTGAATGAAAATGATCAAGCCATTGAGCCATTCCATCGAATATCCGATTTATTGATTATTGAATACCAAAATGATGAACAAAATCGGAAAGTACGTACGGAAAAATGGCCTCGAACATTTTTTCTTCGAAGTACATGTCAAATGTTTACAAAACGTTCTGTTCCGGATGACGGCAAACTTTCTGGTAGCGCCGATTCATGTTACGGTTCATTATCCGACCTCGATCCTCAAAAAACACCGCTAATTCTCAACGATGAAAAACAACTTCTTCAACCTGGGCAAGTCATCACAATTCTAAGTACATGTTTAGCATATCGTAGTCCTACAGGTGACCACGAATCACCCAAGTCGGATTCGTCGACCTCTCAATCGTCAACAACATCATGGTTACGAACAAAATCTCGATTTTTCTTTCCTCGCAAAAAACTTCAACAACCATCAGTGAATCCTTCGGCAATGACTACCTCAACAAGAAACATTTATGATGTACCAAAAATCTCTCAGTCGTATTTGAAATGTCAAACAGAACAAGGTGATATTGTCTACATATCAATCGACGAAACGGGTCTTTTTAGTCCCGTCTACACTCCAAAGCGACGATATAGTTTCATGTTTGATCCTGACAACGTCGATGTGTCAGGTGTTTTTCAATTAAAGCAACTCCTGTCCAATTTCCGTTTTCCAATTTCCGTTCGTTTGCTCAATCATTCCGTTACATTTGATCATATCTATTCTTCATCAAAAACAATCCTCTCTGAAACGCCCTTATCTTCGTCAACTAAATTCCGTTTGTTATTACCATACACCGAACAAGTCATTTTTGCATGTCCTTTAATCATTCCATCCTCGCTGAAATCTCATACAGTTATCATTCCAATACCGATCGATAGTGAAATTGAAGTTCAGCGTTGTATAAACATGCACGAGATCACGAAAACTAAATCTTACCAACGATTACTCGACAAATGCTCAGAAATCATCAATCAGTATCAAACTGAACTTTCGTACATACATTTTCCACTTGTTTTAAGCACGCCAAGCAAAATAAAATCCTCACAAAAGGATGCACTGTTTAAAAAACGCTCTCAATCCGAACCGCACATTGATATTCATCCAACGGAGCTCAGTAGAGGCACATTTCGCAAATCATACGATATGCTTAGCTATGATGAAGATCATCAACTGGATCCGATGCCAAAAGATCCTGATCAAACAGAGAAAGTCGTCAAACAATCAAGTTATTATTCGAAAATTAAAATTGATAAACCAAGAAAAAATTCTCGGCAACAAGAATGTGATTCTGATGATGAAAACTATCACGAAGTAGATCAGATCTATGATTATATACGCTCAGGAGACGTGACGATCGATGTACAAAAAATTCAAGCGAAAGAACAAGCATTGAACGCCAGATCGAATCAGATGGAAAACATTTCGCGCGTTTGTGTCTCAGCTGTTCTAAACGTACCGAATACAACCACAAAAGTAAGAAGGAAGTCAACAGGAACATGTTCTCATCATCATTTGATACATTTTAGAGCCCAAGGAAACAATTATCATCAAAATGTAATAGCGCAGAAGGACTGGAATTTCAACAATTTCCTTCGAATATGGATGATTCGCGACCAATAGATACTATACATGATCCAACCGATTCGTCAACGTTGAAACCCATTCTCCGAATGAGTAGAATTAACAAACATTGAAAAAATGCTATCTGCAATACACATTTGTCCTCATGTATGAAAAACTGCGAAATTTATTTTCTCTAAGATATTTTAATAATAACAAACACGTATCTCTAACCTTCTTATCAAGTATAAGATAATTGAAGAGGCATAAAAGAGTTGATTCGTTTCGATTAAATCGAATGTACGATCACTAGTTCAAATTGAATCGACCTTGATCTCAAGGTGAGCATTTCTAATGAAGTAAACTCGATTGGGTCGTATTGATTGAAGCTCGCGGATATTTAGCAAACATTTTCATAAAATGCAAAGACATTTATTTAATTAGTCTCAGGACTAGACTTGAAGTGTATACGGATGAATCAGAGCATTCAAGGATGATCTTGTCGGATCATATATCTCTTAATTCTTTTCATGATTTGCACATATGCGTTTCATTCTCAGAAGACTAGAGGTTTATTCAAGGTGAATAATAACAGACGATTCAGTTTTATTTGACTGAAAATATTAGAATTGAAAAATTTTTTTCAGCAATAATGGAATAAATATTGAAAATGTGCTGGTTAATTGCTAAGATGTTTGTCATTAAGAACAGCATGAAAGAGAATGTCGCCACACTCTATGATTGCTTTACTTTCAATTAAACATAGTTCTCGTCCACATCGGTTATGCGTGTTAATCGGTTTGGATATTTCTAAAAGCGAGAAAATCGAACAAGTTCATGGAGAAAAGAGTTCGAAACGTACCGATTGTTTTTCGTAGAATCTGATGAAGAATAGAAATGGATCGTTCACAAGCACGCTGGAATAGTTTACGATGATGCTGAGAATAGGAATATGTAGAATGAATTCACTTACGATTAGGTTATTCTCTTTATGAAACCAGGCGAGGATCAACGCGGAAAAAGAATCGCCAGTGCCGGTGAATGAACCTTCTAAATGTGGAAAGTCAATCTGGAATGTTTGATATTGATTATCTGAAAAGGAAATTTTCTGCATAGAAGATGATTTGTTGAAGAAGATTTTATCAACCTAGGAGTTGTGTGCTCGCTCGCATCTGTAACATTGTTTGATTACCACCTATTTTATCAGCTGATATACTCGAAATGATAATATGACTTGGACCCATTTTATGTAAGCTTCTTAATGATTGCCAGATGACTTCTTCTTGATTTTCATCATTTCTATAGGCCAGTTCTTTTCCGATCAATACTCTACAAGAATAGATAGAAATCATCGGCTCTCGTCAGATAGGTTAATAACTACTCGATTTCAAAATCGTTCGGCGTAACGATGTCAGCCAACGGAAGTATTTCGTTTTTATACACTTCGATACACGATCGGTCAACATACTGGAACAAATAACATAATCAAATCGAAAATTCAATGGCGGCTTACGAGTTTGTTATCATCACCAATCACCGGATCACAGACTATTTCAAAAAAGTGTCCTTTTTTCGAATTCTTTGCTTAGTTCATACATACTGTATTTGATATGAGCAGATTTTGATTTAATCAGACGAATGTATTTCGCAACTACATGTAAAAGTTCTCCTGAACCCATATAACCTACGGAAAGATGAGTTTGTTCAAAAATTAGAATAACAGAAGAATGTCTATACCGGTGAGAATGTAATCATATTCTAATAGCTCGTTGATTAGTAGACCTTGAAAAATAGCTTCGAGTTCATCAGCAGTCAACCGACTTCCTTTTACTGTTTTATATCCTGAGTGAAGAACCGGAATTTGATAGGGGATTCATTGATGAAAAAGAGATCTGAACCTGTATGATTGGAAAAGTGAACCGAATTAATGATATCAACTTCAAAACCATAGAGCTGAAAAGATTCACTGGTTAGATGGAAACCAGATTTTCGTTTTCAAGAAGCGTAAAAACCTGAAGAATAAAAGCTGCACACTTGTTGCCAACAAATCCATGGACAACATGACTTTGAATCGATAAGACTCGCGGAATTCGATGGGATTCACTAGACATATTACAACTAATATCGAGTAATATTACGAAAATCAATCAATGAAATACAACTACTAACATGTGTGAAGTGAATATAATATGGATCGAATGTCAATAAAGAAGAGGTCGCACTCGACTAGACAAGTGATTTGTGCTCGAGAAGTTTTTTTTCCTTTGATTCACCTGTTTGATAGGACAACAGAGAGACAAAGTCATAATTTATTATTAATTCATTTAAAACAAAGAGAAACACAGCACAACAACGAAAACAGACATTCTCATTGACAAATATTGCCTAATCCTACCTACGAGTAATAACAATGAAAACATACAGATTCTTACTATTGTTCCAATGAGCCTAGGTGTCAAAAAAACTTCTCAACAATATTTCAATAATGTTTTAAGTGTACACGCTTGAAGACAACAATCTCCAATCAATGTATTATTAAATTCTAAAGAAAATAACAACAAATTTTGCAAATGTCAAAGACGATATCTAGTTCAAACTTACGTGCATAATCCGTGACTGATAACGTACGTGTGAATGGATCATCGTCAACAATCATTTGTCGTTTTTGATACGTGGAATCTGAGGACGATCGTTGTGTTTTCATTAACAATTGTCTTGCTCGATCACAAACCATATCAAGCATGCGCACTAGAGTTGGTCCACAGAGTTTGATACTCGCTGGTTTATGTCTTGATGTATTGGGTCGTTTTCGACTTGTGACATTCTTTTCGTATGTTGAGGAAATGAATAAGATTGTTAAGAAACACAGCATGAGAAACGATGATCGAAGCATGTTACTGATCAGTGAGTCAAATAATAATACTAGTGAACATTTGAGTCAAGTTCATATTCACTATTGTTAATCTTATCAGGGATAGTAAACATTGCTTTTACACACGTCCTCATCGAACAAGACTCGTGCCCCTTACTTCATGAAAATTATCAAACTGTCCTTCTCTTTCTTCATTTCTCAAACGAAAGTTATATAGGAGAGGATATACTCAAGGAAAGGCTAAACAAACAAATCTTAATGTATGCATTGAGATTAAAAACTAATTAGTTTTTTTCTCATTCAATTCAGATATTAGCATTTCAGAGGAAACGAAATCAACTTCACCGAAAAGAAATGTCTTTATTAGAAAATCAAATTCGCTCTTCAACTGATTTCCATTTCGACACACATTGTCGAGTGTTGTTCATCGACAATATTCAATGAAATGTTTCGATTCATACTTCCGTATTCATATCACATGAACTTCAAGTCAAGTATATGAAAACAATGTGACTTATCATCTTTCTTCCTGTTGATTTTCAATTTCCATCGCATCGATCGGACAACGATGGTCTTTCACTTGTTTGATTGAATAGATAATTCTAACACGAATTATCTCTTTAGCAATTGGACAGATGACGATGAGCGTCACTTATGTTAAACGGCAAACTTTACTTTTTTTCTCCAATACTAATCAACTTCGAAAATACGCATGAAACAAATGCTTACACGTGCAAAACAAACAAACAAACGAAGGAACATGTTCAATCAAGAAAGAAGAAGAAGAAGAGAGAGAAAAACAAGAAAACGAACTTGACATCCTCAAAACAAATGACCAACTTTCTATACAAGAATGTCTGATGTTGAACAATCGAACTGTTCCGTTCTTAATCTAAATACACAGTATTTATTCAATTCAAAACCGAACGGACACGAAAGAGAAAAGGAAAAAATAAAGTGAAGCGTACACATATATCTATGTATAGTTAGAATCAGTTTGTATTGTTGGTCGGTGCGGAATCTGTTGTTGTTGTTGTGATAGTTGTTGAGGAAGAGGAATTAGGTGTATTGGCTTGTTGTAATAGTTCAGCTAGTTTAGCTTTATCGAGAGATGTTGAACCGAGTAACGCTTGGGCGACTTCGGGTAGAATGTGAATAGTTATCATTGGAACGCCTGTTGATGTTGTTGTTGCAGATGACGAAGGAAGGGTGTCAGTGGTAGACACTACACGTGACATAGCAAATAAGTCTTGCGGGTTTGCAAAGTTAATTGTCACACGTTTACTGTTATTCGGATCGAGAACATTCGAGGTGGAAAGTGTTTTCACGTCGTTTTTCGTCAGATTTAGATTATTCACTGTTGGCAAATGAGCTTTTCTCAAACAGGCATGACGATGCAGTAGTGATTCGAGCTGATTCTTCTGGTCGGATAATGATTGGACTGAACGTTGAAGGTTTTGTTGTTGTTCCGTTAGTATTTGTTCCGTCTATTGCAATTCAAGAAGAAAATTTTTTTTGACATGACAATTCAATTTACTTTTTCTAATTGTTCACGAAGTTCATTTCGTTTCTTTCGACATTTCGCTGCTGCCTGTTTATTTCGATCACGACGTTGTTGACGTCTGACATTTTCTTCTGGTGGAAGCTAAATTGAATAAAATAAGGCAATAACTTTTGCTAGTTAAACAAAGTCAGTGATTCCTACCGGTTCATCTTTACTTTTTCGACCACTGGCAAGTGTCGGTGCAATCTGTTTCCTTGGTTTGACTAAAATTGGACCGTATTGAATAGGCTCAATTACTTGTGATTTCGTATTTTTAGAGTTCGATACTGATTTCGCCGATTTGCCTCGTCGAGATTTACTTGCTGAATTGTTCTCATTTCTGAGCTGATTATAATCCTCGGTTAACATTGATGAATCATTGTCATTGTTTTCAAGGATATCATCTTGTTTCAAAGGAGTTAATTTAGCTTGATTAGCTAAGGCTGAAGCCGTCGGGACACCACGTGATGTAGTATAGTCAGCTAGGGACAGAATGGGCAACGTTGGAGTCGCTGTTACTGTTGTTGTGCTTGTTGACGATGGATTCGAAACAGTAATTACATTCTAAAAAGATGATAAATTAGGAAACGAAGCTTTTCCAAATGAAATTTACTAGTTGTTTAACAGTTGGAATGACTCTCTGTCGACCGGTGGCCATCGAGACTAATGTATTGGCGACTTCGGTGGCGGTATTCTCGGGATTATTTGTGACTAAAACTGCAGATGATGGTCCATTTGAATCTTGTGTCTGAACGCTTTTTTCTGCAGTTTCTTGTGCTTGATTGGACATAGTGAATAGAGTTGGGGCAAATGTTTGTATCTTCGATCTAGATAAAAAACGAAGAAATTGACCAAACGTCAGATGGAGATATTGATTTTTTGTTTTTGAGAAAGGAGCAGATGCTTTACACGTGAGAGCAAAACGGAAAATTGATAATTAATCGAAACGAAAAAGTTTACAGAAATTTCCCGTTACGCTTTCGTATCAGAAGAGAAGAACGAGAGAATTTCTCGTTCCACGCGAGGTACGTATGCATTAGTCAGCCCGCATACTGCTGTTGAATCAGCGACATATCACAAGAACGCAAAGTAACTCTAACAAAAAACGCGATAAATAGTCATAGTGGTGCGCAAAAATGCATACTCCCTAACTACATATACACATCTACATACTCTTTCGTCTTTTTAACGATTGCTTCGTCTTCGTGCGCCTCTGATTGTTCTTCTACTCTCAGCTGCCGACAAAGAGGTAAGAAGAGAAAAAAAACGAGCAAAAAAAAGTTTTCTTTCGAGGACGATGACGCATTATTTTTTTTTCTTTTTCTCCGCGTTTTTTCCATTACGCACGATGAATAATAACACACACATACACACGGTAAAAAATAGCAACGTCAGGCTTTTGTTGTTGTCATGTTTATCGTATGATTCATGTCGATAAAGCGAGAAAAGACTGTATGTATGTACGGCGATGGGGAAGAGTCTTGTATAAATACGAATCTAATCAAGAAAAGAAGACAACGGTAGCTTAATAGAAAAAAACAACAAGTATACAGCTCGACATTATTATTCCATTTCGATTTTTTCGTTCGCATATGATTGTAGTCATATATACTGTATGTGCAAGTGCATTTAACAAAAAAGTAAATGTCGCCCGTAGGTTTTCTTTCTTAATACCGACCGTTAAGTCGATGCTTGAGAAATGAAAAATAAGACATACCTATCTTGTACGACGCTGAAGACAACGTTTCGACGATCCATATCAATTAGTTATTTATGATTAATCATAATCTGAAAGAGAAAAATATATCGGCATATTCTGAGACAGATATTTTTCTCAAATAACAGAAAAACAAAACAGAGTTAACTTTTATTCGAACAAGTTTCACAGGATGAACACGTTTTGTTCTCGTATGCAACTTCGATCTTTCGTCGAGGCTGCCTCAATGGTCGATGTTCGGGATTATTTGGTGTCCATGGTCCAAGACTATTTTGGGCGTAGAAATCCATTGGATAACGACTTTGCCATTCAATTTGTCGAAGTGCAACCATCGCCTGATAAAATATATAACGAAATCACGAATTTTCTGTTCGAGTAGAACATACTTCATATGGAGTCAGAATTGGTGTTTGAAAACCAGCGCCCCAGTCTATTGATAGGCGTGGACATGAGGTTTGAATCCAACTAAAATCGAAGGAAAATATGGAGCAACGATAAATGAACCGATGGAAAGATAGAACACACTTACACATCAACATTCTTGAATAATTTTAATTTATCCGGCATTAATTCAGGCATCACAACTTGAATATAGGACTTTCCATTGGATTTTAAACGTTGTTTGATTGTCTAAAAGAAAGCTACGAATCGGTAATCAACAAAAAGTACTATTTTTAAATATACTTCAAGAACTTTCGGCGAGCCCTGTCGTCCAAGTGAACCAAGAACTAAACCCCACACTTGTCCATTCGCTGCTTTGTTAATTTCAGTTTGGCGTACGCTATGCATTGATTTTGTGTCATAATATTCTCGAGTGAATTCCTTGGAATATGGATCATATCTGCACAAAGCAATTCTAATTTGATTCCTTCTCACTTCGAACTTACTTAAAGGCTGGCGCATTTGGATTATGAATCATGATTGATTCGATATGAAATCGACCATCACCAATGTATAATATTGAATAGGAATCTGGAATTATTGGAGATGTACAACCAAGAATTTCACCAGGTGATAGCGGTTTAGTTTGAGGCATAATTACATCCGCAACATGCTCCTTCAGTTGCTCTTTAATGATCTAAGAGTCATCGTGTGAGATTTGGTGAAAAACATGAGACGAAACACATACTTGTAATGTTCGAACGAATTGAATGGTGCTCACAAGAGCTAATTTGCTATCCGATGTAAAATGATGTTTAAGTGTATCGACGATATGTTGTAGATTAACTTGAATATCAACGAATATATAGAGAATACTTATTCCAGGCGTTTCATCGATAGGAACTAAAACACAAACAACAATTATATTCTATTCGGTTAACACATGAGGACTGAATCTATTTTCGACAAAAGAGCAATTCTTTGTCTCAGACCGCGAAGGCTATCATGTATTTGATGAAAACTATCATATATAAACACTCACCTACCGAGACAACTATGCCCATAGTGTATCAACAGATCACACTTCAAAGCTCGAGCACCATAATCATCAATACAACATGCTCCATAAGCCACATCGCCCATAATCACAACATCAGCATTGGTAAAACTTTAAAAGAAAAAGTAAAGAAAAACACCTTTGACTTTTATTTGATCTTACGCTTTGAGTATATCAGCGATCGTACACGCGAATACAAACAAACCTTCGGGCATTTGCATAGCCACTAATAAGAGTTCAAATAAAAAACATTCATCCAGCACTCTTCTCTCTACCTCGTTTAGCTTTGATTGTTTTTATTCTCCATATCGTCTTATGTATTTCAAAATTATAATTCTCCGGTAATTGTTTGATCTGTAGGTTAAGTTCTTTATCATTGAGCAGCTCTTCAGGTATCTGATTCGCGTTCAGCGGTCGTACTTTACTCATCTAAAATGTAGAGAAATAAGGCATCATTTATTTGGTATGTAAGCGCATAAAAGTTTCGTGACAACGCTTAAAATTTCCGCATGAACAAGAAGAATGAAAAAGTTCATGTAATGCTGCTTCCATAATCGTATACAAACGTAATTGAGTTGAGAGTTTACACAAACGATATGATGTCGAAATGCAGCATGGCTTTCTCGCCTAAGGATAAAACATGACAAAATCAATCGGATAGTTTCAACGGAAACTCACTCGATAAACAGTCGCCTCGTAATGATCGACGATTTCTTGTAACTTTTCACATTTTTCGCCTTCGATCGTACACGCCTGTTCAGTTGCTCGGATGGCTTTCATATGTTCACTGAAAGGTAGACGATTGTAGATACGATGGAGACCATGTGAATGTCTTACCTCGCTCTACAACCGAATTTGTCTATTAACTGTTGCTTTAATTGTTCAATCTGTTGATCACGATGAGATATTTCTGCTCGACATTCGTTCTTTAACTGCAATAAACGAGCTTCACACTAATAAAGAATGCCAAATACAAATATTTTCGATTCTTGTTAAAAACTTCTATCTACTTCGTTGACGACGTGTGATTTATCAATAGTTTCAATCAGTTCAATCGATTGACCTTTCGCTGCGTTCAAATGATTTAATTTACTACGAAGTTTCAACTGCTTTAACTCATGTGCATCTCGTTTATGGCACTGTTTTGTAATTTCATCTCGTAAGTCATTAATCTAAATGAAATAAACTCACGAAAAGATACACATAAATGTTCATCAAACCTGATCGTTCAATTGAGCTGCTTCAGTAATCAATTGTCGAATTAGTTTCTTTTGTTCACGTATTGTCCGCCGCAAGTCAGATCGCTTCTGTCGAACTTTTTCACAGGTATACAAATTGAACTCATGTGATTTCTTTAGAGAAAGAAGAAAACTAAATGAATATCAAGTTCGTGTCTCATTGAACGAAACAACTAAAACTAAATCAATAGCTATAGGATGCAAAGGAGAAAGAAATCAAGAAAGATCGATTCTTTTTTTCTTTCAAGGAAAGAGAGAGAGAAAAAACGAGCAGCCAGGCAATTTACACTACACATACCTCTGACTAGACAGCCTAATATGAATGAAAATAGTTTGGAAAGATAAAAAGATCATATGTGATGTCTTGAAAATGAAAAATCTTACTGAGAGTGTCACGCGAAGACGATTAAATTTTTGTTTGAATAACGTTAGTTCACGTTCAGTCGTTGGCGGATTCAACGCAAGAAAATCTTCTTCTTCACTCGTTGGTTCCGCAGTAGAGAATTTCAATGGTGGTAACTTAATATCGACCGCATAAGGATTCGATTGACGTTCCGATAAAATCGATGGAACAATCAATGTACGATCATAACGGCGTGGTAAATACGACAAAACCGGCATATCAAGCATCACAGACGAACATCTTGAGTCGGATTCTTCACTACTTTTATTTCCATTTTCATCCATAGTGTTAACAATCTAAAATTAGAAAAACAAAATACAACTAGATAACAATCACGTCATATCACTGTAATAGAAATATGTTGTTGAGAGAAAAAAAGAAGGGAAAACAACAGAAAAAAGTGAGAGAAAGAAAGGATGAATTAGTTTTTCTTCTAGCGTAACAACCAATAAAAAACAACAACAACAACGACAAGAAAGTTCCTATGTGCATCGAATGAACATAGGAATGAAAATAATCTACACATCGAAGAAAATTCACTCATCATTAACAATTAACAATGTTGTTGAATCGTGTGCATCATCGTTTCGTGAATCGAATGTTTTCAGAAGTTGAAAAAGTGCAGCTGCTTCTTTGATATTCCGGAAATTAACACAAAAACCTTGAACTTCGACGAAAAGATCTTTGATATCAATTACTTTATTTCGTATTAACGATTGAGTCAATACACTCACGAGTCGAACGAAACGACTTTGAAGATATTTATCTTTCGTTTCGTCACATGTTTTTATACATCTTGAGATGTATAGATGAAGCAATTCGCGTGGCAATTCCATGGATGTGGATAGACGATTGACAACTTCCATTGAATGTAAACTCATATTCATCTGTACTAGCGTATGAAGATAATCTGTCATTTGACTGGATGAGATCAGTTTGAGCAGACAACTGGTACTGATCGTTGGATTATTTTCGACTAATGATGGTAATTTTTGAGGCGTTAAACCAAGATGATGAACAAGTTCAGGATCGCGATCAAGATCGTCGAGAATCTTTTGCTGTTGCTGCAGATTTATTGCACCTTGATAAGCTTTATCCATTATCAATCGAACTTCGGAATAGGCCGATTTTGACATACACATAGAATCATCCCAAGTAAATAACGATGTGTCGATATCGAGATTTGGTATGGGTGACAGCCAAACGAGTTCGTCGATTGTGCATTCATGTAAAGGTGGAACTAAACGAAGATATTCAGGATGAATTGTTTGTTCCATAACATTATTGACTAATAATTGTTCAATGGTCTGGCGTGTGTTTGCCGATCGACAATTTGGACCACCGATTAACGTATCGTATCCATACTGAAAAAACAGAAATGTTAAGTTGGGAGAAGAGATTTGACTCTACGTACGGTATTGATCTCTGGATCGTTGATGACTGCCGGTATATGGCATTGAACAAGAGCTGGCATTTGCTGTCTTTGTTGATAAAGGTGTTCTGCTAATTGCTGGTGAATCTCTTTCTGTAATTGATCGTCATTGATTGGAAAATCTGTTTGTAAAAATTGATTGGGTGTTTTTTTAATAATGTCTTTATTTGTATTCGCTTTGATTAGTAAAGAAACTAATATTCGTTCGTGTCGAGTAACAGGTGAGATAATCCAGTGAAAATGTTTATGACTTTTCAATGATTGATCTCCGTTGGTTTGTAAAATCGAAAGAAAAACAGGTGCGAATGGATGTAGAGAAATTGATTGTTGGTCCGTTTTGTACATTTCAATGAAAAGATAAAAAATAATTAAGCGTTGCGCTACCGTCGGGGTTAAATCTCGATTCTGTAACAATAAGAGCAAAGCATTTCCAACGTGTAAGTACTCGCTCTTCGAGATTTCACGTTGGAAGTCTTGAGAAATCTGTTCGAGTGTGGATGTCGAACCGCATGTGTCTTCATTGAGAAAATTTAAAAGAAGATTTATATTACTAGATGATAAAGACATGCTAGATTTGAGAAGAAAAAAAAGGTTTTTTTTCCTTAGCAGTCATTCGATCGAAATATGGAGTACCGATCGTACCAATCAGGACAAATATAGATGGCAGGCAATATTTATTTTCATGTTATTATTCCCTTTCAATTGATTACCTTCATAGACAAAAAAATACTTTCTTTCATCATTTACCTTATTTGGAAAGACTTTCAAAGATTTTTAACACAATCACACCTCTGCATATACATTTGACTAGTCAAATGGTAGATATCAAATGATGATTTTATGCATGTAATAAACAGAGAAGACTTTTCTTAGTCTGACAAATACGACATAGATAGAACGAAGAAAAAGCCGTAGACTATTTTCAAATGATTCAGAAGGTCAACGTATAGAGAATCACACGTCATTGTTAAGGTTATTATATATAATCATGGTCATTTATTTTGATGTGTATAGAATGTCTTTTATCAATATATTTGCTTTTTTATTCTAGCTTTATGTTCATATAAGTTTTTTGTCTTTAATCGAACCGATCGATCTATTTCTCCACGTTCGTACTCAAATACAAAGAAATCTTCGAGTTTATTTCTTCTTGAATGGCAGACGATGATCAATTTACTATGGGTAATGAAATAATACGTGATTAGCCTTGTGTTGATTTTCTTCGTTTTCATTTCGTAGATACTGACAGTGAGGATCTGAATGAAGAGGAAGAAGAGGATGATGAACAAGAATCAGATGACGACACGGGATTTTTTCCTATTGATGAGCATGTTGTACAATCATCGCAACCAAATAATCAACCAATACGTACCTCATCCGAACAGTCAAATAAATATTCCTCTGGTCTAACGGCAACGAACACTCATCCTCAAGACAATAATTTCGAATATGTTGGTAAGATTTTGTGTGAAAACTAATTTTCTCTATCAACATGCGAATGAATACGTTCTCCTTAGTCTTGTCACAAGAAGAAATAGTCAAATACATGGTAGAATGTATCAAAGAAGTGAATGAAGTGATCAAATTGCCATCGACAACAGTTCGTTTGCTACTTCACCATTTTCGTTGGGATAAAGAAAAGTTAATGGAACGTTTCTACGATCCCAATCATCAGGAAGAATTGTTTCGTCAAGCACACATAGTCAATCCTTTTAAAAAAACGACTCCAACTCCAACTCAACTGACGAGTTCATCACAACGTACAACACATCGTCAAGTATCCCAATCTTCATCCGATCAAACATGTGCCATATGTTGTTCAACAAAATCTTCATCTGAAATGACCGGTCTCGAATGTGGTCATAACTTTTGTATTAATTGTTGGCAATACTATTTAACTACGAAGATTCGCGATGAAGGCATCGGACAAACAATTCCATGTCCAGCTCAATGTGACATCCTAGTCGATGATAAGACAGTCTTACAACTGATTCGCACGCCTGAAGTGCGTCAGAAGTACCAACATTTAATCACTAACTCGTTTGTTGAATGCAATCGAAACATGCGCTGGTGTCCAGGAACAAATTGTACGAATGCAATAAAAGCAGCCTATTGCGATGTGGCTATGGTTGTGTGTACAGGATGTAATACATCATTTTGTTTTCAATGTGGTCAATCGTGGCATGAACCAATCAAATGTAAATGGTTGAAAAAATGGCAAAAGAAATGTCATGATGATAGTGAAACGAGTAACTGGATTGCTGCGAATACAAAAGAATGTCCGAAGTGTCATGCGACAATTGGTAAATCGAAAAAAAATTCCCGTCATCGATATGAATACCTCTGTTTTGTGTTTTAGAAAAAAATGGTGGATGCAATCATTTGATATGTAAGAATCAATCTTGCAAGTATGAATTTTGCTGGGTGTGTTTGGGCGCTTGGGAACCTCATGGTTCATCCTGGTACAACTGCAATCGTTTCAATGAAGATGACGCGAAAAAAGCGCGTGACGATCAAGAACGCTCTCGAGCGGCATTACAACGATACCTTCACTATTATAAACGTTACCATAACCATCACGAATCTTTACGGTTAGAAAGTAAATTGCTATCTGAAGTGCAAAAACGTATGGAATCGATGCAGCAACAAATGAGCTGGATTGAAGTTCAATTTCTTCAAATCGCTTGTGACGTACTTCGTCAATGTCGACAAACGTTAATGTATACATACCCATTTGCGTTCTATCTCAAACGAAACAATCATTCGTAAGGAGAGACTCAAATGAAAATGTCGAAAATGTTGTGATTGTTCTTTTAGAATTATATTCGAACAGAATCAAGCTGATTTAGAACACGCAACGGAAGAACTATCAGGTTATTTAGAACGAGATTCGAATCAAATCACAAATCTAACTGAAATGAAGCAGAAAGTTCAAGATAAGTATCGTTATTGTAGCACACGACGAAAAGTATTATTAGATCATGTGGCTGAAGGATATGATTGTGATTATTGGTGAGTCAAACCTATATTTCATCGCAAATCATTTGAAACTTCTTGTTTTCTTTGCAGGGAATATAACGAAGATTTATAAAGACGAATACAAATCTATCCATATCATTCGCATCCTTGTACATATGTCATTTCTTGAACTCTTTTGTCTATATTTGGATGCGAGATGTGTGTGTTTGTTATGCCATATTCACTCTAACATATACTTCTTTCCGTGGCTCGTTCAATTGTTTCTTTTGTTCGATTTATCCAAGAAAAAGCAGAAAAGTAAACATAACATATGAAACAAGAAATTAACAGTTTCTTTCCTTTCTCTTTCCCTTTTTTTTCTCGTTCTGTGAACTATTGCCAAATGCCAGTTAATTATTTCATCATCGAATTAATTATTTCTCATCTCATTTCTCTTTCTTCTCTTCTCTTTCTTTTATGACATGTTTAATTAATTCGATTGTCAATTAAAAGAAAGTATTTTTTGAATGGATTATTCCTTGTCATCATATTTTCACCAGATGAATAACAGATGCAATCATCTCAACAAGAAAGAGGTAAAATGCATCGACTTTTATCTTTGTGTCTAGTTTTTCAAATCACAACATAGTAACAATAAAAAGAGAACTCGTATCTTCAATCCTGACGACCTTTTAGTTCGCGTACAGTGATCTTATCTTTTTCAATGACATAGACAACTGCACCCCAACCACTGGCTGAATCGCGATCAACTCCATTCAATAAAGCTTGCGAAGTGGCTTCGAATAATTCATCAGCATTCATGTTCGGTTTGAAAAAGAGTTCGCCTATTAACAAAATGAAAAGAAGACGATTGTTTCAGGAATATTTAAAGGATTGTTTTGTCATACCGAGACCAAAAATATATTCACTAGCTGTCCCTACTGTGACTAGATTAACATTATCACTTATAGCTCCGATATTATCGGAATCATAAACGAATGTTTCACCCGTCTTGGGATCCAGACCGACGACGAGTGCAAAGACGAAATACGGTCCAAATCGTCTTTCGTAGAGAAGATTTGTTAACATGTTATACAGAACATTGGGTTTTAATTTTCTTTGTTCGCGTAATTCATACAAATTCGTACGGAATTTTAATCGTTCCGAGACTGTTTGAACCTTTGAAATCAAAGCAAAACTTCGTTTTCCGACGTTCTCATCAGCACTAGATACTTACATCAGTCGCCAAACCACAAAATGCAACAAAGCAGTGATCACTATATTGAAATATCTTTGTAAAATTCGTCGCGATTGTTCGATTCTGTACACCATAACGTTTATCACAAGCAATTGCTATGCATTCTTTGCCTTTCATTGCTAGAGCGACACCCCCATTGTACGATAAAATGTCGTCACCCATGTTGATTTCTTAGATCTACAAGGAGATAATTTAAATAAATATCCGAGAAAAAGAAAAAGAAATGACAAGAAAAAAGGAAAAAGTCGAATTAAAAGATTGGAATGTAGTTGTCAATTCTAAAGCGAAAATACGTTGAATGATAATCAAGAAAAGAACTGTCAGTTACCGTGCGCGATGTTTCTGAGAGATACATTCAGCAATCCAAATAATATTACGATTCTCTTGTTCTTTTAATTTCAAATAAGCATAAAAAATTCCGAAATGAAATTGACGAAGGAATGCATTCATATTCAATTTAACCTAAATCGGATGTCCATATTTCTATCTGAGAAAAAGTTCGAGATTTTACCTCATGCTCGAAAAATCTATCTTCAATTGTTTTATCACCGGTGTTCGTACCTGAACCATCGAATAAAACTTTGTATTGCTAAAAATCAAATGAAAGCATCTCGATGTCAATGTCAATTCATGATCAAACTAACCGGATAACGAGAAGCAACATCTCGAACACCTTCGTAATTATCTGTTCGTCGTAATTCCTGTAAGCCATCAGGATGTAAATGACCACATGTTGGATAAAGTTTAGCCCGATCATCTTGTGTCAAACCGGTATCGAATGAATTAATCGTGATCATAAAAGCGCGACGATCAGCTTCAAACTGAAATGATACAATCGTTCCTGTTTTGGCTAGGATCTTTCTGTAAACGTACAGCGAGAATTTCACACATCACTTCAGCGGTTACACCACCGAGGTTTTTGCAAAAATTGTAAAAATCTTCAAGATACGCCTAAATGAACATATTTATAATGAAAAAAGTGTCCTATGATTTCCGCTGCGCTTCACTTTATAAAGTGTACTTCGAATGATTTCAACATTGAGCTCGTCAAGATCATGTTCAGAGATACAATCAATAAAGTACGGTGCTAAAGACAAGAATGAATTTCGTGGTTGTCATCAAAACTTGCATCTGATTACCTAATGGTGTATCAACTAATACAGCTGTATAGAGTTGAGCAGGTGTATCTGCTACTGTTATTGCTCCAAGTTGTTCGAAACTTCCCAATGGATGACAACGTGGTAAAAGATCCCCAATTGCACGTTGGTGAAGTGTACCGGTGATTAAAAGAACAATATTATCAATCATATACCCATATCTATTTGGAAACGTCGTTTAAAAATAAAGAAAACATCTCCCCTTTTTTTTCTTACGTTATATAATCCAAAAAAGTTGATAATGGCTCGTAGGATATGTTTCTCAAATGTTGAAACTCTTGAACGATTTTTTCACGTAGTCGATCATCGATAACATTGACCGTTAATGGATTTGACTCATTTGATAAGAAATTGCCATAGTCAGTTGATTGAAGGTGAAGTCTCAAATCTACCGACCATATTCGTATGACTTTTCTATCCAAATTATGTTTCGAATTTACCTTCGAGTGTCTCGCATTGCACTAAGTTGTGATAATCAGTTGATTTTAAGATTCCACTTCGGAACCCGCGGCATAAACCTTCGGCATAACCATGATCAAGATTAAAAACTAAATCTTCTTTCATTCTTTCTGGATTATCTAAAAATTTAATAAACCAACTAGGATTAATTTGATCGCTTTAATCAGAAAACGAATGTTTGTACAAACAAAAGTCGAATCGCTTTTTTATATAACAATATGAATAAAGAGATTAAGCTGAACCGGCAGATATAATTTGAAAAAAAAACGAAGTTTGATTTCATGGGAATGTTAATTAAGTGAATTACATGAAAAATATTAATGCGAAGGATGTGCAGTTTCGGTAAAAAAACTTAATAGATTGTCTACGGTAAACTCTAGATGTATATTAGAATTCGGATAACAGATTTCGATTAATTTCGTCATTCGTTCATATTCTCCAATAACAAGTGTTTGAATATCGTGCCAAATCACCTAAAAGGTACGAATGTGACCATGATATCGCTCGGGTCGATTCTCAAGTACGTACTTGCATAAGAGAGGAATGTTCCGAGAGATGCTTTTCGATCTTTTTATAGAGACTTTCTAATCCTCGTTTGACCTAAATCGACAAAAGATAATGACGAATTTTCCTATAAAGACGCCGTACTTCTTTCGGTGGATGTTCACGAACAAGTCGACGTAATTCGATAATACTACAATCGCTTTGAAATTGAACATCTTCGTCTTTTGCCAAACGTTTGCGAAGTTCATCGACACGTTCAAAGAATAACTGGAAATGAAAAATGCCCGAAATATTTTCTCATGGATCAAGTCAATGTTTTACGTGTAGTCTTTCGAATGGAAATCCACAATATTCACGTTCATATTCCGCTTTCGCTGCATTATAACTCTTCCGGGCTTCTTGTTTTTCCGCATCTAACGCTGATAGTTTCTTAATACCCATGATATCTATTCGATAGAATATGATTTAAACAAGAAATAACAAAGTCGTTCACGTACGTTGCATTTGATGGTAGTTCTCTAAAGAAAATTTTGAAAAATTGTGGATGTTGATTTACTGTTTCTCATCTTACCGAGTCGAATCATTGAGTGTGGTGTTTTAGGATCGTTTGCCATTCCTGCTGCACATTGTTCAATTCCGCGAAAAATTGCGCCGACTAAAGTCTTGTAAGCTCGATGTAAATCAACCGCTCGTGATGATTTATCAAAGATCATTTCCGCTTCATCGCTGAATTCCTACGACATACATTCATTTCGCTTACTTCTACAAAAAAAATATATTCTACTTACTGCAAAATAATTGACGAAAGGCAATATTCCTACTCGTCTGTTTCTGCTTGGGCGATAGTCATTAATGTCCTTACAAACCTCACTCTAAATTGAAAAAATCATCTGTTTATCTTTTCCTAGAAGACATCGATCGATTTTACCACATAACTATCCACTTCTCGTTTTAGCAAAATTAGATTTCCAGCAAATAGATCTTTTAGAAATGAACCGTAATTTTGTACAGCGATCGTATGCTCATTCATACGTACAAAAAGATAAAGAACCGTACTAAACAAACAGGAACGATATGGAAATATTTAGTTTGGAGTGTCAAGAGAAATACATACAATGAATCGACATTCTTTACATGACCAATTAAGGCTTTTATCTCACTATCCAACGGTTCGAATAATTCTGCAAGTATGTGTCTAAAAGAATTCTCTTTGTGTAACACTTCAGAAACGTAGGATCACTTACTTTAATCCGGATGAACGAAAATTCTCTGTGCCTGTCGTAGACTCTGATGCATTCTAAAGATAAGCAAAAAGGTAAGTGTGCATCAGAAATGAGAAACCTACTTCTCCGGCGATGGTTTCCTCGTCAGCTGAATAGAAGAAGTTGACACAGAACAATTGTTCTTCACGCACAACAGGTGCGATTTGGCCAAGTACGCGATCAAAGATCTATTTTATCGAAGCAGATAGTTTGAATCAGAAAGAGAACATGTTCAATACTTTATCGGATCGTATTCGAAACTCTCGCGTAGAATTTTTTAATGAAAATGGATCATTATCTGCTACACCACTCATCGCTTGAGTTTGCATAGATTGTCGATCTCGTCGAATTGTATTCAATGTCGAAACCGATCCAGCTAAGACACGAAAGATACTTGTCAGAGCTTCACGTAGAAGTCATCTTACCAGCACGCCGTTCTGGCATAGCAATAGCGCCTTTAGTAACACCTAGTCGAGCTGATTCAAAGAATCCATGAATTTCTTTGGCATAAATCGGACGAATTTGCGAAACATAAGCCTATCATAGTGTCAAAATAATAAAACAAAGTCAATGCAAAGTTTGATTCTTACTTGGCAGACTTCTTTGAAATATCCAGGTGATGACGCCTTCAACCACTGGCATAACGGACTGAAAGGCAACAATGGTCGTGTGATTTTCTCACCATGACGCGGTAATTCATTACCACCAAGCTCGAAATGTTCGCCATACCCTTCAGCCTAGAAGAGGGTGAGTTCAGCCGTCTTGTTTTTATGCCAAAATAGACTTACATGAAAAACAAATTTACTACTGAGAAAATTTCTACACCTTAATGAAAACGATCGTTGTGTTTGTTCGAGTAACTCTCGTCTTTGCTTGATCGCTGCCATTTTTTCCATTCCTATCTCGATACGGATTTCAAGAATAAGCTCAACAGATCGATCATCACTAACCTGGTTGAAGTTGGACTCCAACGGCCTGAGTTAACAAATTTGCGACTTGAATGCATGCGGCTCGATCATTGTCATTGGTTAGATCACTGTTTTGTAATAATTGAATATCTTCATCTGAGAAGTCTTGCACTCCCTTGGAAAGAAAGACAACTATTTAATAATGATCTACGTCGAACATCGACGATCGCTTACTAGTAGGTTTTCTAAAGCGTCAGTTAGTTTGTGAACGTTGGCAGTTTCAATTTGTATTAACGAATCTTTTCGGCTCATAATCTTTACGGCATCTGCAACGGTCTAAATTCGGAGAGGGAATAAAATCTCCATGCGTCTAAATTCCATCGACATACACTCAGTTTCTTTTCATAGAGACCCAAACGATCATCAATCTTGGAAATTTCATCGACAGCTTTGTCTAACATATTCATCAATTGTACAGCGCCTTTTTCCGAAGCCATGACTGTCTCCACATTTGCCTGAGAAGAAGAAAAAAAGTGATATGATTTCAAGATAGACTTGACTTACGACGTCGAGATCAGTCAAGCTTTGCTGCAGCATATCAACAAATCGTTCTGCATCTTTAATCGCAAAATCATATTCGGACATAAGATTGGTCAAATCTTGTTCTTCCTGTTGGGTTATGGCATCCCATGTTTCCGGCATAGCTGGATATTCTAATTATTGTTCGTATATCTATCAATCTGAAACAAACGAATCTGATCATGATAATCTTTCGAATATGAATAAAAATGGGAAGAAGATTTATAGAAGCGAGGCAGCATCATTCACAAAATATAAATGCACATGTTCACTTGAGCCTGATATGCCTATTGTTGGTAATTATCGTTTCGATATTCATGACTATGTATATGTACTATAATATAAATAAAGCTACCGTATATTGTTTGGTAGAAAAAGTTCTTTGGTTTAACCTATCAATAGTGAATATAAGCTACACTATCGACATCTACATTTCGTGAATAGGGTTTTGTATTGTAAGTAGGCATGCACCAGTACAGTCGGACTGGGTATCCAGCCGGACTGGGTGCCAGTCGGACTGGGTACCGGTCTGACTGGGTACCCGGTCCGACTGGATACCCAGTCCGACTGGTGACCCAGTCTGACTGGACACCCAGTCCGACTGGGTATTAGCTACCTATAGTAACTTCCACTGTAATTCATATGTGTTGTAGCCTTCAACAAAAATTTGCTATTATTTTTTTTATATCGAATAATAACTGACCCGAACGCTTCTGAATTCAAAGATTAAATCGAATTCCAATGCTTGTTTTCCAGTCTGCTGTATACTAATCACACTAATTTTCTTCAAACAAATGATTATAAACCATCTTAATGTCTTCGTTGCACGCAATGTAGATTGGCATACTAAGATAAGTAATTCATACCGTTACTGCCCATGTGCAATCGCGTACAGACTCTTTAAAATGAAACTCAATACGAAGCTTAGCGTATAACTTGCATTAATTGGCGCGAATGAAACGGAATTTATTTGTTAGCTTGTNTGTATACTAATCACACTAATTTTCTTCAAACAAATGATTATAAACCATCTTAATGTCTTCGTTGCACGCAATGTAGATTGGCATACTAAGATAAGTAATTCATACCGTTACTGCCCATGTGCAATCGCGTACAGACTCTTTAAAATGAAACTCAATACGAAGCTTAGCGTATAACTTGCATTAATTGGCGCGAATGAAACGGAATTTATTTGTTAGCTTGTGCCAATGACGAAACACATTGTATTGAGTTTCATTAGCCCTGAAAACCCGTGGAAGGCTTTTTCAAAGATAAAAAGAAACATATATATGAAACAGAATTTCAAAGCGGTCAAGATGATGTGTTGACATGAGAAAAGAAGTATTTTTTTATTATCAAGATACGGGATGTTCCTCGCAAAGAACACTTTTACTTGTAGCACAGAATATTTCTCTTCCGTTATTATTAAACTAAGTATTATATGTATATAAAATGTGCGCTTGTATGCTAATTTTTCACTCTGAAATGTTTTTGAGTGTGCATGCGAATAAAACTATGCTTGAGCAAAAACACGAGGGCTGGTGCGAGTAGATGAGGGCTTCGTTATAGGTAAGTGAAGATAAAAACAACCAGCTATGCACCACTCTGCTCAGAAACCATACATGATATAGAAACTAGTCTACTTCACCCTCGCTCACACATACCCTTATCCACACATGCTGTCGAAGACATCGAAGAGCCAAAAATGACAAAAATATGCACTTTTTATATACATGTAATACTTAATATAGTCATACAGAAAGATGAATAGTCCATGACCCTATGGCCGAAAGCCCTTCCAAAAGGACATTTTTTTTATACAATATTACGTGTCAGAGAGATTTGAGTCTAAGACTTGTAAACTACAGTAATTCTATGATTTGAGCTGACTACAAGCATTATTATTTCACTTTAAAAACCATATTTCATATAACTGTCGCAACAAAATACGGCATAACAAGATCCCAAAAAGAAATTACTCTCTGGAAAGAGGTACTTCGTCAGACTGCTACTTAAGGTCGATTTTTTGCTCACCCCGTAACCCATGAGACCCTCTTCACTCGAAAAATCGTGAAATTTTATGTAGAGTTTTTTTTTCTTGTTCTATTTCAAATACTATGTAAAAAAACCGGGCGATAGTGAACCATAAAAGGTTTTAGCGAGGGTCTAAAACCTTTTATGGTTCTACATTTGGGTACCATCTTCAGAACCTTATTTTCAGAAATTTTTGGGTTCCAGCAAGGAAATCTCAAACTTTTTCTAGTTCGGCACATTTAGCTAAAACCATTTTAGGTTCTGAAAATGGTACCGAAAAAAGGTTCAGTATGACCCAATTTTTTTACAGAGTACTCAATGTCCGTTGGAAGGATATCTCAACTTTTTAGAGTTAGAATGCCATTTTGATGAAGTCCGATATATTCGTTTTTATTTCTTTACTCTAGGACAAATGGATACAGATGTGGCACGTATCGATTTGATAGTACGAGCGGAGATCATTGAATAACAATCTCTTATGTGGATATCAATAGTTAATTATAGTAAAGGGGTGAAATTTATTTTGCGGTCGATTTTGCATAGCTTCTCTATTATTTTGCCATTAATCGCTTTTCTACTGACCCCTCTTGGCATCTGTCAGAAAAACATGAAATGAAGTTACTAAGGTGATTTATAATCATTTGTTTGAAGAAAATTAGTGTGATTAGTATACAGCAGACTGGAAAACAAGCATTGGAATTCGATTTAATCTTTGAATTCAAAAGCGTTCGGGTCAGTTATTATTCGATATAAAAAAAATAATAGCAAATTTTTGTTGAAGGCTACAACACATATGAATTACAGTGGAAGTTACTATAGGTAGCTAATACCCAGTCGGACTGGGTGTCCAGTCAGACTGGGTCACCAGTCGGACTGGGTATCCAGTCGGACCGGGTACCCAGTCAGACCGGTACCCAGTCCGACTGGGTCATCCGGTCGGACTGGGTACCAGTCACCCAGTCGGACTGGAACTGGGTGCATACCTAATTCTAAAGGATATCGACTGTGTGAAATGAATACTTACACCGTAATTCTTATATTGTTCGTGGCTATTCTCGGTAAGAGAATTTTTTTCTCTAGACGTCAATCATTCTGTCGACTTCGTTGATATTCAAAGGTTGTAGCAACGCTGCGAAATATTGCTATTACTGCACCAACTGTCCTAATCCGTTTACTCCAAATTCACCATATGTTTCCGTCGTTCAATCTAAAACCGGACTTTGTGCAGTAGGTTCATGAAAACTTGTTCGTAACAAAATCTTTTTTTCGATAGAAACAAAGCTATTCATCTGACCCATTAGCTCCAAATAGTCGCGGCGCATCTGGCTCGCCTCAATGCGTTGTCACTGGATGTCGATGGATACTCGACGCTAATGGCCGTCAAGTGTACACGTGTTGTTGCACTGGTAATTACTGTAATGGCAATATGTAAACGACACTTACATCACACTACAAACTGTAGAAGCTCTTTTTCTAAATAAATGCTTGTAGTGATACGAGTCATCGTTCTTTTGCTATGACTAGCTCTCATACATATTTTATGTTTCAAATGTTTTTTCATTCGGTACAATATTGCATCTCAGCATCATCGAATATTTAGATAATTGAAAACAACAGTATATATGATGTTCGTATTCGGAGAGATCAGATATTCACATGAAATCTATCAATAGTTCGATGAAAGACAAGAAGAGAAAGTTTCATCGACGTATCACTCCGCATATTTAGTCGATGTATATTCATTTGTTCTCGAATTATAATAACATTAGAGCGTTAAGATTTTTCCTACCAATCTGCTTGCAATAACGTTTGAAAGATCAAAGGTGATAAAAATATCTTTCTGTTACATTCTTCCAATCATAGAGCTAGGAACTACCACCATTCTATCCATATTTGTCTAATTATTTGCGTCTACTTGATAGTTATTTGGGGTTTAATAGTCAAATCCGTCATTATGGACAAACATTCTGAACCTCTCTCTGTTGATGCATCACTGATGGTGATCATAATCGGATGAACGTTACTCCAAAACTGGAACACAGAATTTTCAATAAATACGGAATTCAATATATCGACACAAACATTACCAGTTAGCATGTGTATGTTTTTTACCTTTACGATAAAACACAACTTTTTAATCATAGGTGGGAAAATGTCACGTCTCTTTCACTCAGTTCTATAACTGATGTTGATATTTACGATATATTTTCACACATTCATTTTTCCATCAAAACACCTTACAAATCTCCTTTGACGCTATCATCCGTAGAATTATAATATAATGGCTAGTATTTTAATATTTTGTCGTCTGATAACGTTTTAGTGGCCGGAAGAATTGATTTGATTACAAATACGAATTCTACTGAATTTGAATTATGTGATTCGGCTAGTCTGTCTAGTTATGTAATGCTTCTATATTTTAGAGTGAACTTAAATCTGTTGAATAAGAAATATAAAGAGTACAATTGTTCAACATGGTAGGTTAGCTAGTCTCTCTTGAAGATTTTGTGGTAAAACTTCTTCTATTTCGAAGTATGGGTCTTCACGTTCAAGCACACGAAAGATAGCTCCAGGTGAAAAAACAGCTTCGTATTCATTCGAATGAACTGCAAAGTCTTCAACTTTGATCGCTGTTAACGCTTTAATTTCAAATCGACACTCGAATCCATCTAAATATAAGAATATATGTCGAACATTGCAATATCAATCCAATGATATTATTTACCTGACCAAAGTCTTTTGGCTTGATCAGCTACTGACGCTGAAGTAAATCCTGGATACATAACATAGGTGCCCGGTTGATGAAGATCGAGTACCGGTTGCATAGCTTGTCTCTCTGCCGGACTTAACGGAGCGATATAGCGAGTTACACTCCAATGTCCAAAATGATAACCGCGAGCCTAATACAGCAACGTCAAAAACGAATGATTCGAAATGATTATAAATTTGAAGAAACCTCGTTCATGACTCTGTCTCTGTCCAGTTTGACAAAAGCATTCAGAAGAGCATAGATATACGGTTGGTAGATTGGTGGCACAGGTGTATCATACAGAGAATAATTACGTAATGCTTCGTTGACAACATAAGATATAGCTGTTGTATATAGACGAATTGCAAGAATATCTATGTCATTTAAATCATAGGCAGTATAGTCCTTTTTGAGAGATTCGATATTATCGCTCAGATGCGATCGTGATTTGTATCTGCTGTCGTGTCTGATAGCTTCGGCCGATTCTATAACAACTGAGAAGTTAGATAAAGTTGAGAAAAATTTCAAATTAGACCTTTAAATTCAATCTTGTTATCAATAACTGGTCGTTCGGTGGACTCCAGCAAGAATGGACCGAGTTTGGCACGTTCGGCTAGAACACGAGTAATTCCGACTTTTTCTTCAAGACACTCTTCAACTAAAATGGATTTTAATACAAGTTTTCATGAAGAAGTTTGATTCTATTCGATATTTACGCGTCATCACTGATGCTGATGATGTTTCATGATATTTTTCATCTGATTGTTCAGTTTCATGTATACTCTCTAATGATTCCGATGCAATTGATTTGGGAGTATCGGGCTGAATGTTGTCACAGATTTGTCTTGGCGAGCATAGTGCTTGATTTTTATCTATCACTTGAAGAGGTGATGTGCGTGGCGTATCTCGACGAGTTGACGTGCTAGATGGAGATGACTGATTTCGTGCATGCTTTTTCCATAACGTCGAGTGACCCCATGCACTTATTGGATTCATCGACAAGACATGAGGAATGCAAATAAGAAAAATAAAATAAATCATTGTGAAATGACACAAGTATCGCAACAAATAACAAAATCTAAACGGCAATAAAATAAAAGCGAAAATAAACAAAGCGCTAAATTCTAATATCACTTGTATTCTTCGTTTCGCAGATTAATATCAAGTAAAACACGATATGAAAGTGATTGAATAAATATCATCACGAAGTTAACTAATTAATAAAAAAAATCGATTCGACATATAAATAATTGAATTATAATTGGATCTCTGCCTGTGCACTGCTTGTGTACAATTTCATTTTTCATTGCGCATGCAACTGTCCTTGTTGTTTCTGATGAACTGAATCTAACAACGATTTGCTAAAAACTATTTCCCAATTCCAAGCGATCATTTTGAGATTGTACATTTCGTATGACTGGCTTCACAGACATGAATACAAATCAAATTCAAACGTTAAGGTATGATCATGCCAAAGCAGCTTCAATTATGTTCTTAGAAATGATTCATTTAGAAATGTTATCGAATTGAAAAGACTACCGTGGAAAGGTCATGCGTAACTTGCAAGTTAACAAATCATCTCGAAGGACGGCGCATTATTGTATCCTATCAGTTCACACGAACAGCGGAAAATTTAATGATTAGTTTACATTGAAATTCGTAGTTAATTGATTATCTAATTCACGTCGAACATGTGGATTTAGTCGGATTGAAGAATTTCATGCATTTCGGTCAAGCAGACATACATGCTTCTCTACGTTCAGACGAGATATGAAGTCAGCTCAATTCAGTTTCATTCATGCTTTTCTCGAATTTGAGGTTTTCAGAAACTAAATTGATACATTCTGTTCATTTTTATTGGTTTTGGTCATATTGAAAGAGAGATAGACATGAAATGCGAGCATACAATTCCCACTCTTATTTGCTCTTACTGGTGCATCATTATCTTACCGTTCTTTTCTCACCATAGTTCGTCACAAACAAGAACCCTCCAGACAACATAACTTTCGATCATTGGGGATAGTCAATGTAAAAACATATCAAGCCGGTAAGATACGATATGAATGTACGGTTCACTGATGTATTATGTCACCATGTTTGTAAATTGTAACTGGTAAAGTGCATTCAACAGAACAAAAATATGTTTCGTCTGGTAATCAATACACAAGGGCGGCCGACTGCTTACATTTTCATTTTAAAACGAGAGACGAGTGGTATAGTGATGTAGATATTCATTGATGCACTGCGGAAAATCCTTACCTCTTCGCTTAGTTATCCAACGATCCAGAGAATCCACAGAACTGCAAGTGAGCCTTACAAATGGTTGATGACTACGCTCACTGGCATGGCTGTTTCGGCGTATATTGGAGATTTTCAGGATCTCTCTCAGGGCTTTAATGCATTGACTGAAGTTCTGACTCTAGCTATCTCTTTTCGTTCTTGAATTTGCTGTTTGTGAGTTGAGTTTCTGTTGTTTATTTAAGTGGAATCTTATTATTCTCCTTGAGATCCTCTGTTTTGGGCGTCCTCTCCTGAAGGATTCGGTAGATGTGTTCTTTTTATCATTACCTTTATGGGATGCACCATTTTTAATGCTGCAACTACAGGTTCTCAAAATATAGAAACCGTTATTATTTTTCATTTTTTTGCCGATGTGTTTGACGCTTCACCTCTAACCAATGTGGTCTTGCCGGCGACGCAGCTGGCTGGAGATCCGTTGAAGGGGTTATGGTTATCTTCGCCGGTGTTATCGTAATCATCTTCAATCCAGAAACCGTCGTTTGGATTTGGCGTATTATTGGTCCTTTTTGGTTTTGATGAATTATTCGATTGTTACTTATTTCTATGCTACCAGTGCTCTTGCTGTTAATCCAGTTCTTCGTTCAATCTTTAGCGGAACCTTTTGTAAGTCCTTTCTACATTATTCTCTTCGAATCATCGTTATGCTTATAGCTCCCTTTACTACTCAAATGTATGATAACTTGGGTATACATTGGACTACAATGATTCCTGCCTGTCTAGCTCTAATCTGTCTCCTAATACCATACATTTTCTGTAAACATGGTCCGACCATTCCAGGTCGCCCTAAAGAATGTCTATCGTTTATCCCAAAATTTAAGGTAACCCAGTTTGAAGTAAATGATCACCTACCGAAATAATGGTTGTGCACGGAATATTTCTTCGTTTGTATGTGATGGAAGTGGCGGTGTGGTACTGGAAGACACAACTAGAAGAAATTTATTTGTTTCTATCCCTGTGAATATTTTTTCTACAAGAGCTATTGAATCGGCAGAAATACATTTTCACTTGATGATACCCATGGATTTTCTATCGACGTTATTCGTTTGCAAAAGACACCTGCAATCGTATAAATACTTTGAAGAAGCCTCTCACAAAATTCTATATCTATTGATTAAGCATGTTATCCCTATATACCTCAAAGATTACCCTCTAATTTACTCGAAGCAACTTATTTTTTCATGGCATAGTGTTCATGATATAAAACATTATTTCATTTATTTCAAACAAACAGTATAGCAGAGTTTAAATCATGTCTTAGTTCTCGACAGAACAAATTGTTTATTTTTCATCGTTGAAAATTATCGATCGATGCTTCCATCTACGCGCGAGAATGAATCTGATTCGTCCTTGAATAAACAAAGAAGAAACGCGTTTAGATCGTTTGCATCACACATTGATCGTTCAAACTCAACAGATTATGGTTTGTTTGGAAGATCTACCTAACGAAATTATCTATCGTATCTTTGATAATCTCAGCGCCAATACGATCATAGTATTTAGTTGTACCTGCAAAAGATACCTTCAATGTCGTCATTTGTATAATCAATATCAACTGAACTTTCAGTCAATATCTAAATCGAATTTTGATTTACTATGTCGACTTATTCATCCTTCGAATATTATGTCATTGACATTAAGTGATGATGATAACGCAACTCCTGGTCAAATTCAAACGTTTTTGAAAACATATCCGATTCATCAATTGACTCGCCTGCACTCCTTGACATTATTTCAAATCGATGAAACGCATCTAGAAGATCTGTTGAAACCTTTGCAGAAGAGTCCATTAACATCTCTTCATATCGAATATCGACAATACTTTGGAATGCTAAATCAGTCAACCCTCACGACTCTCTGTGATATTTTATCATTGAAAACTTTACGAACACTTCATTTAGACATGAGAACCTATCAAACAGAATCGATACAATGGCCACGGATCACGCAAATCGAATACTTAAGTCTATCTAATTCAACTTTCAATCAGTTCATTCAGATCATTGGAAGATCGAACTCGTTTCGATCGATTTATCTCCGACATGTCTCTATGAAAGATGTTGATAACCATTCTATCAAATATCTTCCGCTAAAACAGATCGAATCATTTCGAATCGAAAAAAGTGAATTATTTTTCGAGAAAATTCCATGGTTATTATCATTCATGCCCAAACTTGCTCATCTAAAACTCGAAGGTTTCACTCCTAAACTCGATCAAATCTTCACGAATGATCAATTCGAAGAATTTATTCAGATAAATCTACCCAACTTGAAAACTTTTCAATTTTTCATTCGATTTTCACCAGTCGAATTCAAAATAACGAACTCCTTAGTTGACTCTTTAATTAAACAATTCCAGCGGTCATTCTGGACTGAACAATTGCAATGTCGCGTCATTTGTGATTTCATCCAAGATTCCAACGAGTTATATACCTATTCGACTCCTTGTCCACATCATTATCTGAAGTATTCCGAAGTGTTATCTCTTGCATCAACTTCTATCTCTTCGCAATTGACTTACCTCAGCGAAAGATTAGATTTCGTTTACGAACTAGATTTGAATCTCAAAGATCTATCAAAACAAACGAAGGTTAAAACTTGGTTTTTCTCAACTCGAAACATAACTTTTATATTTAGAATGTTCGGTGCTTTCCAAATCTAAGAACTTTAAAATTAGCAATCAGTGATCAATATTCATCGTCCGGTTTGGAACATCTTTCCAAGACAATTCATCTGGGAAAATTAAACAAATTGATTTTGATTATTTCGTCCCGTGGTGATCACCTCGATATACTTATAAAACGATTCCTTACTTTACTAAACGACCTACCAGCTGTAACAACATTGGAAATTTTCAATCGATGGTATGGAATATCTTCTCTCGTTCCGCTGGTATATTTTTGTACAATGATTCCAAAAAACATCAAGCATTTGAATGTAGATATTTCGAATATGAACGAAATTCCTGTACTTATCGAACATCTACCACATATATCAAGCTTTAAATTCAAATTCGCGTTCGACAAAGTGATTTTCCTTCAAAAGATACTTGACTGGCTGACCGTTAATCGAATCAATTCAACATACATATCAGATATGCATTATTTAGCGATCTGGATTTCGAAACCTGTGAGAAACGTTCAGAGGAGTAAACGAATAAAATTGAATTAGAGATGTCAAAATGCTGTTTTTGGAAATAAAATATGCAAAAGGTTCATGAGATTTCTTTCAAAAATGAGGAAGAAAATATATGCTTGCTTGATGTTGATAATCAAAAGGTTATTATAATCGCACAGATATGCTCCTTATTGAAGCTGATTTGTTACGGACAAATGAGGATCTTCTATTTGAATATTTAAAATGTTTAACTTGCTTCATTTATCTGTAAAAAGTATTGTCGCTACAGCACTGTCATCCTTGGAGTTTATTGCGCGAGAAATGACTAAATATTTAGTTACTCCTATTTTCATATGCGGTGTCGTTGGAGGAAGTTGTAATCTGCCGTTTTTCTTAGTTTAAAAGTGTTTCGGCAAAACTCCTGTGCGTTTTATCTGACTATTATGTCCTTGGCGGATATTGAGTGTTAACTTTGGAACTGATTCGACAGCATCTTTAATATTCCTCTGCAAGATCCGAAGATTTGATGTTCAAGACTTTACACTCTTATATACATGTATATATTACTTGTATATGTTTGGTGAGCTTTGATCAGTTTGCCGTGACCAGTGGAAGCCCAAATTTGCGACAATCGTGTCAGGTCAAAGTAACATATTGTTTAGTGTTCTTCTTCAGTCGTCTTTGGCTTCCACTTGGAATCGCATTCTTAGTGTTTAACTATGATGCCATTTCAAGCGACACTTTTAGTTCAGCATGAATTGTCGAAACAACTAACTAGAATTGTAATTACTTGCACATATTATTTACAATATCTCCTGTGTTTAGATCCATATCTTATTGTCGTACTACTTGGACGGAATCCAATATCAATAGCAATCGAGTTATTACATCAAATTTACATTTCGCCAGTACACAGTCCCTTAACTCTTACTATATGACATTTGCTGTACGTATGTGAAACGAGAACAGTTGCATCATGCTGGTTTGATCTCTAGTTTAGTGTTCGATCTTCATAAACATTTACACATCACGAGGATTTTGTCATATCAGCTTGTTTATGTCATTTCGAAGAGAATTTTTGTCACAAGTCAACGAACAAATATGCGTGTAGATCCTTCAAATTAATTACTGAACATTTCTAAATAAAGCGCTTTTCTAATCCTTTACATTTCGGCAGCTTACCTGTCATCTGTTTAATTTGAAATAGCATATTAACCTGTGAAATAAAATTAAAAATCGAATAAAAATATAGTCAAATGTACCGAGTGCTATAACGGAGTTTATATAAATGAATGTGAATCGTTCACCTCTTGATACAGAATAGTGCAACGATGAGAAACGATGCACATGTACTAAATTCTTGTGTGTATGTAAGTTGTTTCGACTGCAAATGGTCTTGAGGAGATAAAGCATGATGATTTGCATTAGCATGTGATATCGATGCAATCTTTCCATTTCACAACTCTGGTGGCACTTATTTGCATGCCAGTCATTCATTATCACGGAGAACGTTTATCGTTTATTACCCGCGATTGTTCTTTATGAAGTGACACAGTGTCATTTTACTGATATTTACACCTACTGCATGCCTTCAGAATCCATCGTTGATTCAAAAGCAAAGAGTGTTGATTTCAAATAGAACGTTAGTTACTGTTACTGACAATATGGTAGTGGAGGAATTGTTCCGTCATGGACGTCTAACTTGATGTACAGGATGATTTTTATTCACAACAAGAATTGTATTTTGTTTGACAAAATTAAGCACAACGGAATAGTTTAAATAATTCCTTTCGAAACACCTGCCCGCATAATGTATGAATGTAAAATGTAATACAGTTATTGAAGAATAGACTGATTACAGAAATGTTAAATATCGTATTCTCAATGGCTCGTTTCAATGGTGACTTCGTTTGGTAGACCGTTACAATCGAATAGAGCTTGAAAACGCCGATAGGAAACGTTGAAATGACAAAGACTGCAACCTATCATCATAAAAAGGAGCTAGCAAAATGAATGAATTGGTCATCTACCACTTACTTGTACAAGTAACATTGTTCGCAATTGTCCATCACGTTTCTGTGCAGCTCGTTTTTCTTGTGATACAGACATTCTTCTTGTTCCGACTGTAGCTGCCAGAGGATTATCGCCGAGTTGCACTGCATTTACTCGTGAATGTTTATTATGAACATTTTTGAATGTTAAAAATCCGAAAACGATCATCAGTAATGCTGGAATCAAAAGCTCGAAGATGAATTGCAGCAGACTATCGGCAATTTGACACTGAATATTCAATTTCAATTGATAACATGATTGTGGAGCACCGAATAGTTGTTGATTGATATCAATACAGTAGAAACCCTCGCCAAATGTAACACAGCCAAATATTAAAACGATAAGAATCGATAGGTATGCACGTTTCTTTGTAATCAGCTGTCGTTTATAGGCACTTGTTGATGACGTGAGATATCGTTCAATACAAGCTAGACTAATAAAGCAAGCTGCTGTATATCCTGCGTAATATGTGAAGAAAAATCTTAATTTACAAAGTATAGAAAACGTCTGTGATAGATCTACGCCATAACCATTGAGTAAACGAGGTAAGAGGCCCACGACAATAACAAATGAATCAAAAACACTTGAGGCCAAAAGATAGATAACGCAAATATTGTGCTGAAACGTTTTCCGTGTGAATACAAATAGGTTTAGTATATTTCCGATAGTTCCGAANCAGTTACAAAAACTTCATAGTTATCGAGTAACAGTATATTCGCCACTCCTGTAGTTAATGACCAATTACCCAAGAGAATTGTCCCTGATTGATCATAGATACGTATTCCAAACCCATAAACGACACCCCAAATTCGACCACAAGGATCGGTTACTGCTTCTCCCAATGAGTTCGATCCCGTTACTTTCGTAGTCGGCAAGGATTTTCTGGACCATGACATGCTCGTCATCGTAGGCGACTGAATTTTATAGACAGGTTCATTAGTGCTCCAGCATGTTGTTAGTACACAGCTATCATTAACTGTATGGATAGTCCACATTTGATCAACAATAGGTGGAAACGTTTTAGCAAGTGACACGAATATTTGTGGTGTCCAAGAGATGTTATAAATATAAACGCCATAATCTCCTTCTTGAACGGCTACAAACATTAATGTATCATTGCGTGCAAATGATACTCCTCGTATCCATTGTGTCATATTTATTCGCGCCAAGGGTGAAGCTAAATTTGTTTCCTTGAAAATCATCAGCGCCGAAGGTGTATCGCATCCTGCAGTTACAAATAAGCCTGTTAGCATTCACAAATATACTACTAAATAAAATAAAACATACCGAAAAAGATATAACCTCGTTTGTAGATTGAACTAGCACATATATATCCTGCCGGTAATGAATATATACCTTCCAGACTCAGATTAGTTCGATGAAAGCGATAGAATTTGCCCTTGTACTGCATTGACGAAAGAAACCTGTTCGTTGAATCAATAGATAATAATGTTGGCTTCGGAACCGTTGCACTTGACGGGCGTCCTGATCTTTTCATTCGGTCTAGCATCCAGGAAAAGTCAGAACAACATGGAGTATCAGTAAATGGATGTAAAAGTAAAAGAGTAGACTTAATATCGTAGATGATCGACGGTGACAAAATCGGTGGCGCTAGAATCAATTGACAGCTGGTATTCGACGAGAAGCTATTTAGACCGGCAATTTCATCTACTGAATGATATCTTAGTGCAGTGCAAAGGCAGTTCTCCGTACTCGTCTGATTGTAGAGCCATGTCGTTTGATTTTTTCGTCCTGGTAGAAGCTGTGCTTTCGATAAACGACCAATGGATAACATTGAAACGCGCATTGTCAATGAAAATAGGACGATCAAGTGGATGACATACATGCTATTGTTACCGAGTGAATGCATCGTAAATAGAAAATCAGAATGCAAGTAAGCATCACATCTTCTATGTAAATTTTAACGTCTTCCCCTGTCATGAGTTGAAAAGAGCACTTCAAAGCGAGACGTTGAGAAACTAATGGGCTCTTTTTTTAGAAAATAGATGAACAGCAATCATTATATTTGAATGGTTCTTTTCAGTTTGAAGTGAGTGCAAAATATTTCATAGAGTTGATTGAACTGAATGTTCAGCTGTTGCAGAACTTTGCATTTGTGGTTAATCAACTACTATAGAAAACTACATAGTGTTGGTAAGAAGCGAATAAGAGAGAGAAAAACTTTTCGTCCATGAGTGTTAGCTGTTTAAGAATTAGTCAACTGCTTCATAGCCAAAAGCTATGTCATCTGTGTTCTCTGCATCTGATCGATCAGTAGATTGTACTGAACTCTGCGATTCCAAAGATGATTGTCGCTTGATTTCTTTTAGTATCTCTTTCTCTTTCTCGTATTCACACTTATTTTTGCTGCGTCGATATGCTTCGAATAGAATCTTGTGAGCATCATACAACCAACGGTAACGACGATACCCATCGGGATGAAAATAAAGGTCGCCGCGCACTTTCGCATTGAACGTAAGATTATTTTCAGAACCACAATGTTCTTTACAGGACCAGATTGCAACTACGTTATCTAATTCCTTAACTTGTTTAATCATCGCGGATAAGTCGTTACAGCATAAACAGAGAACATAGTAAATTTGTCCATTGGGTAAAAGTGAGCGATATAATTTGTTTAAATCACGAAAGATTTGAACGCTTTGCTCGACTGATAATTCAGAATGCTTTTCGTCTGGATCGTAGAACAGTAAAGTACATGAAAACGACATCTCTAATCATAAAATTCGAACGACTGATATTGTATAATTTTTTTATCAATAAAAAAAAATGCAGTGCATAGAAATTTCTTACACAGGTATTTCTAGCATTGTTATGTATGATCGTAGGATTTCTTTTCAATTTCTTGGAATCCTCAGACATGCATTACTGAATAAAAAATTCCAATTGACTGTGTGTTTTATATATGGTAAATTTATACGACGTATTTCAATGAAACTTTAAAAATTAGTAAATCCATCCATTTGATCAAAGAGAATCATACTTTCATTGCTTAGTACATTAGCTGCAAACATATCACCTTGATCGCGAAGCTTCATTTCTTGTTCATTGAGATAGTCCGTTTCATGATTCATAAGATACCACATCAAGTCTCGTTCATTTCCATCCACTGTGCGAACTTTAACATTTTCAGCATTGTATTGACCTAGAATATAAACTGCCCATACGTAACGACTAGTGAAAAGATGCTTTATCTCATGAGTGTGCTTTCGTTGGCAAGATAGAATGATTCGATACTGTTTGTTCAAATCAATAGTGTGATCAATCTGATCCAATGTATCGCACTGCAAAAGAATCAGGTTAGCCATGTACGGTTCCTGTAATACTTTGTATAGAATAAATCTGGTCTTGATGTCAAATATATTCATCGATAATCCAGTCTATATAGAAAAGTGTAGTTTGATACTTTTCGAAGTTACAATGATGAAACCCTGCGTGTTGACTAATGACACTTCTTGAAAACGTCGCTTTCAGTTAAAGAACAATTCAAAATTTCTTTTTTCTTTCCTCTGTTTGTGCAGCTTTGTTTTAAACTGAAAAATAAAAAAGTTATTTAGTCAACACTCATTCGAAACACCTACACGAGCAAAACGACGACCACGCTGATGATGTCAGCATGCAATTCATTTTATTGTGTGATTTCTATACCTTTGTACAAAATATTAAGATATCGCTTTAAATCGCAAATACCAATAAAGAATGAAGACTTATTTCAAGGGAGGCGTAATCGAGTATATACAAATAGAAGATAACGAGGTTTTGATTATTGAATACTTTGTATATAAAAAGCTTGAAAACTGTGTTCTAAAGGATATCGACTGTATGAAATGAATACTTGCACCGTCATTCTTGTGTTGTTCGTGGCTATTCTCGGTAAGAGAATTTTTTTCTCTAGACGCCAATCATTCTGTCGACTTCGTTGATATATTCAAAGGTTGTAGCAACGCTGTGAAATATTGTTATTACTGCACCAACTGTCCGAATCCGTTTACTCCAAACTCGCCATATGTTTCCGTCGTTCAATCCAAAACTGGACTTTGTGCAGTAGGTTCATGAAAACTTGTTCGTAACTAAATCTATTCCTTTGATAGAAACAAAGCTATTCATCTGATCCGTTAGCTCCAAATAGCCGCGGCGCATCTGGCTCGCCTCAATGCGTTGTCACTGGATGTCGATGGATACTCGACGCTAATGGCCGTCAAGTGTACACATGTTGTTGCACTGGTAATTACTGTAACGGCAATATGTAGACGACACTTACATCACACTACAAACCGTAGAAGTTCTTTTTCTAAATAAACGTTTGTAGTGATACGAGCTATCGTTCTTTTGCTACGGCAAGCTCTCAGACACATTTTATATTTCAAATGCTTTTTCATTCGGTACAATGTTGCATCCTAGCATCATCGAATATTTAGACAATTGAAAACAACAGTATAAGCGATGGCCGTACCCGGATAGATCAGATATTCACATGAAACCTATCAATAGTTCGAATGATAGACAAGAAGAGAAAGTTTCATCGATGTATATTCATTTGTTCTCGAATCATAATAAGATTAAAGCGTTGAAATTTTTTTCACCCAATCTGCTTGCAATAACGTTTGAAAGGTCAAAGGTGATAAAAACATCTTTCTGTTACGTCCTTCAATCATAGAGCTAGGAACTACCACCATTCTATCCATGTTGGCCTAATTATTTGCGTCTGCTTGATAGTTATTTGCGGTTTAACAGTCAAATCCGTCATTATGAATAAACGTTCTGAACCTCTCTCTGTCGATGCATCACTGATGGTAATCCGTTACTCCAAAACTGAAGCACAGAATTTTCAATAAATACCGAATTCAATACGTCGACACAAACATCATCAGTTAGCATGTGTATGTTTTTTACCTTTACGTTAAAGCACAACTTTTCTAATCATAGATGGAAAAGTGTCACGTCTCTTTTACTCAGTTCTCTACCTAATGTTGATATTTATGATATATTTTCAAATTCATTTTTCTATCAAAACAACGTATAAATCTCCTTTGACGCTATCATCCATAGAATTGTAATGTAATAGTCAGTACTTATTTAACATTTTGTCGTCCGGTAAAGTTTTAGTGGTCGGAAGAATTGATTTGATTACAAATACAAATCCTACTGTATGTGGATTATGTGATTCGATTAGTCTATCCAGTTATGTAAGGCTTCTATATTGTAGAGTGAACTTAATCATCTATTACATAAGAAATATAAAGAGTACAATTATTCAACATGGAAGGTTAGTTAGTCTCTCTCGAAGATTTTGTGGTAAAACTTCTTCTATTTCGAAGTATGGGTCTTCACGTTCAAGCACACGAAAGATAGCTCCAGGTGAAAAAACAGCTTCATATTCATTCGAATGAACTGCAAAGTCTTCAACTTTGATAGCTGTCAACGCTTTAATTTCAAATCGACACTCGAATCCATCTAAATACAAGAATATATGTCGAACATTGCAATATCAATCCAATGATATTATTTACCTGACCAAAGTCTTTTGGCTTGATCAGCTACTGACGCTGAAGTAAATCCTGGATACATAACATAGGTGCCCGGCTGATGAAGATCGAGTATCGGTTGAATAGCTTGTCTCTCTGCCGGACTTAACGGAGCGATATAGCGAGTTACACTCCAATGTTCAAAATGATAACCGCGAGCCTAATACAGCAACATCAAAAACGAATGATTCGAAATGGTTATAAATTTGAAGAAACCTCGTTCATGACTCTGTCTCTGTCCAGTTTGACAAAAGCATTCAGAAGAGCATATATGTACGGTTGGTAGATTTGTGGCACAGGTGTATCATACAGAGAATGATTACGTAATGCTTCGTTTACAACATAAGATATAGCTGTTGTATACAGACGAATCGCAAGAATATCTATATCAGTTAAATCATAGGCAGTATAGTCCTTTTTGAGAGATTCGATATTATCGCTTAGATGCGATCGTGATTTGTATCTGCTGTCGTGTCTGATAGCTTCGGCCGATTCTATAACAATTGAAAATTTAGATAAAGTAGAGAAAAATTCAAATTAGACCTTTAAATTCAATCTTGTTATGAATAACTGGTCGTTCGGTGGACTCAGGCAAGAATGGGCCGAGTTTGGCACGTTCGGCTAGAACACGAGTAATTCCGACTTTTTCTTCAAGACATTCTACAACTAAAATGGATTTTAATCCCAGTTTTCATGGAGAAGTTCGACTCTATTCGATATTTACGCGTCATCACTGACGCTGATGATGTTTCATGATATTTTTCATCCGATTGTTCACTTTCATGTATACGCTCTAATGATTCCGATGCAATTGATTTGGGAGTATCGGGCTGAACATTGTCACAGATTTGTCTTGGCGAACATAGTGCTTGATTTTTATCTATCACTTGAAGAGGTGATGTGCGTGGCGTATCGCGACTAGTTGACGTGCTGGATGGAGACGACTGATTTCGTGCGTGCTTTTTCCATAATGTCGAGTGACCCCATGCACTTATTGGATTCATCGATAAGACGTGAGGAATGCAAATAAGAAAAATAAAATAAATCATTGTGAAAGGACACATGTATCGCAACAAATAACAAAATCTAAACAGCAATAAAATAAAAGCGAAAATAAGCAAAGCGCTAAATTCAAATATCACTTGTATTCTTCGTTGCGCAAATTAATATTAAGTAAAACACGATATGAAAGTGATTGAATAAATATCATCGCGAAGTTAACTAATTAATAAAAAAAATCGATTCGACATATAAATAATTGAATTATAACTGGATCTCTGGCTGTGCACTGCGCATACAACTGTCCTTGTTGTTTCTGATGAACTGAATCTAACAACGGTTTGCTAAAAACTATTTCCCAATTCCAACCGATCATTTTGAGATTGTACATTTCGTATGACTGGCTTCACAGACATAAGTACAAAGCAAATTCAGACGTTAATTATGTTTGACTTGGTCAATCGTTAAGATTTTATGGTCATCCCAAAGCAGTTTCAATTATGCTCTTAGAAATGATTCATTTAGAAATGTTAATCGGATTGAAAAGACTACCGTGGAAAGGTCATGCGTAACTTGCAAGTTGACAAACCGTTTCGAAGGACGCCGCATTATTGTAACCGATCAGATCACACGAACAGCGGATAACTCAATGATTAGTTTACATTAAAATTCGCAGTTAATTGTTTATCTAATTCACGTCGAACATGTGGATTTAGTCGGATTGAAGAATTTCATGCATTTCGGCCAAACAGACGTACATGCTTCTCTACGTTCAGACGAGATATAAAGTCAGCTCAATTCAGTTTCATTCATGTTTTCAGAAACTAAATTGATACATTCTGTTCATTTTTATTGACTATATGTAGTCATATTGAAAAAGAGAGAGACGTGAAATGCGAGCATACAAGTCTCACTCTTATTTGTTCTTACTCGTGCATCATTATCTTACCGTTCTTTTCTCACCATAGTTCTTTACAAACAAGAATCCTTCAGACAACATAACTTTCGATGATTGAGGAAAGTCAATGTAAAAACATATCAAGCCGGTAAGATACGATATGACTGTACGGTTCATTGATGTATTATGTCATCATGTTTATAAAGTGTAACTGGTAGAGTGCATTCGACAGAACAAAAATACGTTTCGTCTGGTAATCGATACAAAAGGGCGGCCGACTGCTTACATTTACGTTTTGAAACGAGGGACAAGCAGTATAGTGTGATGTATATATTCATTGGTACACTGCGGAAAACCCTTACATCTTTGATTGGTTATCCAACGATCCAGAGAATTCACAGAACTGCAAGTGAGCCTTACAAATGCTTGTTGACTACGTTCACTGGCATGGCTGTTTCGGCGTATATTGGAGATTTTCAGGGTCTCTCTCAAGACTTTAATGCATTGACTGAAGTTCTGACTCTAGCTATCTCTTTTCGTTGTTGATTTTGCTGTTTGTGAGTTGAGTTTCTGTTGCTTATTTAAGTGAAATCTTATTATTCTCTTTGAGATCCTCTGTTTTGGGCGTCCTCTCCTGAAGTATTCGGTAGATGTGCTCTTTTTATCATTACCTTTATGGGATGTACCATTTTTAATGCTGCAACTACAGGTTCTCAAAATATAGAAACCGTTATTATTTTTCATTTCTTTGCCGATGTAGTCTTGCCGGCGACGCAGCTGGCTGGAGATCTGTTTAAGGGGTTATGATTATCTTCGCCGGTGTTATCGTATCATCTTCAATCCAGAAATCGTCGTTTGGATTTGGCGTATTATTGGTACTTTTTGGTTTTGATGAATTACTCGATTGTTAATTATTTCTATGCTGCCAGTGCTCTTGCTGTTAATCAAGTTCTTCGTTCGATCTTTAGCGGAACCTTTTGTAAGTCCTTTTTTACATTATTTCTTCGAATTATGGCTATGCTTATAGATCTCTTTACTAGTCAAATGCATGATAACTTGGGTATTCATGGGCTACAATGACTCCTGCCTTTCTGGCTCTAATCTGTCTCCTAATACCATACATTTTCTGTACATATCGCCCGACCATTCGAGGTACTGGTCGAAAGAATATCTATTATTTACCCCAACATTTAAGGTAACCCAGTTTGAGGTTAATGATCACCTACTGAAATAATCATTGTGCACGGAACATTTCTCCGTTTGTATGCAATGAAAGTGGCGGTATAGAACTGGAAGACAAAACTTCAAGAAACTCATGCATAGCGCTCTCTTTTCCTTCTACACGATCTTTCCATAGTTCTCGACAGAAAAAATTGTTTATTTTTCACCGTTGAAAATTTTTGATTGATGCTTCCATCTACGGGCGAGAATGAATCTGACTCGTCGTGGAATAAACAAAGAAGAAACGCGCTCAGATCGTTTACACCACACATTGAACGTTCAAACTCAACAGATTATGGTTTGTTTGGAAGATCTACCTAACGAAATTATCTATCGTATCTTTGATAATCTCAGCGTCAATACGATCATAGTATTTAGTTGTACTTGCAAAAGGTACCTTCAATGTCGTCATTTGTATAACCAATATCAACTGAGCTTTCAATCAATATCTAAATCGAATTTTGATTTACTATGTCGACTCATTCGTCCTTCGAATATTATTTCATTGACATTAAGTGATGATGATAACGCAACTCCTGGTCAAATTCAAGCGTTTTTAAAAACTTATCCGATCCATCAATTGACTCGTCTGCACTGCTTGAAATTATTTCAAATCGATGAAACGCATCTAGAAGATCTATTGAAACCTTTGCAGAAGAGTCCATTAACATCTCTTTATATCGAATATCGACAATATTTTGGAATGCTAAATCATTCAACACTTACGACTCTCTGTGATATTTTATCATTGAAAACTTTACGAACACTTCATTTAGACATGAGAACCTATCAAACAGAATCGATACAATGGCCACAGATCACGCAAATCGAATACTTAAGTCTATCTAATTCAACTTTCCATCAGTTCGTTCAAATCATTGGAAGATCGAACACGTTTCGATCGATTTATCTCCGACATGTTTCTATGAAAGATGTTGATAACCATTCTATCAAATATCTTCCGCTAAAGCAGATCGAATCATTTCGAATCGAAAAAAGTGAATTGTTTTTCGAGAAAATCCCATGGTTATTATCATTCATGCCTAAACTTGTTCATCTAAAACTCGAAGGTTTCACTCCTAAACTCGATCAAATCTTCACGAATGATCGATTCGAAGAATTCATTCAAATAAATCTACCCGAATTGAAAACTTTTCAATTTTTCATTCGATTTTCACCAGTCGAATTCAAAATAACAAACTCATTAGTCGACTCTTTAATTAAACAATTCCAGCGGTCATTCTGGACTGAACAATTACAATGTCGCGTCATTTGTGATTTCATTCAAGATTCCAACGAGCTACATGTCTATTCGACTCCTTGTCCACATCATTATCTGAAGTATTCCGAAGTGTTATCTCTTGCATCAACTTCCATCTCTTCGGAATTGACTTACCTCAGCGAAAGATTAGATTTCGTTTACGAACTAGATTTGAATCTCAAAGATCTATCAAAACAAACGAAGGTTAAGATTTGTTTTTCTCAACTCGAAACGCAACGTTTGTATTTAGAATGTTCGGTGCTTTCCAAATCTAAGAACTTTAAAATTAGCAATTAGTGATCAATATTCATCGTCCGGTTTGGAACATCTTTCCAAGACAATTCATTTGGGAAAATTAAACAAATTGATTTTGATTATTTCGTCCCGTGGGGATCACCTCGGTATACTTATAAAACGATTCCTTACTTTACTAAACGATCTACCAGCTGTAACAACATTGGAAATCTTCAATCGATGGTATGGAATATCCTCTCTCGTTCCGCTGGAATATTTTTGTACAATGATTCCGAAAAACATCAAGCATCTGAATGTAGATACGTCGAATATGAACGAAATTCCTGTACTTATCGAACATCTACCGCATGTATCAAGCTTTAAATTCAAATTTGCGTTCGACAAAGTAATTTTCCTTCAAAAGATACTCGACTGGCTGACCGCTAATCGAATCAATTCAACATACATATCAGATATGCATTATTTAGCGATCTGGATTTCGAGACCTGTGAGAAACGTTCAAACGAGTAAACGAATAAAATTGAATTAGAGATGTCAAAATGCTGTATTTGCAAATAAAATATGAAAAGGGTTCATGAGATTTTTTTAAAAAATGAGGAAGAAAATATATGCTTGCTTGATGTTGATAATCAGAAGGTTATTGTAATCGCACAGAAATGCTCCTTATTGAAGCTGCTTAGTTAGAGACAAATGGGGATCTTCTATTTAAATATGTAAAGTGCTTAACTTGCTTCGTTTATCTATAAAAAGCATTGTTGGTACAGCACTGTCATCCTTGGAGTTTATTGCACGAGAAATGACTAGATATGTAGCCATTCCTATTTTCGTAAGTGGCGTCGTTGGAGGAAGTTTAAAAGTGTTTCGGGAAAACTCCTGTGCGTTTTATCGGACTATTATGTTCTTGGTGGATATTGAGTGTTAGCTTTGGAACTGATTCAACAGCACCTTCAATATTCCTCTGCAAGATCCGAGGATTTGCTGTTCAAGACTTTACACTCTTATAGTTTACTTCTATATGTTCGGCGAGCTTTGGTCAGTTTGTCGCGACCAGTGGAAGTCTACGTTCGCGACAATCGTGTCAGGTCAAAGTAGCATATCGTTTAGTGTTCTTCTTCAGTCGTCTTTGGCTCCCATCTGGAATCGCATTCTTAATGTTTAACTATGATGTCGTTTCAAGCGGCACCTTTAGTTCGACATGAATTGATGAAACAATTAACTAGAATTGTACTTGTACATATTGTTTACAATATCTTCTGTGTAGATCCATATCTTATTGTCGTACTACTTGGACGTAATCCCAGCATCAATAGCAATCGAGTTATTACAGCAAATTTACAATTCACTATAGTACACAGACCCTTAACTCTTACTATATGACATTTACTGTACGTATGTGAAACGAGAACAGTTGCATCATGCTAGTTTGATCTCTAGTTTACTGTTCGATCTTCATAAACATTTACACATCACGAGGATTTTGTCATATCAGCTTGTTTATGTCATTTCGAAGATAATTTTTGTCACAAGTCAACGAACAAATATGCGTGTAGATCCTTCAATTTAATTACTGGACATTTTAAAATAAAAGCGCTTTTCTAGTTCTTTATATTCGGCAGTTTACTTGTCATCTATTTAATTTGAAATAGCATGTTAACTTGTGAAATAAAATTAAAAATCACATAAAAATAGTCGAATGTACTGAGTGCTGAATCGTTCACCTTTTCATACACAATAGCGCATCGATGAGAAACGATGCACATGTACTAAATTCTTGTGTGTACGTAAGTTGTTTCGACTGCAAATGCTCTTGAGGAGATAAAGCATGATGATTTGCATTAGCATATGGTATCGATGCAATCTTTCCATTTCACAACTCTGGTGGCACTTATTTGCATGTCTGTCATTCATTATCACGGAGAACGTTTATCGTTTATTACCCGCGATTGTTCTTTATGAAGTGACACAGTGTCATTTTACTGATATTTACACCTACTGCATTCCTTCAGAATCCATCGTTGATTCAAAAGCAAAGAGTGTTGATGTCAAATAGAACATTAGTTACTGTTACTGACAATATGGTAGTGGAGGGATTGTTCTGCCATGGACGTCTAACTTGATGTACAAGATGATTTTTATTCACAACAAAAATTGTATTCGTTTGACAAAATTAATTACAACGGAATAGTTTCAATAATTCCTTTCGGAACACCTGCCCGCATAATGTATGAATGTAAAATGTAATGCAGTTATTCAAGAATAAACTGATTACAGAAATGTTAAATATCGTATTCTCAATGGCTCGTTTCAATGGTGACTTTGTTTGATAGACCGTTACAATCGAATAGAGCTTGAAGACACCGATAGGAAACGTTGAAATAACAAAGACTGTAACCTATCATCATAAAAAGGAGCTAACAAAATGAATGAATTTGTCATCTACCACTTACTTGTACGAGTAACATTGTTCGCAATTGTCCATCACGTTTCTGTGCAGCTCGTTTTTCTTGTGATGCAGACATTCTTCTTGTTCCGACTGCAGCTGCTAGAGAACTATCGCCGAGTTGCACTGCATTCACTCGTGAATGTTTATTATGAACATTTTTGAACGTTAAAAATCCGAAAACGATCATCAGTAATGCTGGAACCAAAAGCTCGAAGATGAATTGCAGCAGACTATCGGCAATTTGACACTGAATATTCAATTTCAATTGATAACATGATTGTGGAGCACCGAACAGTTGTTGATTGATATCAATACAGTAGAACCCCTCGCCAAATGTAACACAGCCAAATATTAAGACGATAAGAATCGATAGATATGCACGTTTCTTTGTAATCAGCTGTCGTTTATAGGCACTTGTTGATGACGTGAGATATCGTTCAATACAAGCTAGACTAATAAAGCAAGCTGCTGTATATCCCGCGTAATATGTGAAGAAAAATCTTAATTTACAAAGTATAGAAAACGTCTGTGATAGATCTACGCCATAACCATTGAGCAAACGAGGTAAAAGACCCACGACAATAACAAATGAATCAAAAACACTTGAGGCCAAAAGATAGATAACGCAAATATTGTGCTGAAACGTTTTCCGTGTGAATACAAATAGGTTTAGTATATTTCCGATAGTTCCGAAAAATAAGAGTGGAATCGGGACATAACGATTGATTGCTTGATTTAAAATGACAAAATTGATTGTTGATGTACTATTCATATTATAAATTCCGACTTGTACGCAGAATCCGAAACAAATCGACGCGCGTATTCACGTGACTACGTATATAAATATATATGGACGGAACAAACAAACACGAAGAAAAACGGAAATCATTAAAAATAGTAGAATAGACTAAGCGCACACATCGAAGCTCTTCATCATTAAGACTCGCTATAATGTAATATCAACAAAAGAAATTAATACATTTATATTTCCGTTTGTTTCAAGCTAAGACGTGCACAAGAAAAAAAATATTTTAATGATGTTCTTTAAAAGCAGCCCTGGAGTTATAGGGATCAATCATAGTTTCATGAGCTGTATTTTAGTAAACATATTGACTCTGTTGAATTACGTGAAAGGAATAAGACGAATATATGATGATTCTAAGAATGAATCTCCGACAATATAAACTTATATATTACTTAATTCTATAGCAGAACTACTTAGTCAATTGATAGGTATGAGATATTATTGTTTTCTGAGCTTATATCACCAATAGTAATTGAATATAGAACAAAAAGGCGAAAACTTCGTTTAGAAAGAGATTCTTCATTTTTTTCATTAATCATAGTAGGACAGCTACCATTGCGAACATAGCTACTAAACAAATTGACTAATATTCCTCGTCAATGAAGAATAACTACGAGAATAGCAGTAGTTAGATGCTGGTCTCGCCGAACTTGCATGTAAACGATTGCAATTGTACAATGATTGTCTTTTATTGTTAGTAAATCATAAAAAAGGTAATTAGAAGCAAAAAAACTGTGAAAACTAAGGTCTTTTGTATGTAATTTTCAAATACGGTAAAGCTTGACCGAAACGATAAACGATATATTCATTATATCCTCCCAGTGTTCCTGCAACTGAATGAAATCCTTTGGGTGCTGAAACTAATTCTTTGTTTGCGTTAGTTTGCTTTGATTCGATGCCCAACAATACTTTGCTGTAATACATAACGCGCGTTTGATCCGTTGCATCCGGATGTGTGTAGTTGTCCGATTTTTTTGGATTATCAGCAAAATATGCACCATGACCTATAGAGTTATAATTAAGCAAACAAAATATCCTTTTTCGAAATGTACAGTTAAAGAACACTCACCCCAATTTCCTTCTTTACTGTAGTATCGATCATCAAAGCCATAATCTCGAATTCCATCAATGCCAGGACCCTTCGTTCCATGGAATAAGTGGCGCTCGTTAGGATCAAAGCTTGGACATTGTCTTGCGATGATACTTTTCATTGATTCATATGAATCCTCTAGTAGAGGATTTTTCACTTCTTCTATGGAAACTATTTGCGTTGTTGATCCAATTGTTCCTGTAAGTTGCTTCTGTAAATCCTTGTATAGTAGTGATGAGTCTCGTAATGCAACAAGAACCGATGGATATTTTGGATCCGGATTTGGAACAACTGGAAATGGATCTCCGAGTTGTTTCCAGCCTCGTATTTCGGTCATTTTATGAATTCGTTCGTTAAGAAAATGATCGATTGGACGAAGAATTCGAAAACGCTTGTGAGTGATATTATCGACAATAGCCTCAAGTCCGATTGAATATGGCCTTCTCTCAATATCAACACGCATACCTAGTTCACGTGTGTAACCTTTCTCTAAAGATAAGTTACTCACATCAAAATCAATTCGATCGTGCGTTAATACCACGTGCGGTTCAATTAAATCCATTGTAAACGGACCGGTTTTCGCTTCTTCATCAATCAACAAAATATATCGCCACTTGAGTGGATAGACCTTACAAGTTATGCCATACTTATGAAGTTCATCGCGAAAATTTTCGACGTCAAAATCTCGGTCGGGTGGTAAATGACAGTCCAGATCGCTCGGAACAACCTCTTTACGAATGCTTGGAATCTTGTTCATCACTATCCATGTTTTCGGATCAGACGAAACATCAGCTGGCCGAGACGTAACTTTGCCAACAACCCAGTCACGCACAAATCCACCTTCGACTCGGCAATTAAATTTGCATACAGCTATATGAGCAACAACTTCCATTCGTGTTTCACGTGTGGCTTGCGCGCCTTTTGTACCCTTGTATAGATCAATAGTTGTCCGACAAGGATCGGTGATATGTGATATTCGTTCCTCAATCTCGCGATATTGTTTACGATCTCTACCGCGAAGAAGACGAGGAGAAACACCTTAAAACAAAAATCTCCATGAATTATAAATGCGATTCGCTTAAGAAAACCTATTTGAGTTTATTTTAGACGATTAAAGTCATTCCCTAGACTGTTTCTAATAGATGCTAAAACTTTGTCTGCAGAAAACGATGGTTTTCCTCCTCCGGATACTGACATACCTGTCGATATCTCTTTCTTTTGCTTCAGACTGTACAGAAAAATAACGAAGAATATGATCTTACCAGATTCTGGACGTCGAATAACTGCACAATCTCTTAACCATCCGAGAAAGGCATTAAATTCTTCTTGAACAAGTTTATAATCGGAAGGTCTGGCTTTAACAGCGACTTCACACGTTTTGCTCGACATACTCGGAATGATTTTAATTTTAACTTGTTTTTGATTCTCCCATCGCACGATCATTGGTGAAAATATCTTTGGATGGGACATAACATATTCCAGATTTCGCTCGAGATTTACATATTCACTCGTATTAGGTTTACTATGATTTTCTAGTTTAAAGCGGAATTCCTGAATCATTTGTTGTCGAAAATATAACTCGGCATTGAATATTGTTCCGACATGACCTGCTAAATGAATGCCAGTATTATCCATTAATAGGCTATTTAAGTGGGAAAATTCGGATTTGGCCTTAGTGAATATATTGTTGCTGTTCAGGCATTTTTCTTCGTCAGTATTCAATGAAAACTGACGTGTAATCACGTGCTGTGCCCATTGTGGTTTGATGACGCCGATAAACGAAAGAATAGCTTTGGCACGAATTGATGTTGAATAGCGAACGTCACGCGCCAGAATTAATGCTGGCGGAATTTTGAAAGTTTTTCTTGATAAGGTAGAGTTAAAATCCATTTCGGCAATATCATCATCGGTCGTACCACAATATCGGACAAAAACATAACTACGACCGTTCAGTTCTCTCATCGATGCGAATAACTGATCTGAATAGCCAGTTAAGAGAGATTTTGCAATCGACTCCCAGTTCTTTGATTGAACTTGTGCTTCTTTACGGTATTCAACAGACAAATCGAATGCTCGTTGTAATGTTGAATATCGTCTCAATGCTTGCCGAAGATTATGTTGAATTTTGGTTAATCCTTGCTTTTCGCAAATACGGCGTAAACTGAATTCTTTCGCAGATACTGTCTGTTTCATTAAAAGAATGTCATCTAACACATTNTGTATGTAATTTTCAAATACGGTCAAGCTTGACCGAAACGATAAACGATATATTCATTATATCCTCCCAGTGTTCCTGCAACTGAATGAAATCCTCTGGGTGCTGAAGCTAATTCTTTGTTTGCGTTAGTTTGCCTTGATTCGATGCCCAACAATACTTTGCTGTAATACATAACGCGCGTTTGATCCGTTGCATCCGGATGTGTGTAGTTGTCGGATTTTTTTGGATTATCAGCAAAATATGCACCATGACCTATAGAGTTATAATCAAGCAGACACAATATCCTTTTTCGAAATTTACAGTTAAAGAACACTCACCCCAATTTCCTTCTTTGCTGTAGTATCGATCATCAAAGCCATAATCTCGAATTCCATCAATGCCAGGACCCTTCGTTCCATGGAATAAGTGGCGTTCGTTAGGATCAAAGCTTGGACATTGTCTTGCGATGATACTTTTCATTGATTCATAAGAATCCTCTAGTAGAGGATTTTTCACTTCTTCTATGGAAACTATTTGCGTTGTTGATCCAATTGTTCCTGTAAGTTGCTTCTGTAAATCCTTGTATAGTAATGATGAGTCTCGTAATGCAACAAGAACCGATGGATATTTTGGATCCGGGTTTGGAACAACTGGAAATGGATCTCCGAGTTGTTTCCAGCCTCGTATTTCGGTCATTTTATGAATTCGTTCATTAAGAAAATGATCGATTGGACGAAGAATTCGAAAACGTTTGTGAGCGATATTATCGACAATAGTCTCAAGTTCGATTGAATATGGCCTTCTCTCAATATCAACACGCATACCTAGTTCACGTGTGTAACCTTTCTCTAAGGATAAGTTACTCACATCAAAATCAATTCGATCTTGTGTTAATACCACGTGCGGTTCAATTAAATCCATTGTAAACGGACCGGTTTGTGCTTCTTCATCAATCAACAAAATATATCGCCACTTGAGTGGATAAACTTTACAAGTTATGCCATACTTATGAAGTTCATCGCGAAAACTTTCGACATCAAAATATCCGTCGGGTGGTAAATGACAGTCCAGATCGCTCGGAACAACCTCTTTATGAATGCTTGGAATTGATTTGTTCATCACTATCCATGTTTTCGGATCAGACGAAGGACCAGCTGGCCGAGACGTAACTTTGCCAACAACCCAGTCACGCACAAATCCACCTTCGACTCGGCAACTAAATTTGCATACAGCTATATGAGCAACAACTTCCATTCGTGTTTCACGTGTGGCTTGCGCGCCTTTTGTACCCTTGTATAGATCAATAGTTGTCCGATCAGGATCGGTGATATGTGATATTCGTTCCTCAATCTCGCGATATAGTGTACGATCTCTACCGCGAAGAAGACGAGGAGAAACACCTTAAAACAAAAATCTCCACGAATTATAAATGCGATTCGCTTAAGAAAACCTGTTTGAGTTTATTTTAGACGATTATAAAGTCATTCCCTAGACTGTTTCTAATAAATGCTAAAACTTTGTCTCTAGAAAACGATGTTGTTCCTCCTCCGGATACTGACATGCCTGTCGATATCTCTTTCTTTTGCTTCAGACTGTATAGAAAAATAACGAAGAATGTGATCTTACCAGATTCTGGATGTCGAATAACTGCACAATCTCTTAACCATCCGAGAAAGGCATTAAATTCTTCTTGAACAAGTTTATAATCGGAAGGTCTGGCTTTAACAACGACTTCACACGTTTTGCTCGACATACTCGGATTGATTTCAATTTTAACTTGTTTTTGATTCTTCCATCGCAAGATCATTGGTAAAAATATCTTTGGATTGGACATAACATATTCCAGATTTCGCTCGAGATTTACGTATTCACTTGTATTAGGTTTACTATGATTTTCTAGTTTAAAGCGGAATTCCTGAATCATTTGTTGTCGAAAATATAACTCGGCATTGAATATTGTTCCGGCATGACCTGCTAAATGAATACCAGTATTATCCATTAAAAGGTTATTTAAGTGGGAAAATTCGGATTTGGCCTTAGTGAATATATTGTTGCTGCTCAGGCATTTTTCTTCGTCAGTATTCAATGGAAACTGACGTTCAATCACGTGCTGTGTCCATTGTGGCTTGATGACGCCGATAAACGAAAGAATAGCTTTGGCACGAATTGATGTTGAATAGCGAACGTCACGCGCCAGAATTAATGCCGGCGGAATTTTGAAAGTTTTTCTTGATAAGGTAGAGTTAAAATCCATTTCGGCAATATCATCATCGGTCGTACCACTATATCGGACAAAAACATGACTACGACCGTTCAGTTCTCTCATCGATGCGAATAACTGATCTGAATAGCCAGTTAATAGAGATTTTGCAATCGACTCCCAGTTCTTTGATTGAACTTGTGCTTCTTTACGGTATTCAACAGACAAATCGAATGCTCGTTGTAATGTTGAATATCGTCTCAATGCTTGCCGAAGATTATGTTGAATTTTGGTTAATCCTTGCTTTTCGCAAATACGGCGTAAACTGAATTCTTTCGCAGATACTGTCTGTTTCATTAAAAGAATGTCATCTAACACATTNAGAGATTTTGCAATCGACTCCCAGTTCTTTGATTGAACTTGTGCTTCTTTACGGTATTCAACAGACAAATCGAATGCTCGTTGTAATGTTGAATATCGTCTCAATGCTTGCCGAAGATTATGTTGAATTTTGGTTAATCCTTGCTTTTCGCAAATACGGCGTAAACTGAATTCTTTCGCAGATACTGTCTGTTTCATTAAAAGAATGTCATCTAACACATTGATTAATGTCATAAAATCTCCGTCGACACTTTTGTATTGATCTGGAATTGCTTTCAAAATGTTGCTCATATTCAATACACCTAAAATTGACGATAGAATTATTAAATCTCGTCCACAATGGAAGGTTTTTAATGCGGCTAGTACACATTTCGACATTGCCAATGAACCGAAATCCGGTAATTTAGCAAGAGCTTGGCCATGGGCTGTCAGCGGTTCACCTGGACCATCAGTTAAAATACCTACAACCAAAAGTAAGTTGATACTATGCGTCTTCATCGTGAAAAGAAAAATTAAACTAACCTAGTTGTTTTAATTCTTTAATCGTATGATCAATAGTTTGTTGTGATGGCTTGTCGGGAAAGAATTCTTTCATGTAATTGAGACCTTTTTTCAATGGTGATTTTCTTAGCGAAAATTCGATATTCATTAAGTCGGATTGGCAAATTTGTGCTGTTGGAAAGGGTTTATCTTCAACTTTGAAATCGTATAAGGCAAAATATGTTCCCGGTTGTGTTCGTCCTAATCGCCCAAGACGTTGCTTGATTGTTGATTCAGCTGCTCTGACAGTTTGAAGAATAGTTCGTTTCGATTTTGGATCATAAACAGGTATATTAATGAAACCAGTGTCAACAACGTACTTTAACTGAGGAAAGGTCAATGAAGTTTCTGCTACTGTTGTCGAAAAGAACACAGAGCCGTGATCAATAAACGTCTGCTGTTCCGATGCTTGTTGTGATTGTATTAATGGGTAGGCAATAATAGCTCCACCAGTGATGTCCTTCAACAGCCGACAACACTCCGTAACTTCAAAAACTGAACTAACGAAGCAAAGAATTTGATCGTAACGACGACGTTCTTTGACGTACAGCTCTTGTACAATATTCAAAACATTTTCATTCGGTCGAAAACATTTTGTCACTGGATACAAGGTGCCCATCTGTGGCATTTGGAATTCAGACAGCTTCACATCGGAAATTTGACGAAACAATGCCGGTACGGTTTTGTCTAGCGTTGCCGATGAAATGATAATTTTCATTCGAAGTCTTAGATCCGGATGGATTTTTAATATTCGTGCTAATAATGCCAAACAATGATCGATATTAACTGATCGTTCGTGAACTTCATCGATGAAAAATACGACAGATTTATTTATGTTCGTATCTCGGCGAATGAAATTCTCGTCATAGAGTAGATATTCTTTTAACAAGCCATCTGTTAAGTAAAGCACTTGAGCATTGGGGTTAGAGTTTGCACCACTAACCGCCCAACCAGCAAATTTCGATGACAATGAATCTTTTCCTGTCGTCATTGTTTCGTTGACACGTTCGGCTATCAGCGTACATGGCAAACGTCGAGGTTGTGTCACAAGAATCTTATCGTAACCTTCAGCTGCAAGCAGTGCCGGCAAGAGTGTCGATTTACCTAAACATAGAATATAAACGAAATTCAACATAAAGGTTAGAGTTCTCTAATGAAGACATCCTCAGACAAATATGTTACCTGAGCCTGTCGATGTTGCAATAGTTGTCACTACGTTGTGCTCAATTTTACTCAAGAGTTCTTCAGCTGATTCGAATAGCGGCAGTTGAATTTTAAACGAACAGTAATAAATCATTAATCGCTGGAGAAGAGAAGGAATTTGATTGTAATGCTTAACTTCATGTCCGTGAAACTGTGCATTTGTTTTCAGAGTGTTTCGTATTTTTTCAATAAAATACTCTAAAGTTGATATCGATTTTTTGGTCGGCTGTTTTTCCAAGTGATTCTTTTGTAGTAGAACGTTCTCTTTGATAAACTGTTCAAGTGCTTGCTCTTTAAATGTTTGACTTTGATTCAGTAGAGAGTGTTTTTTCATAAAGTCCTCCGTTTTCGAAAAGATCTCTTGTTTAACGCCATTCGAATCATTAAAAATCATCTGTTCGGGTAAGCTTTTCGCTATTTCATTAATATATTTGTCGAATGCAGTTACGTATACTTGCGATTGGTCATTAAATAATTTAAGAAGCAAACGATGATATTCTTTCCAAAGTTGTGTCCTCGGTCGAACTTGCAATAGGATACGTTTGACGCTGTTCGTGATTTTATCCGACTTTTTCTGATAGAATTGCTTGGCACTTTGTTGTAAACGTAGAAGGTAACGTATCTGCGTTAAAATGGCTTTAAACCGTTGATGATGAGCATCAAATCCAACAAGTGTTACTGTATAAGTACGGGCCGTTTGTTGAAAACTCATTTTGACAATATTGTCCAATGGGCAGTTCTTCAGCGGAATTTTGGTTAGCTTTAAATAGTCGAGAATAGAAGAATATTTCGGTGTGAGAAAATCTTGTACGATTTCGCTTTCGACATTGTGGTAATGATTGGATATGATTGCTTTTTCAATATTCTGAAGGTGATTTTTCTCTTCGAGGAGTTTTTGTTGTTCATTGTTTAGAAATCGAATTTTTTCTCTTAAATTTTCGAAATCTTGTTTTTGTTTTTCTGACTTTTCCTTTGATTCTTGTAAACATTTATTCATGTGTTCATTAGCACGTTTTAGTTGCTCTTCAAGGTCATGGTTCATTTGAGCTTTCTTCTCCAATTCAGCTCGAATAGCGAACAATTGTTTATGATCAACAGCTGACTTTGTTTCGTGAAACGTTGAAACACTCTGTGGTCCACGCGATGCACTATCTAGGTAATCATTAAGACCTTCACTTCTGGAATCATCGCTATGTATTGATTGTGTATCATCATCATCATCGTCATCGTTGTTATCTTTGTTTTTCAAATCATGGATAGACCAATCGCCGTTGTTCGCATTTCTGTTTTCCTTAACAGGTAGAAGAAAATGATTTTATGCTTCATGCAACCAAACGTTATCTTACTGTTGCATCTTGTGGAAATTCGTCGTCGTCACCTTCGTCGTCAAGATTCGACTGAGGCGATGATACTAGATCATCAGCATCGTCGTCTGGTACATGATCACTGTTTGGTTTGGACTTTTCTCTTGACATGTTTGTGGTGTATGGAATAGGATCACGTTGACTTAAATTTTCAAAGTTATCAAGAAACTGAAACTTTTTCATAGAACTTTCGCTTCTAGACACTAGTTTTGGTAACCATCGGATGTAGCCAAATATCGTTTTCTCGTCATTTGTAAATGTGAAGGATTGAAAATTAAATGTTAATGGCTCATCAGCAATGGGATCTATCTTCAGACGATAGATTTTTCTTCGATAATTCATTGTGTGATCCATTTTTAAATTCACTTCTGCTGGACAGTTATACCAACAGTTGGTTTGTATTCGAAATCGGCTGTCAAAGATTTCCGGGAGTTGAAAAGCCTTTAAAGATGGTACGTGGTTCGTATGAACATTGCGATGTTTCGTAAGCATGATTTGCCAAACAGCGTAACAGTCAAAATTCCAGATTGATGATCCACGGCAGCGCACCCAAGATAAATGATTTTTTTTTCCTTTATTTTCTTCCGAACGAAGAAATATGATGGGTGAAACATGTGAAATAACTGAATCGGCGACGAAATAGATTTTTTGCTCCATTTCTTCGTCATCTTTTACCAATAATGAACGATTTAATTGTTCGGCGTCTTTCGGTGTGCATAGGGTCCAATGATCCTTCTCGAATGGTTTATATTCCCAAACGGAGTCAAATGCATCTTCTGAACATTTTTCTTTGATAGGTTCTTTCGGGAAAGGGCCTGTTCCTCTTGAATAGCTAAGTACAAGAAAATTTTCAAAATATGCCCGAATATTATCTTGCCGTTTCCCGTTATCAATGGGCGTCTCTTCCACTTGATTTTGAATAAAATAATCAGCACCATGTCCGATTAAATATTCCACAATACCCAAATGTCCTCTGAAACATGCGGCATGCAATGGTGTCGAGGCCGCTGATGGATAAGCACGATACTTTCCATCGTCTATTCGTAAAGCTTTGTCAAGTTCTTGAAGATTCTGTGCGTTAACAGAACATTGACCTTTTTCAACGAGATATTGAACTAATGGAAAATGGTTATTTCTTGCCGCTGAATACAAAAGAGTTGTTCCATGAAGACCTGGTCGATCTTTGAATGTAGGATAATTTTGAACGAAATCTCTTACACTCGGTACATCTCCATTCCATGCTGCTTGAAATGCATCAAAAGATGCTGAAGCGCCTCGAAGCGTACATTCAAATGGGTAAAGACTATCCATACTAAAAGACGTCGTAAATCTTTTCTGTTGTTCATTGAAATGATATGGAACGAGAAATTCCAACAGATATTTTTGACCTAATGTACCCATAGATGAATAATATTTGTCAATCGTTCGTTCAATTTTCACACGGAGTATATCCATGTCAGTTTCCTGTTCTTTACTCAATGTAAATGAATATATTCCTGTGTTTAACACCGAATTTTGATGTAAACTGTTCGAGTTCGTATTCGAATGCTTTGGTTGTAATTGCTCAATGGTTCGATGTATAAGCTGAACTATATCTTCGGAACATCGTTTCACGTACTTTTCGTCCGACGGGTTTGATGCACTCATAGTTTCGATCTATAAATATAATGAAGAAAGTTTGTGTATACTCGTTATGCATCTTGAGAAATAAGTGTGAGGGAAATGGTATACTTCATAGCTTCTCGAGTTGTTTCTCTGAACACTCATCGTCCAGATGTGAATCATTTCAATATACTATTTGAAAAAGTAAATATCTTCACAGCTGAATTGAACTGCCTAAAGTCAGCGAGGAAATAGAAGTGGATATGGAGGAATGATGCTGCGGAAGTATGTCTCTACGAATAGACATCTGGAGAAAGCACCCGAGTATAGTACATTGACTTTTAAGAATATTTCTGCACTTCTGCCATTTGTCAATATGCATAAATACTTCTAGGATGCATCTTGTCTTATTACCAATGAGTGTCTTTGACCACATCCATATGAAATAAAAACAACTGAAACCGAGCAGTTGATGCTGCAAGTCTTTTTCCTATATTTATTCGTCTTTTGCATACATACTTCCAACATAAACGAGTGAAAAACATTATAGTTCTCTAAGACTGTGCTGATAACAAGTACTGAGCTTGAAGCTTTTATCTTTAAGAGCAAATATCAGGACGAACAACAACACAGCTCACGCTCTCATCGTGAAAAAAAGACATTATCGAATATATTTATTTAACGATGTGAAAAAAAGGAACTATTTGCTTCCGAGTTATTACGCCAGAACATACTCAGACAAACAGAAAGAAAAGGCAAAACACGTGTCTTTTTACCATCGTTAAAGAAAGAAATAAAAAGTAGAATTTTCTTCTTTTCGTCGAAAAACACGTCTAGTGATACAAACAGATTTGAAGCGGACTCTTATTGTTTACTTCATTTTTTCTTCAATTCGAAGATTAGAAGATAAGTAAAGAGTATGGCGACATCACATACAGATCCATATGAAATTCTTAAAGCGTCCAAAACAAGTAACCCTTACCAGTTGCGTTGGGCATATCGACAGCGTATTCTAGATCTGAAACTCGATCGACAACGAAATCCAACTAATCGTCGAATATCTCCAGAACAATTCAGACAGGTGTGCCGCGCTTACGAAACCTTAACAGTTCCAAAGAAAAAAGAGTTGTATGATCAACGACAAGAATGGACGTCGACTTTAGACATATCCAAATATACACTGCAACAATTAGCAGCTGAACCCGATCTAGCTGACGAATTGAAACGACGATTAAAAAATGCGAAATTGAGACAAATTAATACGCAAGATGCTGGGTCAGGTCAAACACCATTGTACTGTGCAGCACGAGCTGGTAATGTTCAAGCTGTACACTATCTCGTCGAGCAAGATGCTAATCCTGATCTCGTTCAACGCTCAGGTAGTACCGCTTTACATGCTGCTGCATTCTTCGGACATCCAGAGATGGTCCGATGTTTGCTCGAGTGTGGAGCCAACTATACAATCAAAAACGCCTATGACAATCTAGCTGGATATGAAATAGAAGATAAAGATGTGATGAGAGTTCTACTAGAATTAAAAGAAACTCTGTTCGTACAAACAGCTGCGAATCAATTGGAATGGTTAAAGAACAATATTGATCGCATCGGTGATCATATTGATACACAGTACTATAATCAACGGCAAACACTGCTTCATTGTGCATGTAAAAAAGGATATTTTGGAATTGTGAAATGGCTTACTGATGAACGTCATGCAAATCTTGACCTTGTTGACATCAATCTAAATAGTCCACTACACTTGGCTGCTCATAGTGGTTATTCGGACATCGTTGGTCATCTGCTTGAAAAAGGTGCCAATTCAAGTCTCATCAACAAGTGGGGAATGACAGCAGAGCAAGAAGGAGTCTTTCATGGAAGTAAAATCACAGATTTGTTTCAAGCGATGAAAGACAGAAATATGTTTGATATGGCAAGAGATGGTGTACAATGGTGGTTTGAATACTATTTTGAAGATAACTCACCGAATGCTGTTGATGGACGTGGAACAAGTGTGCTATATGTTGCCTGCCGATTTGGTCAAACATCTGTTGCAAAATGGTTGTTAGACAGAGGTGCAAATATCAATTTTCAACTGCCAAGTGTTCGAAGTACACCATTGCATGTTGCTACATTTCGTGGTCATGTCTCTACAGTTGAGTTATTGTTATATCGAGGTGCAGATATCAATATAAGAAATGCAGATGGTGCAACACCACTGGAGGACGGTCCAAACAGTGAAATAAAAAAATTGCTCGAACAGTATCGAAATAGTGTGGCAGTTGACAAATTTATTCCTGTACATGTGTATAGCGATGGCAAGAAGGCGGGTGAAGGGCCTCTGGCAAAAGTTCAATTACACTATAATGCAACCATTGATGATCTTATTGACGCTTTGCCTGATTCATTACGGCAAACACATCGTTGGTTTTCAATTGCACGCAGTCCGTTAGATTTTCCCTCTNTAAAAAAATTGCTCGAACAGTATCGAAATAGTGTGGCAGTTGACAAATTTATTCCTGTACATGTGTATAGCGATGGCAAGAAGGCGGGTGAAGGGCCTCTGGCAAAAGTTCAATTACACTATAATGCAACCATTGATGATCTTATTGACGCTTTGCCTGATTCATTACGGCAAACACATCGTTGGTTTTCAATTGCACGCAGTCCGTTAGATTTTCCCTCTGATGAAACACCATTGATCTCTGCAGTATGCCGTGCTCGTCATGCCAATTCAATATTCGTTGATCTACCAATATGCCTTATAGGTTACACTTCACCACGATACATGAACAGTGGTTATACATCCAGGAATAAACTTGATGGCTATAGTCTACGTGCTTTTCAGGCTATGTTTCGTTCCAAACAAAAGAACAAATCATTTCATGTTAAAGGTCAATCCAGCGAAGCACAATCATTTACAATTGACAATTTATTATTTACGTTCGCTCCATGTTGTGCTGATCGTGACACACTCATTGATGTAGAGTATCTTTTTTCGCCCAATGCCGAACAATTTCGACTACCAGAATGTGTTTGTCTATTTAAAACAAACTATTGCGATGAAAACGATAAACTAAATGACACGCCAACAGTCACAGTAAAAAATGAAGCGAATGTCAAACTGTACACATGGATACCATCATCGCCCTATTGGTTCTCTTACAGAGATCAACAGAATCGTTTATCACGCATTGGAGGTGTTCATGCACTGGTTCGTCATGTTGAAATCATTCCCAAGTCACTTTATTTTCCACCTGACATGTTCATTCAGAGTGCTGTCGGAAAACTATTCGACCAACGGCACAAGCCTGTGCCATGTGAATACCTGAAAATATGTGAGGTTGATTCGCAACGTTTTCCACATCAGGCCTATCACGGCACCAACATCAATGTTATTCTGTCGATATTGATGGATGGACTTGTTATGCCAAGCACAGTAGTTTCTACAGGTTATCGAGTTTGCCCACCGGCAGGTCATATCGCTCGAGGAGTGTCAGCTTTTGGAATTGATGATTTTGCTAATGCACTGTTCGTCAGTCCAAGTATACACTATTGTTCGGATCCTGTTTATGCTGTGACATTTTCTTCTGGCGATCGCCGAATGATAGCCGTGCTCGATTGTCGAATTGAACACGACAAGTTTCGTACGTTTCGAAGTACTGTTCCAAGCTATGTCCCACATCCTGGTGATGATTTGAATGCTATTGAGTGGCGTATCACACGGCCGTCGGCAATTCAAATCGTTGGCATTATCTTCATTCCTATGATGGAATCGCGCTCAGCAGCAGCACGTTTACGAGCAAACAAACTAGGTCTTAAAGAAGATGAAGTTCATTAATTAATAATGAAACTTTTATTCGATACATTTTTGCTCCGACAATTTCAATGTGATTTTTAAATATTTTATTCTAAATAAAAAAAAAATCGAAAAACCCCTCATTAAAACTTTTTTTTTATTAATAGCAATATTTAAGGTAAATTTTTTACTAAAATAGCAAATTTAATTTCGTCAGGATTTACTTTTGCTTTGAATCGGTTCGTATCATCGAACGGAAAAGGCGCAGTTTGTTTCGTGTCGACAAAACCTTGTCGAAGGTGCCAATCAATTTGATTCTGTTTACTCGATATAACGTAAAGATAAACACGTTTTGCATTGAAATGCTCTTTTGCAATGCGCTAAAACAAACACAATAATCTGATCTTCTTTATTCTGATTACGTAATAATGGAAACTACTCACCATAGCTCCGTTGTACAATAACTTTCCTATACCTCGACTTTGATAATCGGGATCAACAGCATGTAAACCAAACTCGACAGATGCTTCCTCGCCGTCTTCTGCATTAATTTGTAAGTTTGGAGTGAATCTGTTGACTTTGCAACAGCCAACTATTTCCAATCCGGAGGGGGTCTTCAATTTGGCAACGAGAATTATTGTATCTGGTTCATCGTCGATTAGTTCTCGAAGTTGCTCTGACGTTATTCGATCACCCGACAGTAAATGCTGTTCACCGACCCAGCCAGAATAAGGTTCTTGAGATGACGATGACGAAGGTTTGCCTCTGTACGCCCAATTAATAATTTTACATAGGTCTTCTATATCGTCGTAGGACGCGAAAAATAGATTCACATCAGAATTTGAATAATCGTCAAAAACGTGCCCCTGACGAGAAGTATGCGTGCCAGTCATAGTTTAGAAAAATAAAAATAGAGGTATTGAAGTATATGGAGAAAAATACAAAATGAAATGGTAAGATAAGAAAAGATGAGAATAAAATACTGTTTTTCTCCAATTTCAAGGTTATCTTACTCATTGTGATGACAATGCTCCAGAAGACTCTTCTCTTGACTTAGTTGATTGAAGACAAACAAGTCGAGGCTCTCGATACATTTCATATGCGTTTCCAATTCAAGCACGAAAATAAACTGGATCACAATAAATCACATGTTACGCATAAGTGAATCATGAAGTTTGCTTTCTTTTATGTAATTATAGTTGTCGCTGGGTAATAAACCCATTAAAACAAGCAATGTGTCCACCTTTCGGTTGTCTAATTTAAACGGGTGCATAGAATGAATTTGTTGGAAACTTCCAATTTTACTAGTATAAATATATCGATCTGCAGGTAAATTCAACACAAAATCAATAAATATGAATAGACCTTGCATTTATGCAATATTACATTGGGCAACAGTATGTCTTGTTTTGCTGCTAATTCCTGGCTTAATTTGGGGTGGAATTGGTGCACTTTCATATCTTCGACATCGGAATGCACGAAATAACTATGTCAGTACAGCATGTCAAGTGGTAAATTATGCCCAACTAGAACATTACTGCGTTGATTGTACTCTATTTCATTGCACAACTCATCGATGCTTCGACGAACAAATACTCGTGACATATGTTGTTAATAATAAATCTTACGAGTCGTATGTAATTACAAAAGAAAGTCGGATTGCAAGACGTAAGAAGTTACAAGTATGTATCATTGATTCGAATGGGAACTTATCTAATTGTGTATCTGCTATTTAGAAAGGCGTCGATCATGATTGTTATTATCATAAGAAAGATGTTGGATTGGCCATCTTTGATCTTCCTGATCATGAATCGCCCCTCATCGTCATGTACATCATCACTGGAACTATTTGTCTACTCATTTTCGTTATTATTACAACTTTCCTTTATGTTCAAATTCAAGCTTTTACTACACGCAATCATGGCGGAAAAAAACAGGCTAGAGTGGATGAAGAAGACCTTTTATATTGTAGTTGATGAATCAAATTTTTCCCGATCATATCAATAAAATTTTCGTATTATCTATTGATTTGATCTTTTAGTGAGTAATGTGAAAGAGAGAAAGATGTGGACAGGTAAATTTGATGTTTTTTCTCTTTATATTATGACTTTACGGATATTTTGTCCTCTATAACACTGATATTTTTAATCAATACTGGGAAATTTTTGTGAATGAGACAAAGTACATAAGAGTGAACACGTGTGCGTAGAACAGGTGTAGTGTAAATTCGATTCGAAATTTCTGTCACTAACTGACGCATGTATTACTTAATTGTTTGTCATTGGTCGAAATGATTGACCATTCTCGTTTCTGATCTGTGTACACGATACGATTTGAAAATATCGCTTATTTCGATGCTTTCATTTTTATCTGATCTAATACGCTTACGTTCAGTCTGCGGAGTCGATGCTGAGCGTTTCGTTGCCGAACGAATTTGTGCAGAATGTGACCATTTAAAATTAAAATATGATGTAATATCAGCACCTGGTCAAGAACATCGACCGAATGTGATTGTCACTGCTGGTATGTCTTATACTGTTTGATTAGAGTATAGTTTATCATAAAACTGGTTTATGTAAGGAAATGGTCCTTCGAAGTTCTTATTTGTTGGTCATATTGATACGGTCAATGTGGAAGATGAAACTCAATGGGCACTCCCACCATTCGGTGGCATGATTGATGAGAAAACTCAACGAATGATTGGACGTGGAGCATGCGATAATAAAGGTGGAATCGTCTGTGCACTGTATACGTTGTATTTGCTCCAGCAACGAATCGATCGTAAGAGAACATGAAGCATTTGACTATTTCGATTTCCATTTGAGAATTTAGAAGAGAAATTAAACATTAGTATTCAATTGGCATGTGTTGTTGATGAAGAAAGTGGTGCTTGTTCATCGATTGGTGTTCGTTATTTGTTAGATAAGAAATTGATTTCGGGTGATGGGGCAATCTATGTTTATCCCGGTGTGAACGTGACGATTGGACATCGCGGTCTCTTAAGATTAGCCATTGATGTTATAGGTGAGAATGTGCATACGGGAAGTATCGAATGGAATACAAAAAAGAAAGGAGCAAATGCAGTTCGTACATACTAATTAAGTTTTTCCAATGAAATTCTTCACTTTCATTGATAGGCCACTGCTTTAGCTCGAATCCTTGTAGCATTAGAAGATTATCCGTGGGAGAACGACACAAATCCATCATTTCCTAATTTAACACTAACTGTAACACCGGGCACGATCGTGAATGGAGGTGGTTTTGTATCTGTTGTTCCATCACATGCTTCAGCCATGGTTGATATTCGTCTGATGCCATCAACATCTGTTGATCATGTTTTACAGAAAATTGAAGACATTGCTACAAATATAGTAAACGAACGAAATGAATTTTATCGTAGAATGGCATCCGATTCATCGACATCCACTCGATTATCAGCATCGATTACCATAAAGAACCAATTACCGGCTGCGACGATTGATTCAAATCATCCACTCGTTTATTCATGTGTCCAAGCTGTTGAAAAAATACTACATGTAACTCCAACAACAAATGGATGCGGTCCAGCTAATGAAGGATATATGTTAATCGAGAGTGGTATTCCGACTATTTGCGGATTTGGACCCATTGGTGGTAATGTTCATGGAGTTGACGAATGGGTATCGGTACCATCGTTAGCTCAGACAGTCGACGTTTACTTTGACATTGTTTCTAGCTATTGTCATCTATTTCAGTAATAGAATGAAACCGTTACTTTCTTCACGTTCATAAAAATATTCCGGTGAGAGTTTCATAACTAACTGAATGAGCGATAGGGATCAATAATGATTCAGTACTCTGGATAGGATTTATGGCCTTGAAATTTATTAGGGTGAACGAAAAAAAATACTTCAATATTAGATCAAACATTCAGCGACTGGTCATTTGATTGAGCTTTGTTTTCGATCGCCTGCTCACATTTCACTGTGTCACGAAGATTGATTTCATTGGAAATTTCCTTACTCATTCTATGTTGAGTCAAATGTCGCACATTATTTCGTATACAACAATAAAGTAACCAAATTCCTATAACATATTCAAGAATAAACATGGGTATAACAAGTTGTGTTCCACTTGAAACTCTAAATTCCCAAGCAAAAGCATAAGCAATTTCTGGAATTAACCAAATATGACCGATGAAAAACCAGATAATACTGAAAACAGTCAATAGATGACTTAAAATGACACAATACTGAATGAGATGACGTTGATTGAATGAAAATTGCGTCATAAGGAATGACGGTGAACTGAACAAAGATCAATTTTATTTTATGAAACATAGGGAAATTACGACCTACCGGGAAACACTTATGCACAGATGAAGTGATACAATAACAAGAGCGAATGCTGCTTGAAGAATTAAAACGGTACGCGACATATAATACTGATAATCATATGCATGATGCGTACAAGCAACTATTAAACAAATGAGAGAAACAATGAACACAATGAATAATTGAAAATAATATGACAGTAACAAATGTTTGGCGAGCCGTAATTTTGATGGATAAGCTTTGTTTATATCTTTGGTCAAACTGATTAAGGAACGAGGAAATATGAGATCATATTGTTTTGTTGACTTATCATCAGGCGTTTGATCGTTGGTTAATAAAACTCCACTTTCTTCTTGAGTCATTTGTTCTAGATGTTTATTTGTATCTTGAAGATGAACGAGAGCGAATTTTTTAAAAATTTTTACGACGTAAAAATTCATCACAGAGAGACCATCGCATTACTGCCGTCTACCAATGAGAAATAGATGTGATGATTCCAGAAGACAACTACGGAGAAGTAGAGGACAAAATTGACAGTTCTATATGGAGGTAGAATATGAGCATTGTTGGCTATACTTAAAACGTTCCATGCAATGATAGTGACTGTGCCATATGAAGACATTGACAGATTTTTATTTGTACATTGTAGTCTTGCAATTTAATTCTTCGACAGTTCAATTGGATTGATCGTTTGATGAAGCAACAGGGCTTTGAGGTACATGTTATTTCTTCAGTTTTTTCCACCCATATCAGCGTTTTAGATGTCGCCTGATGATGAGAATTTCTCCAGAACAGTCAGCTACAGGGCGCTCGGATTGGATCCCCATTTCGATAGAAGCAATTTGTTTAATTTGCAACGAGGTTTGCTGCCAGTAGTTTTGATGATGTTTTAAATTCCATCTGTGAAGCGACCCTTTGGTTAAACGTTCCTAAACAGATTTCATTCGAAAAACAGAAATCAATGAACTTTTGGAATATACTGGTGACTTGGCGACAAACTATTTTAATCTTGAAAAATCGTTTATTCAATGCAACAAGCTAATCACACGCACACGCATACCATTGTCTATGGAATTTATCTAGTGGAAAGCTCATTTATTTTATAAAGATTTGTACAAGTTTTCAGTTGAAATAAAGTAGGATTTAAATAAATATAGTTCATTGAATCCAAAAGTTTTCTCCTCGTCCTTCGACACTTTCCCACAAGCAAGTGGTTTTCCCATGGAAACTAACAGGAACAATATATGGACAAGCTGCTCGTTCAGCACTAATCAGAAATACACATATTCGACTGTTCGATTGCTTTGGATCTGGTTCAAGTTGTTGACTCAATGTCAATGAATATAACATATTAAAATCATCTTGTTCAGTAATAACTAAACCATAGTCGAACGATGCACTTTCAGAGACCGTAAATGGATTTTCAATACGAGAATGATTCGCAGTACCATCAATAAAATACACACCTTGTTCATTATCAGTCAAAACATGTAATGAGCCGTACCATGAACCATTGAAACTGGTGATCGTATGCCACGTATGAACTTCGGACACTTGCTCACTGTGGTATGCTAGTAAGATACCATTGCTCATGATAATTAACAGTGCACATATGATGGAACTCATTCGTATAAATGACATCACAAACTTGTAGAGTGAAATTCAAATGATAGGTTTGAAAATAGATGATTTATTGTGAGAAAAATGGAAGTTAGATGTTAATAGGTATAAACAATAATAAAGAAAAATACATAATAACAACCAATGTTACGAATGGTCGAATAGATGTCTCTTTGTATACATTTTCAATTGACCTATATAAATTCATGGTTTAGCTTTGAAGAATAGATTTCTGTCTGCAGACTTTCGAACTACAAGTACATAAAACATGATATTTCTAATTCGAAGTTGTACAGCACTTGTATTTTTCTCAAACCGTCGTTGTTAAAATCAGCTGTACCGTATTGCGTAAGTAAAAGAAGATTCTTCTTCCGAAATCAATATTTGTTCTTGAAAAAACATTGATGTGCATCTCCAAGAAATACACACATTCGGTAAGGAAAACTTTTCGTAAAAACAATATCTAAACTACCATCGCCGTTAAAACAAGAGCAGAAAACAAACAAAACATAACATTTGCGGAATAATATGATACCAGAAGTAACTCACCTGAGACCTATGCTGTTGTTCGAAAGTTCGATGCATCACAGATACTTGTTTTGAGGAGATACAATGTTTCAATCGATTGTTTACTCACAAATTGAATAAACCGGATAGAGTGCAATACTATTCGGAACTCTTATCGTTGAACATGAATATATAAGAGCGTCGGTAGATTTTAAGTACAGCTGCGTGAAGACGGGCGCAATATTGTCTAAAAAGATTGTTGAAAGTGACAAACGTCTAACTTATGGATTAGGATATATGGTGATTGAAGTTCTATTTAAAACATATTTTAATTTAAGTTCTACTCAATAACTTCATACGACTTTACAACATTCACTTTGTGGAACATTGGATGTAAATCGAGCATTAGAAATGTTTCTGGTTTTTTTTTCATCAGTAGAATTGTTTGATAAGCCATTGACAGGCGTCGTCCAAAGCTTTATTACTAATCGTTGCAATACGAACAGCTTCGAGAAAACTATGCGTTGTTCCATGGTAAATGTGTTCTTCGACTTTAACATTGGCTTTCCGTAACGCTTCGGCCATCGATCGATTTTCATCGAAGAGAACATCGCATTCAGTAATCGTTAGAAAACTTGATGAAAGACCATGAAGGTCAGCATGGAGAGGACATACGTATGGATCATCATAGTCCGCCTCGTTTCGAATGTAATTATTGAAGTAGAACTGCATTTCCTCAGCATTTAATCGATATTTTGGATCATTGTAACGTACGTATGAATCGGATGTAGGTCTTACACGATCATACACACCATAATTAAGCAACTGAGCAACAAGAACTGGCTCGTTCAGTGCTCTTAGTCGTAGATTTGTTGCAACGGTAAGATTGGCACCAGCAGAATCACCACCAATTGCCATACGATTCACATCGATACTTAAATCTGTGGCATTCTGTTCTCTTAACCATTGAATGACTGATACAATTTCATTGATTGCTCGGGGATACTTTACTTCTGGAGATAGACTGTAATCCACACCGACGACAACGACGTTTGCTCGACTCGCATACTCTCTCATCAATCGATCGTGTGTGTCAAGGTTGAATATAGTGTAACCACCTCCGTGAATGTAGATGAGTACTGGACATGCTTGATCATGATTTGGATAATAAAGGCGAATACGAGTTGAATAAGTTCCTACATGTTTCTCTTCGATTCGCTGCATTATGGGCCCACCTTCAGTCCATGGTGCCCGAACGAGTGCAGTCACTCGACGTAGATCATCAATCGATGTGGAATCGAAAGGACAAAGACTCGTATAGGTTTCTTGCATTATATTTTGCCATTGTTGTATATCCGAATCTATGTCTTTACCGTCTGCCATACTGAATACATACAAATGCGTAATATGAATAAATTCATGTTTTTGTTTCTTATTCTTATCAAAGGTCAGATTGATAACACATGAAATTGATTCGCTAAGACGACTCAGTACGAATAGTATGAATACCGATGAAAAGCGTTATTTAAATTCTGCGGATGTTGCGAACAAACACTTTTACAATGTAAGTTGTTCTTGTAAATTATCAATATCTCCATAATTCTAGATTCGATTTATTTGTGATAATAACTTGCATTTTCAGATTTTTAAAGTTTAGACAATATCTGATTCGATTGAGATCCAAAATGAAATAACACGCTTCATTGGTTTTATTTGTGAACCAAAAGCAAAAGTGACACTCGCTTTTCTTATACCTTGACGTGACTGCGAATGGAATGTGACATTAACAATGTTGGTTGATTCAAACAGATATAATGTATCATTGTATGATTTAGCTGACGTCAGTCATATCGTTGCTTGAAAAAACAGTATATTCACTGTCTGTTAAGTCCATATTGATTTATTCTCTTGCTTGTCGGTGTCACATCTATCAATATGAAATCTTGACAAAAGAATGTGTTAAAATATGTTTATCTACTTTCTTTCTGTACATTGTCATGAATTCACAAAAGAACAATAAATACGACAACTTTATCAAACTATCTACCTAATAAATCGATCAAATTATTGTCTTTTCTTCTCATTCAAGCGTTGTTCAATCAAAATTGTTTAGTCACCAGCAGAGATCAGTGACACCAACGATGATTTTTTCCATGCTACAAGTACTAATCATGTTTATTACGTCTAAGAATATAGGTAATTGCTGGAGAAATGGCTACCATCGACGTGTTTCAACTATAGATAGTATCAGGCGAAACTATCGTTCAACATTTAAAAATGAATGAGATCTTCAAAATATTGCGAAAAGCAGGTATTGAGTTGGAAACATCAGGTGCAAAGTAATTCAAGAGCTTCGCAGAAAATTTTCTTTTGGTGATGATTTTTGCAATGAACAATGTATATTGCTTTTCTTGTTAAGACTTCAACGGTTGAAATTACGATGACCTACTTTGGTACCTCTCTTTAGAAGGCGCTGCTTCATGTTCCGCTGCCAATAGCAGTCGATCACTTTGGTTGATCACATTCGGTGCTGGTACAGATCCATATTCTCAACAAACTCCCTCTCATTTCAATTTCACCACCACTTATCAACAACGATTCGACGGTGATTCCATTGTAGCACAGTTTGCACTGATGAATAAAGTGACAAATTTGTCCGAGAGACACGCTGGAGCAGAAGATCATACACCAAACGATGCTAACGGATATATGATGCTGATCGATTTGGCTACCTATGATGGTAGTGTGATATTCAACACTACTGTTCACGGTCTTTGCATCGATTCACAGTATGAATTTTCAGCATATTTCGCAAATATCGTCAAAAAGGGACGCAATTTGCTTGAGCCAAACATTTGTTTGTTGGCCACTCAACACATCGGTCATAACCTTTCAGTTCAACGATCATGGACGGGAAATTTACCCGAGTACAACGAACTAACTTGGTCCAAGCATGGACTTTTGTTTACGGCATCAACGAGCTCAGTAGTTTTACAGATGATTGCGAAAGACAATTATGGCAAAGGGAGAGACTTAGTAATTGATGATATAGAACTACGTGTGTGCTCAAGTGTTTCATCGGGCTATTGTCCATCAGGTTAGTTTTGAGTCTCTCTCGATCACGTTGAAGTTAAAGACGTGCAAGGGACTCAGTGCGCACCACATATCTAACGCCGTACATTCAAACTGTCTTTTCAGATGAGCCAACAACTGCACAAAACTCAATTACTTCGACTACAGATCCAAGTAAGTTCATCACTTCAAAAATATAATTGAGGATGAGCTTTGAAGACACGCATTCCTTCAGAGTGAGAAATCAAAAATTTCTCTTGTTTTTTAGTTAGTATCTCGAAATCGAACGTAATATTGTCTTTGTAGATCGAACATCAACAGCTGCAGACATGTCATCGGCGTCGACAGCAACATCGGGTAGGCTCATGATCTAATAGAAATATATTCGGTTCGTGGTTTAACAGACAAAAATACTGAACATCTTTGTGCCTGTGACTCGTGATGAGCAAAACACGGCATATGCTGAAATAATCTTATAACTATATGATAATCTGAATCATAGATTAGCTTGATAATGATGATAATAGCATTGTTATTTTTCGCTAGGAATTATCGATTCATGTTCCGTTGGCAACAGTAGTCGATCACTTTGGTTGATCACATTCGGTGCTGGTATAGATCTATATTCTCAACAAACTCCTTCTACTTTCAATTTCACCACCACTTATAAACAACGATTCGACGGTTATTCCATTGTAGCACAGTTTGCACTGATGAATAAAGTGCCATCTAACTCGGATTGGCATGCCGGATCAGAAGATCATACACCGAATGATGCTAACGGATATATGATGCTGGTCAATTTGGCTGAAAATGAAGGTAGTGTGATATTCAACACTACTCTTCATGGTCTTTGCATCGATTCACAGTATGAATTCTCAGCATATTTCGCAAATATGGTCAAAAAGGGACGCAATTCCCCTGAGCCAAACATTTATTTGTTGGCCACTCAATACATCGGTCATAACCTTTCAGTTCAACGATCATCGACGGGAAATTTATCGGAGTATAATCGACTAACTTGGTCCAAGCATACACTGCTGTTTACAGTACACAACAGTTCAGTGATTTTGTCAATGGTACCAGTCGGTGGTAATTGGTTTGGAAGAGATCTAGTGATTGATGATATAGAACTACGTGTGTGCTCAACTGTTTCATCGGGATCTTGTCCATCAGGTTAGTTATTGCTCTTTGTTTATCATACATGTTTAGTGATGAAGAATTACAAAAGAGCAGTCTTGCATTGAAGATGAGCAAGTGAGCATGCATGCTTTGGTTTCGATACTCTCATGTATCTTTCACATTAATCCATTACGACAAGCTAGCTGTAAAAAGCCTTCAATAAAAACTCTGGCGATGAGCTATTTTTATCAAGAAAAGATCTTGTAAATGTTCAGTGGGAACTACCGCCATTGTATGGATATATCGAGGATTTGTATGATTTTGAAGACAGACACTTCTCAGATATTGATCACTGAAGAACTCGTAGGCGAGTCAACGATCATTTTCATCCAGATAAAATGTCTTATGAATAGGAACCTTTGCTTTCATTAGTAGCAGCACTCATTTTGTATGAGAAGAGAAAATTTCATATTTCGAACTATAAGAATGTAGACCAGTGCACGATGGAAAAAATGAAAAACTTCAATGAAATGCACTTGACACGAGTTTTGACGAAGAAATCATGTTCCAAAACATTATGTAAACAGAGAGTTGTTGTATTTTTCCTAGAATCATTGACAACTGAGAAAACAACATTTTGTATTGATGTCTAAGGTAAACATATGTTGTTGTTTCAGAATGTTACAAGCCCGTTATCAACCTTCAATCATCAATATCTCAAGAAATTCGGCAGGATCAAAATATCTTGATAACATCAAATATTCGACCGCATTGTGTTGAATTGTCATTCATTACGATGAAATGGATTCTTCTCACCTGCTCACCAACATGTTTAAGTCTAACTCTATCTGATCGATCAATTGACACATCGTACAAAGATCTCTTCATTCCTAGTCAAAGTCTCGCGTGTGGGTCATATAGAATCTACTTAAAAGTAACAATCACGGCTAATTCCACAGTAGTATCATCCTCTTCAATAGACATTCGAATAATTGAATCAACTCTCATTACAAATCTTATTCCAAAGCTTCTTCCGTATAATACGTTGTTTATTACATATGATCACGAAGAAGATCTTATTTTCAATCCTGGTGATTATTCTATCGATCTTCATCATATCAAATTCAATAAAAATGTCAGTGTTTTATATCATAAGTTTTCAAACAATGTTCAGTCTTTCTAGGATTGGTTCTATGAATACTATTGTCGTATCAGCACGATGGATAATGATGCATTTCATTCGTTTGAAGATTCAGCTCAAAGTTGTTTCTCCAACAAATCAAGTATGGTCGACATCTGCATTTCTAATGAACTTCCCTATTGATCACTTGTGTTCATAGATTCGTGGACATACAATGATTCTATCCATTCCTCGCTTGCAATCTTCGCCCAATCATTGCAAATCAATGAGACATACGAATTTCTTGTACAAATCACTCATCGAAACGATTCATCTGCACGAGTCAATGGTTCTTTGAAGGTGAAAATCGTTCATACTCAATCTCCATTGATTATGATTAGGTTTGTTCTGTCTCCTTAACCATATCCCTGTGAGATTTTCTTTGAAATCTCTAGTTGTGTCATTTCATCGATGTGTTCGCCCAATTTGCCATTTCACTATGTTAACCACAATGCACAACTTTCGCTTTATTCGTTCTGCTACCTGAACTGCGCATCTCCTCTGAATGTGTCATGGAATGTCTATCGAGGGACCATCAATGTGACGGATCAAACAGTTCAATGGACTTTATTTATTCCTCAAGATCGAAAACTGGAAATTTTAGGTTTACATACGAGAAACTTGTCGATAACGAAAGATTTGTTTTCTGAAAATAAACAGATCATCTATTGGCGTTTTGAAGTCATTTATTCATTCGAATTGTTCACTCATCGAAACACATTCGATATTGAACTGAATGATCCACCAATAAATGGTTCTTGTTCGATTGATCCTTCAAATGGAACGATGATGACTCTATTCAGAATTCAATGTTCGAATTGGACTGATCAAGATCCAATTAGAGACTATTCGATCTATGGTTTCACTCCAAACTCATCCAAAACGATGATGTTGGCTTATTCAACTGAACCAACCATCTATCTTCGTTTGCCAACAAATTTTAATCTGATTGTGAAAATTCGTGATACATTCGGTTGCGTTGCTCACTACTCGTTGCCGAAAGTCATTGTAACGAAAGAAGATGCTCTTAACAAATCAATCCTTGGCCAACTTTTTGGTCAAGATCCGAAACTTATTGGACAACTAATTCTGTCCACTTCATACATATTCAATGAAATTCACCGACAAAGCCGGACGAGTCTATCAATCACACCTTTGCACAGCGAAAATCTCGATCAAGTTTGTTATTTCTCTTATAACAATAAGAATTCATTTCTCGAATTGGATAGATGACCAATGTCACAAATGCTTCAACCATCGTCAATACCAACGAACATGCTGAAATTCGTGAAGAATTACTCAAGATTATGAATAATTTCTCCACTACAACTCGAAATGAACTGAAATTTCACGCATCAATACTTTCCATTTTAACTCAAACAGCAAATGAATTAACCAAAACAACTTGCGTAAGATATGCGAAGCATCTATTCGTTCTTCATTGTGAATATCATACANGGCAAAAGTTCAATTACACTATAATGCAACCATTGATGATCTTATTGACGCTTTGCCTGATTCATTACGGCAAACACATCGTTGGTTTTCAATTGCACGCAGTCCGTTAGATTTTCCCTCTAATGAAACACCATTGATCTCTGCAGTATGCCGTGCTCGTCATGCCAATTCAATATTCGTTGATTTACCAATATGCCTTATAGGTTACACTTCACCACGATACATGAACAGTGGTTATACATCCAGGAATAAACTTGATGGCTATAATCTACGTGCTTTTCAGGGTATGTTTCGTTCCAAACAAAAGAACAAATCATTTCATGTTAAAGGCCAATCCGGCGAAGCACAATCATTTACAATTGACAATTTATTATTTACGTTCGCTCCATGTTGTGCTAATCGTGACACATTCATTGATGTAGAGTATCTTTTTTCGCCCAATGCCGAACAATTTCGTCTACCAGAATGTGTTTGTCTATTTAAAACGAGCTATTCCGATGAAAACGATAAACTAAATGACATGCCAACAGTCGCAGTAAGAAATGAAGCGAATGTCAAACTGTACACATGGATACCATCATCGCCCTATTGGTTCTCTTACAGAGATCAGCCGAATCGTTTATCACGCATTGGAGGTGTTCATGCACTGGTTCGTCATGTTGAAATCATTCCCAAGTCACTTTATTTTCCACCTGACATATTCATTCAGAGTGCTGTTGGAAAACTATTCGACCAACGGCACAAGCCTGTGCCATGTGAGTACCTGAAGATATGTGAGGTTGATTCGCAACGTTTTCCACATCAAGCCTACCACGGCACCAACATCAATGTTATTCTGTCGATATTGATGGATGGACTTGTTATGCCAAGCACAGTAGTTTCCACAGGTTATCGAGTTTGCCCACCGGCAGGTCATATCGCTCGAGGAGTGGCAGCTTTTGGAATTGATGATTTTGCTAATGCACTGTTCGTCAGTCCAAGTATACACTATTGTTCGGATCCTGTTTATGCAGTGACATTTTCTTCTGGTGATCGCCGAATGATAGCCGTGCTCGATTGTCGAATTGAACACGACAAGTTTAGTGCGTTTCGAAGTACTGTTCCAACGTATGTCGCGCATCCTGGTGATGATTTGAACGCTATTGAGTGGCGTATCACACGACCGTCGGCAATTCAAATCGTTGGCATCATCTTCATTCCTATGATGGAATCACGCTCAGCAGCAGCACGTTTACGAGCAAACAAACTAGGTCTTAAGGATGATGAAGTTCATTAATTATTAATGAAACTTTTTATTCGATACATTTTTGCCCCTACAAATCCGATGTGATCTTCGAAATATTTTATTCTAATTAAAAAATCGAAAAACTCCACACTAAAACGTTTTTTTTTTATATTAATAGCAATATTTAAGGTAAATATTTTACTAAAATAGTAAATTTAATTTCGTCAGGATTGACTTTTGCTTTGAATCGGTTCGTATCATCGAACGGGAAAGGTGCAGTTTGTTTCGTGTCGACAAAACCTTGTCGAAGATGCCAATCAATTTGATTCTGTTTACTCGATATAACGTAAAGATAAACACGTTTTGCATTGAAATGCTCTTTTGCAATGCGCTAAAACGAACACAATAATCTGACCTTCTTTATTCTGATTATGTAATAATGGAAACTACTCACCATAGCTCCGTTGTACAATAACTTTCCTATACCTTGACTTTGATAATCGGGATCAACAGCGTGTAAACCAAACTCGACAGATGCATCCTTGCCGTCTTCTGCATTAACTTGTAAATTTCGAGCGAATCTGTTGACTTTGCAACAGCCAACTATTTCCAGTCCGGAGGGAGTCTTCAATTTGGCAACGAGAATTATTGTATTTGTTTCATCGTCAATTAGTTCTCGAAGCTGCTCTGATGTTATTCGATCACCCGACAGTAAATGCTGTTCACCAACCCAACCAGAATAAGGTTCTTGAGATGATGAAGACGAAGGTTTGCCTCTGTACGCCCAATTGATAATTTTACATAGGTCTTTTATATCTTCATAGGACGCGAAAAATAGATTCACATCAGAATTTGAATAATCGTCAAAAACGTGCCCCTGACGAGAAGTATGCGCGTCAGTCATAGTTTAGAAAAATACAAAATGTAATGGTAAGATAAGAAAAGATGAGAATAAAATATCGTTTTTCTTTAAAGTTCAAGGTTATCTTACTCATTGTGATGACAATGCTCCAGAGGAGACTTCTCTTGACTTAGTTGGTTGAAGACAAACTAGCCGAGACTCTCGATACATTTCATATGCGTTTGTAATTCAAGCACGAAAATAAACTGGATCAAAATCAATCACATGTTACTCATAAGTGAATCATGAAGTTTGCTTTCGTCAAATGGTTTTATACTATTTCCAAACTGGGTATTTGTTTCTCATAGTTCGAAATATTCGTTGTGATTTATTAATAAATGAGCATATACATAACTGACAGAAATTCCATATGATAATTCATGTAGAGAATCTAATATCGATTGAGATATCACCACCTTTAGTCGGGTAAGAAAAAGGGCAATTTTTTTATGTAATTATAGTTACCGTTGAGTAATAAACCCACTAAAACAACCAATGTGTCTACCTTTGGGTTGTCTCATTTAAATGAGTGCATATAATGAATTTGTTGGAAATTTCCAATTTTACTAGTATAAATATATCGATCCGCAGGTAAATTCAATATAAAATCAATAAATATGAATAGACCTTGCATCTATGCACTATTACATTGGGCAAAAGTGTGCCTTGTTTTGCTGCTAATTCCTGGTTTAATTTGGGGTGGAATTGCTGCACTTTCATGTCTTCGACATCGGAATGCACGAAATACCTATGTCAGTACAACATGCCAAGTGGTAAATTATGTCAAAATACAACATTACTGCGTTGATTGTACTCTATTCCATTGCACAACCCATCAATGCTTCGACGAACAAATACTCGTGACATACGCTGTTAATAATAAATCTTACGAGTCGTATGTAATTACAAAAGAAAGTCGAATTGCAAGACGTAAGAAGTTACAAGTATGTACCATTGATTCGAATGGGAACTTATTTAATTGTTTATCTGCTATTTAGAAAGGCGCTGATCATGATTGTTATTATCATAAGGAAGATGTTGGATTGGCCATCTTTGATCTACCTGATCATGAATCACCCCTCATCGTCGTGTACATCATCACTGGAACCATTTGTCTACTCATTTTCGTTATTATTACAACTTTGCTTTATATTCAATTTCAAGCTTTCAACACACGCAATCATGGCGGAAAAAAACAGGCTAGAGTGGATGAAGAAGATCTTTTATATTGTAATTGATGTATCAGATTTTTTTTTTGATTATATCAATATATTTTCGTATTACCTATTGAGTTAATCTTGTAATGAGTAATGTGAAAGAGAGAAAGATGTGGACAGGTAAATTTGATGTTTTCCTCTTTGCATCATAGCTTTACGAATATTTTGTCCTCTATAATACTGATGTTTTTAATCAATACTGAGTAATTTTTGTGAATAAGACAAAAGTACATAAGAGTGAACACGTGTGCATGGAACAGGTGTAGTGTAAATACCATTCGAAATTTCTGTCACTAACTGACGCCTGTATTGCTTGATTGTTTGTCATTGGTCGAAAAGTTTGACCATTCGAAATTTCTGATCTGTGTACACGACATGATTTGAAAATATCGCTTATTTCGATGCTTTCATTTTTATCTGATCTAATACGCTTACGTTCAGTCTGCGGAGTCGATGCTGAGCGTTTCGTTGCCGAACGAATCTGTGCAGAATGTGACCATTTAAAATTAAAATATAATGTAATATCAGCACCTGGTCAAGAACATCGACCGAATGTGATTGTCACTGCTGGTATGTCTTATACTGTTTGATTAGAGTAGTTCATGATAAAACTGGTTTATGTAAGGAAATGGTCCTTCGAAGTTCTTATTTGTTGGTCATATTGATACGGTCAATGTGGAAGATGAAACTCAATGGTCACTCCCACCATTCGGTGGCATGATTGATGAGAAAACTCAACGAATGATTGGACGTGGAGCATGCGATAATAAAGGTGGAATCGTCTGTGCACTGTATACGTTGTACTTGCTCCAGCAACGAATCGATCGTAAGAGAATATGAAGCATTTGACTATTTCGACTGTCACTTGAGAATTTAGAAGAGAAATTAAACATTAGTATTCAATTGGCATGTGTGGTTGATGAAGAAAGTGGCGCTTGTTCGTCGATTGGTGTTCGTTATTTGTTAGATAAGAAATTGATTTCAGGTGATGGAGCAATCTATGTTTATCCCGGCGTGAACGTGACGATTGGACATCGCGGTCTCTTAAGATTAGCCATTGATGTTATAGGTGAGAATGTGCATACGGGAAGTATCGAATGGAATACCAAAAAGAAAGGAGCAAATGCAGTTCGTACATACTAATAAAATTTTTCCAATGAAATTCTTCACGTTCATTAATAGGTCACGGCTTTAGCTCGCATCCTTGTAGCATTAGAAGATTATCCGTGGGAGAACGACAAAAATCCATCATTTCCTAATTTAACATTAACTGTAACACCGGGCACGATCGTGAATGGAGGTGGTTTTGTATCTGTTGTTCCATCACATGCTTCAGCTATGATTGATATTCGTCTGATGCCATCAACATCTGTTGATCATGTTTTACAGAAAATTGAAGACATCGTTACAAGTATAGTAAACGAACGAAATGAATTTTATCGTAGAATGGCGCTCGATTCATCGCCATCCATTCGATTATCAGCATCGATTACCATAAAGAACCAACTGCCGGCTGCTACGATTGATTCAAATCATCCACTCGTTTATTCATGTGTCCAAGCTGTTGAAAAAATACTACATGTAACTCCAACAACAGATGGATGCGGTCCAGCTAATGAAGGATATATGTTAATCGAGAGTGGTATTCCGACCATTTGCGGATTCGGACCCATTGGTGGTAATGTTCATGGAGTTGACGAATGGGTATCGGTACCATCGTTAGCTCAGACAGTCGACGTTTACTTTGACATTGTTTCTAGCTATTGTCATCTATTTCAGTAATAGAATGAAACCGTTACTTTCTTCACGTTCATAAAAATATTCCGGTGAGAGCTTCATAACTAACTGAATGAGCGATAGGGATCAATAATGATTCAGTACTCTGGATAGGATTTATGGTCTTGAAATTTATTAGAGTGAACGAAAAAAAATATTTCAATATTAGATTAAACATTCAGCGACTGGTCATTTGATTGAGCTTTGTTTTCGATTGCCTGCTCACATTTCACTGTGTCACAATGATTGATTATGTTGAGTCAAATGTCGTGCATTATTTCGTATACAACAATAAAGTAATCACATTCCTATAACATATTCAAGAATAAACATGAGTATAACAAGTTGTGTTCCACTTGAAACTCCAAATTTCCAAGCAAAAGCATAAGAAATTTCTGGAATCAACCAAATATCACCGATGAAAAACCAGATAATACTGAAAACAGTCAATAGATGACTTAAAATGACACAATACTGAATGATGGTGAACTGAACAAAGATCAATGTTATTTAATGAAATATAGGGAAATTACGACCTATCGGAAAACACTTATGCATAGATGAAGTGATACAATAACAAGAGCGAATGCTGCTTGAAGAATTAAAACGGTACACGACATATAATATCGATAATCATATGTACGATACATACAAGCAATTATTAAACAAATGAGAGAAACAATGAATAATTGAAAATAATATGACAGTAACAAATGTTTGGCGAGCCGTAATTTTGATGGATAAGCTTTGTTTATATCTTTAGTCAAACTGATTAAGGGACGAGGAAATATGAGATCATATTGTTTTGTTGACTTATCATCAGGTGTTTGATCGTTAATTAATAAAACTCCACTTTCTTCTTGAGTCATTTGTTCCGAATGTTTATTTGTATCCTGAAGATGAACGACAGCGAATGACTTTTTTTTTCTTTTTACGACGTAAAAGTTCACAGAGAGATGATCTCATTACTGCCGTCTATACCAATCCGAAATAGATGTGATGATTCCAGAAGACAACTACGGAAAATTAGAGGACAAAATTGACAGTTCTATATGGAGGTAGAATATGAGCACTGTTGGTTATACTTCAAACGTTCCATGTAATGATAGTGACGGTGCCATATGAGAACATTGACAGATTTTTGTTTATACATTGTAGTCTTGCAATTTAATTCTTCGACAGTTCAAATGGATTGAAGGTTTGATGAAGCAACAGGGTTTTGAGGTGCATATTATTTCTTTAGTTTTTTTCCCACCCATATCAGTGTTGTAGATGTCGACTGATGATGAGAATTTCTCCAGAACAGTCAGCTAAAGGACGCTTGGATTGGATCCAATCCGATAGAAGGAATTTGTTTAATTTACAACGAGGCATTGCGGCCCGTAGTTTTGATGATGTTTTAAATTTCATCTCTGAATCGACCCTTTGGTTAAACGTTCATAAGCAGATTTCATTCGAAAAAGAGAAATCAATGAATTTTTAGAATATACTGATGACTTGACGACAAACTATTTTAATCCTCAAAAATCGTTTATTCAATGCGACAAGCTGATCACGCGCACACGCATACCATTGTCTATGGAATTTATCTGATGAAAAGCTCATTTATTTTATAAAGATTTGTACAAGTTTTCAGTTGAAATAAAGTAGGATTTCAATGAATATAATTCATTGAATCGAAAAGTTCTCTCCTCTTCCTTCGACACTTTCCCACAAGCAAGTGGTTTTCCCATGGAAACTAACAGGAACAATATATGGACAAGCTGCTCGTTCAGCACTAATCAGGAATACACATATTCGACTGTTCGATTGCTTTGGATCTGGTTCAAGTTGTTGACTCAATGTCAATGAATATAACATATTAAAATCATCTTGTTCAGTAATAACTAAACCATAATCGAACGATGCACTTTCAGAGACAGTAAATGGATTTTCAATACGAGAATGATTCGCAGTACCATCAATAAAATACACACCTTGTTCATTATCAGTCAAAACATGTAATGAGCCGTACCATGAACCATTGAAACTGGTGATTGTATGCCATGTATGAACTTCGGACACTTGCTCACTGTGGTATGCTAGTAAAATACCATTGCTCATGATAATTGACAGTGCACATATGATGGAACTCATTCGTATGAATGACATCATGAACTTGTAGAGTGAAATTCAAATAATAGGTTTGAAAATAAATGATTTATTGTGAGAAAAATGGAAGTTAGATGTTAATAGGTATAAACAATAATAAAGAAAAATACATAACAACCAATGTTACGAATGGTCGAATAGATGTCTCTTTATATACATTTTCAATTGACCTATATAAATTCATGTTTTAGCTTTGAAGAATAGATTTCTGTCTGCAGACTTTCGAACTACAAGTACATAAAGCATGATATTTCTAATTCGAAGTTGTACAGCGCTTGTATTTTTTCTCAAATCGTCGTTGTTAAAATCAGCTGTACCGTATTGCGTAAGTAAAAGAAGATTCTTCTTCCGAAATCAATATTTGTTTTTGAAAACATTGATGTGCATCTCCAAGAAATACACACATTCGGTAAGGAAAACTTTTCGTAAAAATAATATCAAAACTACCATCACCGTTAAAACAAGAGCAGGAAACAAACAAAACATAACATTGCGGAATAACATGATACCAGAAGTAACTCACCTGAGACCTATGCTGTCGTTCGAAAATTCGATGCGCCATAGATACTTGTTTTGAGGAGATACAATGTTTCAATCGATTGTTTACTCACGAATTGAATAAACCGGATAAAGTGCAGTAGTGTTCGGAACTCTTATTATTGAACATGGACGTATAAGAGCGTCGGTATATTTTGAGTACAGTTGTGTGAAGACGGCCGCAATATTGTCTAAAACGATTGTTGAAGGTGACAAACGTCTAACTTATGGATTAGGAGATATGGTGATTGAAGTTCTATTTAAAACATATTTTGATTTAAGTTCTACTCAATAACTTCATACGACTTTACAACATTTACTTTGTGGAACACTGGATGTAAATCGGGTATTAGAGATGTTTCTAGTTTTTTTTTCATCAGTAGAATTGTTTGATAAGCCATTGACAGGCGTCGTCCAAAGCTTTATTACTAATCGTTGCAATACGAACAGCTTCGAGAAAACTATGCGTTGTTCCGTGGTAAATGTGTTCTTCGACGTTAACATTGGCCTTTCGTAATGCTTCGGCCATAGATCGATTTTCATCGAAGAGAACATCGCATTCAGTAATGGTTAGAAAACTTGGTGGAAGACCATGAAGGTCAGCATGGAGAGGACATACGTATGGATCATCATAATCCGCTTCATTTTGAATGTAATTATTGAAATAGAACTGCATTTCTTCAGCGTTTAATCGATATTTTGGATCATTGTAACGTACGTATGAATCGGATGTAGGTCTTACACGATCATACACACCATAATTAAGCAACTGAGCAACAAGAACTGGCTCGTTCAGTGCTCTTAGTCGTAGATTTGTTGCAACGCTAAGATTGGCACCAGCAGAATCACCACCAATTGCCATACGATTCACATCGATACTTAAATCTGTTGCATTCTGTTCTCTTAACCATTGAATGACTGATACAATTTCATAGATTGCTCGGGGATACTTTACTTCTGGGGATAGACTGTAATCCACACCGATGACAACGACGTTTGCTCGACTTGCATACTCTCTCATCAATCGATCGTGTGTGTCAAGGCTGAATATAATGTAACCACCTCCATGAATGTAGATGAGTGTTGGACATGCTTGATCATGATTTGGATAATAAAGGCGAATACGAGTTGAATAAGTTCCTACATGTTTCTCTTCGATTCGCTGCATTACGGGTCCGCCTTCAGTCCATGGTGCCCGAACGAGTGCAGTCACTCGACGTAGATCATCAATCGATGTGGAATCGAAAGGAGAAAGACTCGTATAGGTTTCTTGCATTATATTTTGCCATTGTTGTATATCCAAATCTATGTCTTTACCGTCTGCCATACTCAATACACACAAATGCCTAATATGAATAAATTCATGTTTTTGTTTCTTATTCTTATCAAAGGTCAGATTGATAACACATGAAACTGATTCGCTAAGACGACTGAGTACGAATAGTATGAATACCGATGAAAAGCGTTATTTAAATTCTGCGGATGTTGTGAAAAAACACTTTTACACTGTAAGTCGCTCTTGTAAATTATTAATATCTCCAATTCTAGATTCGATTTATTTGTGAACCAAAAGCAAAAGTGAAACTCGCTTTTCTTGTACCTTGACGTGATTGCGAATGGAATGTGACATTAACAATGTTGGTTGATTCAAACAGATATAATGTATCATTGTATGATTTAGCTGACGTCAGTCATATCGCTGTTTGAAGAAACAGTATATTCACTGTCTGTTAAGTCCATATTGATTCATTCTCTTGTTTGCCGGTGTCACATCTATCAATACGAAATCTTGACAAAAGAATGTGTTAAAATATGTTTATCTACTTTCTGTACATTGTCATAAATTCACAAAAGAACAATAAATACGACAACTTTATAAAACTATCTATCCAATAAATTGATCAAATTATCGCCTTTTCTTCTCATTCAAGCGTTGTTCAATCAAAATCGTTTAGTCACCAGCAGAGGCTAGTGATACCAACGATGATTTTTTCCATGCTACAAGCACTTATCATATTTATTACGTCTAAGAATATAGGTAATTGTTGGGGAAATGGCTACCATCGACGTGTCTCAGCCATAGATAGTATCGGGCGAAACTATCGTTCAACATTTAAAAATGAATGAGATGTTCAAAATATTGCGAAAAGCAAGTATTGAGTTGGAAACATCAGATGCAAAGTAATTCAAGAGCTTCGCGAAAAGTTTTCCTTCGGTGATGATTTGTGCAATGAACAATGTATATTGCTTTTCTTGTTAAGATTTCAACGGTTGAGATTACGATGATCTACTTTGGTACTTCTCTTTAGAATGCGCTGCTTCATGTTCCGTTACCAATAGTAGTCGATCACTTTGGTTGATCACATTCGGTGCTGGTAGAGATCCATATTCTCAACAAACTCCCTCTCATTTCAATTTCACCACCACTTACCGACAGCAATTCGAATCCCGTCCCGCGCCAGCACAGTTTGCACTGATGAATAAAGTACCAAACTACGACAGTTGGCACGCTAAAGCAGAAGATTACACACCAGATGATACTGACGGATATATGATGCTGGTCGATTTGGCTACCTATGATGGTAGTGTGATATTCAACACTACTGTTCATGGTCTTTGCATCGATTCACAGTATGAATTTTCAGCATACTTCGCAAATATTGTGCAGGACAGATTTAATGCATCAAAGCCAAATATTATTCTACGAGCTCGTGCAGCGACACATGGAAATGAAATCATCAATCAATCATGGACAGATGACTTGCCTGAACTCCCTAAGCTGACTTGGTCAAAGCATCAACTTTTGTTTACGGCATCAACGAGTTCAGTAGTTTTACTGATGATTGCGAAAGGCAATGATGGTATAGGGAGAGACTTAGTAATTGATGATATAGAACTACGTGTGTGCTCAAGTGTTTCATCAGGATATTACCCATCAGGTTAGTGGTTTCGTTTGCTTTCATATCTTCCAAAATCTAAAATAGAGAGTAGGAAAAACCATTGAGATGGAAATTCATTAAAATGTACATACACTATTGTGGATCATCTATAGCTATTGATCTGAATACTTCACGATATATGTATAAATGTGAAACACGATAGCATGAGAAATCTCACTGTCGAAGAGATAGACAAGACTATAAGTGTCACAAGATAGTCTTGCTTCTGTCTATTCCTGGTGTCGCCATCCGTTATTTAAAGGATCTCAGAAAAAACTTGTGTAGCTATTGGATAAGTACGATGTTTCCATTTATTTTTTAGAAACAACCGCCGTTCCTAAGTCATCTGGTAAGTATGCCTTTCCGTTCTATTTCTCACGAGAAGTGTATTGCTTTGCTTTCGAAAAGAGATAACTTCATTGGTACCGTCGAGCTGGACAATATCACAATTTGCATCTACCTCAGGTTAGCCGTCCGCTAATTCATTCCAGATAATTGAATCTATTTCTTTTCTCAAGTCGAAAAAGGTTCCAAAACTGTATTCATCCCGAAGAGATGCCCTAATGCATCATACATTGGCAAGCACTGCAATATTTCAAATGATCTTTGTGAGATGATGAAACCATGTAAAAATAACACTAATTGCAAGAATACTGGCGCGACTGACAAAGGATATGTTTGCATATGTCCGCCCGGTTCTACTGGGGTTCATTGCGAAGAGAACCTACGACCCTGTGCGTCGTATATTTGTCTGAACAACGGTAACTACTTTATCTTTATCAATCTTATTATTCATTTTTTTGTTAATAGGTAAATGTGACGAAAAATCAGTACGATGTCGATGTCCAAATGGTTGGGAAGGTGATCATTGTGAATCTATGATTAACCATTGTGAAATGAACAAAACAACTTGTTCGAATAATGGTGTTTGCCGGCCATTGGTGGGGAACTACACATGTGAATGCTTTGGCACTGGTTATTCTGGTCGTCATTGTGAAATAGTAGCAGTGAAAATTCGCGTCTTCAAAATTCTCTTCAAATCAGTTGCTTTTGTTGCGATTCTTATCATTGTAAGCTTCATCCTGTTTATCGTAATAATGGATATATTGAAGTATTGTTTTGGGATTGATGTCACTCGTGAGGAGTTGGAGCGATATCGACGAGAAAAACGAGCACGAAAACGAAGACGCCCTGTGATTCAACGATTTGTTTATGTGGACAAACCACAACAATCTTCGGATACATCAGTCTAATACGCGAAAATGAGAAACTCACACCTCGCGCTTTTTGCTATCAGCTTTGCTTTAATCATATGCAATTCTTTGTTCAATATATCTTCTATTTACGCTTTAATAATAAACTATGAACAAGATTATATATTCGTGTCTCAAAAACTTCTAGAGTAAAAACGCGTTACCACCTGGATGATTTTTGTCCACGAGCAATTATCGCTATCATGAGATATGTGACAAGGTTCGTTAGGATTCTTGCTGACCGTATCTAGTAAAACTTTATGTGCCACTTGATTGTATCTTTCTCGCTACTTATTCGTAAAGTTAGCTTTGTCGAATATGGAAGCTATCCAACGCCCTTGTGTGAGTTGTTGCACTCAATTCTACATGATTGTTAACATCTAGAGTGCGACTAGAAAACTGTGACGCCATAATAGATCGATGGTCAGATATTTCTAACATTTTCAGAGAAAAATCAGTCGATAAGAGAGTAAGCTTCACCTAGTATTGCACATAGAACTTCTGGTAAGCAGCTATATCAATGATTTTGATTGGCGTACAATAAGCAGCAGGTATACTAGTAAAGGAGAAGCCTGTTCCAATAATTTGATAACACTTGGACTTATCACAATCCGGCCGATGATATCGTAATCGTGCGATCGCTGGAGTGTAGCTGCACCGAAAAGACGTTGAATGACAAGAATATATCTTATATTTGTGGATAATACAAAGTAATGGAAGATGTCGCCTGATGCCATAACGAAGACTCGATTAACGTCAAGTAGTAAAGAGTAAATCATCTACGAACTAAGTGTCCTAATTAATGTAAACAAGAAGCCTTAACGTTTGGACATATTCAATCGTTATAATGTTTGCGTTCACTGTGTGCGAGACAAGAAAACATTGGTTATCAATGTTAGTGGTTATGTGCAAAAACGAAGATAAAACGAGAACAGATAAGAAACGCAGTTAGAAGCGAGAGCATTTTTGTAAAATGACAACGGATTCGACATCTCGCGATGATCAAACACGTGTGCCATTTTTAGAAAGCTTAATCGACGAGAAACTAAATCAACCGACATCATTTCATATGCCAGGTCATAAAGGAACTAAAGCACCACATCCACTATTGCAAGAGTTTTTCGGTGGTAACCTACATCCAGCAGACCTTGTAGAAATCAATCACAATGTTGATTATCTGCATTCGCCAAAAGGAGCATTGCTGAAAGCTCAACAGCTCGGTGCTGCTGCTTATGGTGCTGATCATACTTTCTATCTCATTAACGGTTCGACTGTCGGCAATATGGCTGCCATAATGAGCACTGTTGGTCCTCAACAAAAGATCATCATGTCACGTGCATCCCATCGGTCTGTATACGGTGCTGTCGTACTTTCGGGTGCTATACCCGTCTATATTGAGCCAGAATACCATCCTGATATTGAATTCCCATTAGCACTAAATGTGAATAAGATCAAAGAACTTCTTCAGCAACATTCGGACGTCGCCGCCATTCATATAACTTCACCAAATTATTATGGCGTTATGTCAGATACAGCATCGATTTGTCATCTGGCTCACGCACATGGTGTAGCTGTCCTTGTTGATGAAGCTCACGGTTCCCATCTTTGTTTTCATGACGATCTACCTCGATCGGCGGTTGCTTTAAAAGCAGATATCATCGTTCAGAGTACACACAAAACGCAAGGCTCTCTTACACAGTCAGCTATGTTACACGTCAATGACAATGGTTTTGTTAATCGAGCGCGTACAGCACAGGTGCTGTCACTTTTGCAAAGTTCATCGCCCAGCTCGATTCTGTTAGCATCCTTGGATGCAACACGTATGCAAATGGCTACCGAAGGTCAGCAACGTCTATCAACAGTTATTGTTCTTTCACAAAATGCACGCAACACGATTCAACGAATGGATGGTTTGTGGTGTTATGGTGATGAATTAATCGGTGTTAATCATGTTTTTACGTATGATCCAACTAAACTGATTATTCGTGTGTCTGATTTAGGTCTCAGTGGATTTAAAGTGAGTTCTCTTCTTCGAAATCAGTACAATATCGAAGTAGAATTTGCCGATCTTAAACACATCATCTGTTCAATTACCGTAGCTGATACTGAATTAACAGTGAACAAACTGCTCGATGCTTTACATAATCTTGCAAGCACAAACTCTCCCACTGCTAATTCAAATGAGATGTCGATTAGACCGCCGAACGGATTACCACAATCAGCAATTAACTTACGTGATGCGTATTTTGCAACAAAAACACATACTATTCCGTTGTGTGATGCTATAGGATGTGTCTTAGCCGAAAATGTTATACCCTACCCACCAGGTATTCCTCTCTTAGTACCCGGTGAAATCATGGAACAACGTCATTTAGATTATATACATCATTTGATTGAAAAAGGAAGTTCCATCGTCGGCTTGGAGGATTTATCATTGAAAACTATACGTATTGTTGATGTCTAATTATTTTTGTTATGTTTTCTTTCATCAATAAAATACGCAAGACAATCGAAGTCACATATTTCTACATATTCGTATTAGTATTATAAATCATATGTCAAATCCATTCATCAACCTTGGATGGCTACAAAATAATAGAAAAGAAACGTTTAAGAATGAATTTATTACAACACAACAGATAAATATAATTCTTAGTGAACCATTGTAGGATATTTCTCGCGAACTGTTAATGTTAAAGGACCAACTCGTCTTACATTTCGCTGAAGATGAAAAATCTGAAGTAGTTTACTACGTAAGTCGGATAATGATAGTGCACAAACGAAAGGAAATAACGGAAAAATAAAATATGTGATGAACGTCGTGTAACTAAGAACGTCATTGAAAATGTCAGATGTGACATTGAATAGATTGCAAATACTGACAACTAAGAACGGAAAATATAGAATAATGTAAAGAAATGAAATCGATAGCATTTGAATGATCATTTTCCGATATTTTCGCCATTGAAAACGTTGATTCATACTTTTCTTCTGCCAAACAACACGAACGATCAATAGAATATTGAAGACAACAATGACGGGAAAAGGCAAAAATTGATGAACTACTAGTTCATACATTGAAAATGCGTAATTATCAAATATACACACTTTTGATATGCAAATTGACAGCCATGGGGAAAACTCATTCATGCAAGGTGGAATAAAATAAACAACAATGTAGAAGCCAAAACAATAACATAGGAGAAACATGATTGGACAATAGTGAAGAAAAAACCGTTTTCTTTTCGTTGATACCCATCGATCGTGAAAAACAAGAATATGCCTTTCAATTGTTGCCCAAGCTAACAGGACCGTGTAGGTTACATAGAGCGCCCAATCGTTGAAGCCCCAAACAGCACAAAATGCGTTCGAGCGGTACCAGATCGGTCCACGTTGGTAATAGACCATCATCCAAATATAATTTGTCAGTTCCGAAAATAGACCGAGACAAAGAAGTACAACAACAACATGATTATAGAGACCTTGCCGCAGAGTTCGATTGAACAGCAGATGATACAGAACGAAAAAAGCACATAGAACAGATGGAATAATAAATACCAGAAACAACCAAAAACGACCGGTTTTAGAGATCATCTTTTCAGTAAAGCAGAGAAGATTGTCGTAAAGAGATAAGAAAAACTGTATGCTATGTTTTTCATTCTTCTCATCTTCGGTATATTCAACGGGGTGCTCTCCAATTAAATTACCTGATAATTATCTTTTTCTTTTTCTTTTATCATAATGATTGCAAGGAGAAAGCGTCAGAAATCTTTTTTTGAAGAAACATCAAAATTTTAATTATGAATGCATCTAATTATACCCAAGACTGATTTCGCACGTTATGAGTTCATATTACATTGTGTTTTCAGTACCTAAATATACGTGTACTTTTGTATTTTGCCTAAGGTGAATATTTCAAAAGCTGTAATCAACCATTATCCCTCATCATATTCGATTCTAGTCTTAGAATTGGGCTAGATAACTATCAATTATCTAAACAACATCCTCTTTATTCTACACGATATTATTTAGTGCCATTTGCGAGGGAAAAGGTGATGATGTGGTGTACGTGAAAAGTTCATTCCGTAAGCAGAAAACAAAGTTCGTAAGCGAGCAAATCAACGCTTATAATCTACTCCATAAACTCATTTTGCTCTAGAATGTGAATGTGTCCTATTTATTATTTGATGCAAAGCATATTTATAATACTCTATGATGCTATATAGCGTTTTTCGTACACGTAAAGATGAATGTGATAACCATTCAATTTATCTTAGAAATACGTCTGCAGAGTATTCCATACTAGTCGGCAACTGAAAGCAGATTAGACCGGCAGTCGTATAAGAGCCTAGAATTGTGATAGCTTGTCGATAATAAATATGTGCGTATCGATAACATTCAGTCTTGTTATGAGCTTTTGCTGTAGCAGAATAATATTCAGTTAGCTTGCTATGATCTAAAACTGGTGAATTATGTAAGAGGGTCATGCAGTGCAGTGTTACTATGCGACAATGAAGTTAATCAAACCTCAGGAGAAGAACTTCATCGGTATTTTGCTCGAGCCTTTTAAAAATTGCTTGTCTGTGAACATAACTGAACAGTCGTGGCGATGGGAGTATTTTTTGCAATGTTTTTCTTTAATTTTACTTTTTAACTAATGTATTTATCGATGGTCCGTATGTTTTTATCACTACTACGTGTATGACTGAAAGAAAGAGAGCGAACGATGAAAGTGGCAATTATCCTGATTAGTTATAAATGCTGAAGATCTACAGCTACGTAGAGAAAATTATCGACATAGCATATTATTCGTTATACAAAATTGAAAGCGAAAACGCCCCTAGGTCACATATGTAAATCAAATGATGACGGTGTATTATTCATCTATGATTACGTCATTTGTGTATGATCATTCTTATTTCCGTTATAGTTAATTATATAAATTAGTGAGCTGATGACTCAGTTTATTTCCTTGTTTATCTCGGTAAAAGCCATCAAAATAGTGTATATTAAGCACAGCTCCCTTTGCTATTCTTACTGTTCACTTACATTAGCAAATATATTAGACGCGAAACGACACCATGTGGACACCATATTACTTCGAAAGACGACGCTATTACCATGCTCAAAGAGATGGAGCTCATACTCAAGAAGAATCTTTTTCCTTTCCAAACCAACGCTTAGCACCGTCTGTCGATCTACGTATGTGGATGACACCCATCACAAATCAGAATAATACAAGAACTTGGTACTAATCTATGCTTGAATAGAGTCTGATAATTTCGATTCTTTGTTCTTTCTTTAGTTGTGCAAATGCATTTGCAGCTATTTGCGAGTATTTAATTCGACGTACGAATAATCGTCCGTTTACACAGACCTCGATCATTTTATCCCATTTATTTATCTACTTCAATGGACGGATGAAAGAACAGCATACACGTCATGTACGTGATTTAGGCGTATTTCAACGAAGTGTTGCTCTAGGTATCAGAGAGTACGGAGCATGTGAGGAAGAATTTTGGTCTAGTCGTTGGCACTCACTACGTGAACAACCACATCGTACAGCCTATCAACAAGCGAGAAAATACACAGCTGTTTTACTTCGTGTTCCAATTACGATTGAAGCGATTGAAACTTGTTTACACAATCAAATACCAGTTCCAATTGATATTATAATGGATGATGAGACCGTGCAAATCATTACAACTAACAACGGTATCTTAGATGTACGCCGACTGAATGATAATACTATTGACGCAAGAAATCTGCACACTGTTCTGATTGTTGGTTATGATCGAAGAAAGCAATATTTCATCATGCGAAACTCCTGGGGAACAAACTGGGTACGAAAAAAATCTAGTTTTCTTCGTGCAATATGTTTGATGATCAATAACTACTTTTTTTAAGGGATCTGATGGCTATTTTTATGTTCCATACAGCTTTCTGTCTCGTCGTGAGCGTATCAATTGTACTGATAGCCTATGGACCATAAGACGAATCGAGCCACGCAAACATCGGCTGCCGAATATATCTAGATTGGTTCTACAGTGATCTATTCATTGACTGACAAAATCTAGACTCATCTTTTGTTATTTTTTTAATGTATTGTGATTGATGCACAAAATTGTAACATTATTTTCAGTTCACGTTCATTGTCGAGGAACGGTAACTGAAGCAAAAGAAATTTTCAACGAGCGCTATTTCCTTTACCTGTATATGAAAAGAAAAAGAAAGTCAACGAACGGGTGTAATTTTTCATTAGCAGTGAATGTATGGTTATTATTATTGTTTATGGCATATAGAAACACAACATGATGTCATTTCCTCAAACGTAAACATTTCAAACACATGTACCGAACTGTAGTTGTCGTTTTCCAAAATCACATTGACATGATTCAATACCTGTATCGCCATTGCATTTGCAATTATTTCCCCTTCACCAGTCGGAATTCGTTCCGAAGTAATTTTTCCATTTTCCTTCATAGAGACGTAAAAATATACGCTTGCAGTGCATTTCTGTTCACCATTCTGCTTCAAACGTTTCAGAAATGATGGATATTCCTTATCTGACATATCAGCACTACGATGACTATTACGACGAAAAGCCCAATGAGGTTAACCTTCCAATACAGCTATACTTTGTTCCAATGCAAAGACTAGCATCCTCTGTTGATTTGCGCATGTGGTTGACACCTATCAAACATCAAGCCGATGGAAACACCTGGTTATTATAACCATTAATTGATTCTCTTGACAATTCTTTCTGTTTGTTTAGCTGTGCTAATGCGTTTGCAACTATTTGTGAATATATGATCAGACGTATGACCAATCGGCCGTATACCATGAGTTCGACTAATCTATCTCGCTTGTTTATTTACTATAACGGACAGAGGCAATTTCAACATGGATACCATATGAAAGATATTGGTGTTGATCAACGAAGCGTTGCTCTAGGTATAAGGAAATATGGTATATGTGAAGAAGAATATTGGCCGTATGACTTAAGTCTATTGAATATCAAGCCATCGTCTACAGCATATCATCGAGCTAAAAAACATGCGGTTACTCTTCTATGCGTGCCGATTACGATTGAAGCAATTGAAACATGTCTTCATCATCAGATACTCGTACCGATTGATATTATCATGGATGAGGAAACAGATCGAATAATCGAAAGTAATTATGGTTATTTGAATATGCAAGAGCTCAGTAGTAATAAATACGCGGATAAAAATAAGTTACATACAATGGTTATTGTCGGTTATGATCGCACATATCGACATTTTATCGTGCAAAACTCATATGGAAAACATTGGGTAAGGAAGAAACATCTTATTTCTCACATTTCTTGTCTCGACATAATCGATTCTTTTCAGGGTTATCACGGATATTTCTATTTACCGTACGATTACATTTCTAGTGGCCGTCGTATAAATTATAACGATCAAATATGGACTGTGATGAATATGGAACGACTTCATTCATCTAAATTACCTCCTGTGCATCAGCTAATCCTTCCTCGCCACGGATATAAAGAAGCATTGTTATGGACTGATTATACCTTCGACACTTACACTTTTTTTCAATGAAAATGAAAATCTATCGTTTGAATTCTAGAACAATTGATGCACATATTTTATACAGCTTAAACATGAACTTTGTTGAATATTTTCCCGTTCCTTTGCTAATGTCAGTCTTTAATGGCGTACTAAACTAGTTAAAATGTACATAAAAACAAAACAAAAATACGATCTTTATTGTTTCTTTTCTGTTTCGAAGAGCATTCTAGCTACGACATACGACTTTCAATGAAAGGGATACGTGTCGCAGTGCTATGAAATGACGTTGGTATATGCGTATAACGACGATGTGTTTGTTAGAGTTAATGTCGATTGGACCGACTTTATCTTATCAATGAAAGATAGTAAATTCGTTGTTCGCGGTGAATGCAAAAGATCCTCCAATTGCCGGGAAATCTATGATAGAAATGAATGGCGGGAGAGTTCAATAAAGACGCACTTTTGGAAGCTGATACACAATGTTATTTCTCTCATGACTACTGATTTTCCAGATCAAATTACATCATTGAGACACTTCTGTATACCAACTTTATAGCAAATTTTACCACACGGTTTCTGGTCATATGCGCAGATGATTTTCCCATAACATTGCTGAACACCAGGTGTATAACATCTACCGTTGCATAATTCTTGATGATAACTGCAAATCACCTGCTTGATGCACTTTTGTACTCCTGGTACGTAGCAAACATTGCCACAAAATTGTCGACCGATGGCACATGTACTTGCAGCTGACGTGCTGGACAGATTGACGACTAATAATACAAGGATGAAAGCACCTAACATCGTATTCGTAAAATATGAAATTATCGCACAGGTATTGCTTTTTGTTGATGTCACCTTCGCTCAGACAAAACGAAATGCTTTCTCCATTCTACGCTCGGGAAAAATAGTATCATTCAATAATTTATTTTCCTTTCCTCGATAAATTAATGTGACAGTTTCTTCCTACTTAATTATATTATATCGCAATTTCCCAGTCTATGTAATTACCTTTTCATTTGTCTCAGACAAAACGAAATTTGTGCACAGTATTTTTAGAATGCACGTGTTTTCCATGCTATTCTATAGACTGTATGAAAAAAAAAACCGAAAAGAATAGTAAAATGTATAATATTCTTCTTATTATGCAATCATTCGTGGAAGATATTCATCCGAGCGATCTTCGCACGAACCTAATCGCTGTTGGGAGCGTTGCGAAATTTTGACACTTACTTCATTTTCCTTTCACATTTGATGAATGGCGCGTCTTCGTAGTAATGCAAATTTGATTTATGCGAATACGTCAAAATATACACCGACAATAAAAACAGTATAGTGACTCGATATCTTTCTGGGCAACGGAAATTTTCGAATATATTGGATATACATATGCTCAATGAACACATCATACTGCACATAGTTCGATCAATACTTGTAAATTGTGTATAACAATAGAAGCGGATCACTTCAAGTGTTTCGATAACAACTAGAATGAAAATAATTATTTGCAGTCTCACCTCGCACAAGGAAACATACAAAACCAAAACTTTTGCGCTCTATCAGGTGCTGTGCCCATAAACTACAGCAACCGATTAAATGAAACCTATATCATATATCCAGGTATCATTTACCGGCCAAATTGCCTCATGCGTTGTTCCTATGATCCTATCGTTTTTAGTCTATACATTGTTTGAAATTAGCTTGTATGCTAATTTTTATATTACAGTATACACAGGACGCAGTTTAACGTATATACTAAAACTACTATCAGGCTTAGTCATCCTTCTTGAAACAAACATATTGTTTTTTTCTAAATTTTATTTCATGACAAGAAAAAACACATTTTATTCTATACAATTTACATTCTAACTGATATAGTGTTGGCGAATGGATGCAGGAACACCAGTGTATGGTTGGAAGTGAAGTGCATCTAGTGGAGTGAAGTCGATTTCTCGTTCAACACCAACATGTCCATTCCATGGATTGACATACATTCCACTATCTTGTGTATAGATGCCATAGCCATAGTTACCAAAGCCAATGGTGTGATAGTCACCATTCCAGTTGTTGCTGACAAGAGTTGTTCGTCCGAGCATGTTGAATAGATGAGTTTATTTGAATGATAAAATATCGAAGAGTGAATGAATGAAGATGAAAAAGAGATGTGTGGTATTTATACAGCAGATCGTTTTACGCATTTGTACTGATTAGATCCTTGATAAAAAGTACGTCGGACATAGCAGACGCACGTTACATTCTCTTCATATGCGTCATCAGTGACGTATTACAGTGATTTTTCGATGTGAACGGATAAGTCGAGAATATTCTGTGTACATGAAACAGTACATTACGTGCGTTTGTTTTTATCGTTCTTCATAGAAAATAAAGAGAATAGGTGAGTGATGACGTAGATGAAGATATGTTTAGATACGTCACTCATCTTGTTCACCAAGGGTACAGTTATGTAGTAATTCACTATGGTTTCTACTCTATAAATACCACACATTTCTTTCTCATCTTCATTCATTCATTCACTCATTCACTCTTCGATATTTTATCATTCAAATAAACTCATCTATTCAACATGCTCGGACGAACAACTCTTGTCAGCAACAACTGGAATGGTGACTATCACACCATTGGCTTTGGTAACTATGGCTATGGCATCTATACACAAGATAGTGGAATATATGTCAATCCATGGAATGGACATGTTGGTGTTGAACGAGAAATCGACTTCACTCCACTAGATGCACTTCACTTTCAACCATACACTGGAGTTCCTGCATCCATTCGCCAGCACTATATCAGTTAGAATGTAGATTGTATATAATGTGTTTTTTCTTGTCATAAAATAAAATCAGAAAAAATAATCCCTGTGTCTTTTTTCCAGCAGCGTCATCACGAATACTGCTTCTAGAGGAACTTCTATTGGATCTCATTTTATTACTACATCAGTAAGATGAATATAAATAATTATCAAAAACGAAAGATATATTGACACTTTTCATTGAACACAATATCTTTGCGAAAAAAACATTTTCCATTATGAAATGACTTGATGAAAGAATGTGAAATGTATGCATATTAAATTTGGTACGTCGTCCTTTCCAACTCTCATACTGCCGTCAGATAACTAGAATTTTTGAAACTATTGTAATGAACGCAGGAGATTCGATCACTCGGCAAGAGTGAACAAAGAAAGTTGCGATTCTGTCAGCAAATTATTTCATCGATATTGTGTGTAACTACCAAAAAGGCGGAGAACAATGCTCTCTAGTACAAGTGAGACGTCACTTGGCGACAACCTTTTCTGCGTGATATCAAAAAGAGATTCTCATCAACGTATGACACTAATCCACAGATTGATCAATGTGTGATCATACTCAATTACTTAATACTTAAAGGAATTCCAATCCAATGAAATGAATAATTTCTGTTCATATGATTTGTCATAATAAGAAATCTTTTTTACTCCGGTAGGCCTTTATTTGATGGAAACAAAAAATACAAATCACTATATACAGTTTACAACATCTGAATCGTTTATCTGCATTCTAACTGATATAGTGCTGGCGAATGGATGCAGGAACTCCAGTGTATGGTTGGAAGTGAAGTGCATCTAGTGGAGTGAAGTCGATTTCTCGTTCAACACCAACATGTCCATTCCATGGATTGACATACATTCCACTATCTTGTGTATAGATGCCATAGCCATAGTTACCAAAGCCAATGGTGTGATAGTCACCATTCCAGNTGGACCGACTTTATCTTATCAATGAAAGATAGTAAATTCGTTGTTCGCGGTGAATGCAAAAGATCCTCCAATTGCCGGGAAATCTATGATAGAAATGAATGGCGGGAGAGTTCAATAAAGACGCACTTTTGGAAGCTGATACACAATGTTATTTCTCTCATGACTACTGATTTTCCAGATGACGTTGATTCGGATATAACATCACTGATGCTAGTGTCGACCACAGCGTTCGAAGGGTCTATTTCACAATCAGAAGCTAATTTCTTCTGTGGTACTCACTCGGGAGAAAACTTACCCGTATTCACCACTAAGTTGTTTGAATGAATCGTAGATTAGGGGAAAGAGTTGCAGGTGTCGATGAAGTAACAATTCCGTTGATTTGAACACATGATAAACATTGCTCAAGTTATTGAAATAGAATCGAAAGTGTTTCAGTTCATCAGGTTGTCGGGAACGCTCTTGTAAAGGAATGATAATCCCGAAAACATAACTGTAGATAAGACAAAAATTCTTATGTGATTCAATAAAAAGCTTCTTAAAACAATCTTGATTGATTAATTCATGAACACTCTTTATCAATCCGTTCATATGGTATCTTCAAATGAATATGGTAAACACACGCAAGAATTTGATGGAACCGATATTACATAGCCAGGATTACAATCACTATTTAATGATCTAAAGGAAGAATTTACTTACGAAACAAAAAGAACATTTCTTACTGATCATAGTTCCTTTCAGTTCAGTCAAAATGATATCATTATCCTTTGCCGTTGTTATTTTCGGTAAGGTTTCGCTAACTGTGCTATGAATAGATGGAGTTGTATTTTCACGAGTACATAAATAAACAACCGCATTATTTCCGTGAAATTTATATCTATTGAGGTATTCTTGAAATACTCGATATCAACGAAAACCGATGTTCAATATTTCCTATTGTCTTCGAAAAGGAAGAAAATGGCGTTTAATAGACATTCCATTCTATCTTACTCAATTTATAGAGTCTTGGAAATTAATAATGAATGTCATTTGACCATCAAGAGAATCAATTACATGAGTTCCACCACCATCACGGGATTTAACATTTTTCACTCGATCGTCTTTAGTTTCAACGATATGACCGGAATGAAATCGTTTGAGCATGTTTATTAGATAACGTACGAAATTTCAACTGGGAAATTGGGTTAGAAGATACGATTTACATATATATATATGTTGGCGTCCAATGTGAGATTCAGGCCAATCTAAGATCCGCCTAGGCGAAAGTGGAATTCCACATTGGACTAGTCCAAAGTCGGATTACTGCTATTTTACAGCGTAAAACTCAATTTACTTCACAAATTGATATGGCCCATAGGTAAGAGTAGGAGTATGAGCGACGTCGAGGTTTTCCTGTCAATTGCCGACTTCAAAATGAAAATTGAGGCCGATTTCCGATTACTACGTGACTTTTACTAAAAAGTTCTAGTTTTTTACTAAAACTTAAATAAAACTTTTTCTACAATTCAGATTTTCATTTTGAAGTCGGCAATCGATAGGAAAACCTCGGCGTCGCTCATACTCTTACTCTTACCTATGGGCCATATCAATTTGTGAAGTAAATTGAGTTTTACGCTGTAAAATAGCAGTAATCCGACTTTGGACTAGTCCAATGTGGAATTCCACTTTCGCCTAGGCGGATCTTAGATTGGCCTGAATCTCACATTGGACGCCAACATATATATATATATATATATATAGTTTCTTTACCAATCAGAATAAAGTCTAACAGTTTCTCTACCGTCAATGTCTACAAAAATTTGAATTTGAATTTAAATCGATTTAACTGTTTTAAATTTATCGCCGTTAGAAACGTTCGAACAAACAATGAAACACGTGACTATTTCTTCGCTTCTCATAATGAAAATAAAATTCTATACCCTTGAATATGACTAAATGTTTTCTTTTAAGCAACGAACCGAATAAGAGTATACAAGAAGGACAATATATAGAAAAACAAAAAAATAATTCATCAATCGCTCTAGTCTTCTTCATCAAATCTACTGACATGATATGTTTAAATTGTGCTTTCGAAGTAAAGTGTCATAATGGAAGTGGCATAAGCACTTCGAAAGTTTGGCTATGATCAACTTAATAGTTGCGTTGGAAAAGTACTTCATTGAATGAAATGGGTCGTATTTGTAACTTTGATAGACATAGTCTCGATTGAGTAGATCATCAGCTATCGCACAAAGAATTTTCTCATTTTCCAATGCAATGTCGTTTTCCTTCTCGTATGAAGAATACCTTCGTGGATTATCATAATAGTAAAGAAATTCAACGGGTTTGTCACCTTTTCGTTCGATTATAGAAGGCACGAGAAATCGTTTAATATGCTTGAGAATGATTTCCGGTGAAGTCTTCAAATCTTCATATCGAACAACTATATGTGATCGTTGAAGTTTTTCATATTCATCACATAGTCGTGCGTAGAGTGATACCATCAATTGGATTCTTTTAGTATACATTTTGTTCGTCGAATTCGAATCATCTCTCTCAAGATGATCAAGTTTGTTCACATGAGTCTTCATAAGCTCAAATTGATGGAAAGATAGAATTGCATCGAAAGGGTTTCGAATTAGAAAGATGAATTGGTCATAGCGGAATCGTTGTGGTTCTAGCAAGATTAATGATCGAAGATTTAGCAGGTGAGTCTTAATTAGAAACACATTCACTCGATCACATTCCGCATGCAGAGTTTTCTCCAAGTACTTGTCACAGTAGATAGATGATGTCGAGTAACCGGTTGATTTTTCAATTAAATTTCTCAGCCAAGTATTTCCTGAGCGAGGAAATGAAATGAGTGCGGTACGCTTTATTTGTGAGTGATACGGGTGTAATCCGACGGTGTCTGCTGATACACATACTGCGTTTGTTTGATTCGTTTTTATATAGTCGATGAGCATTGTTCGTAGTTGAAATTGATCTTTATCATGTACTAGATCGTATGAATGGATTTTTGTCAGCGAAGACGAATCGTTCGACGACCGCCGATGTAAGTATTGCGATTGATTACAGCATGTTTCTACGTGTTGAAGAAAACGATCAATGATAATAAATACCGTACTGAATAAGCAAGCGTAACTAAGAATAAGTTTGCATTTACGAGACAGTGTATACATATTGAAATAAAGATACGTATCCAACTTGACAAAAAAAACAAATCAACTCAGAAGAAATGCACCCATAAAAGTCGTATGATTTCTTTTCTAGTTTGATTTACTCCCGTCTGACAGTGTGCCGAGTACGAAATAGAATTCAACAACAAGTGTACTCAACAAACACGTGTGAATTTATATTTTACTTATTGAAAAAAAAAGCTGCAGATTGCACAAGGTTAAGGAGTAGGCAGAATTGATTATAGAAATTTAGTTAGATACAGTACACAAATCATGATCGCAATCAGAAGGTAAAAGTACGGTTTACCGTTCTCGACATTGTTATTATTTTTGCAAAACAGAATGCTAAACAATTTGATGAACAAGAGTTCAATGGGACATACGATGTCAATCATTTCATTGAAATATAGGCTTGATGAAGAGATTACTGAACTATTCATTGATAAATAATTAAAGAAAACTAATATATATATAAATTTATTCAGCCTATAGAAATGAAGATATACTCTGAATCAAAAGAAGTTCATTAAAATAATATTGGAATGTCCACTACTCAACAAAAGACTTTGAACAATATACCGCTTCCGTTTTTTTCCTTAAATGTCACGCATTCAATAATCAAAATTTATCTGATGTTATAACTGTGTCTAACAGGTACTTTTAGTTTTAATTACAACAAAATACTGTTATCTCATGAAACATACTCTTCTCTTCGTTTCCATTCTAGAAGTATTATAAATTACATACTAAATGAGGTAAATACAAAAGATTTTACTAAGCGAGAAGTTTATTCACTGATGCATCGTTGATATATCATGTCGTAGGTAAAGTAGATTAACTTTCATCCACCTAGGATTTTTTAATACAACTAGAAATTGGTAGACTCCTGTAAAACAGTTCACTCGTTGGAGGATAAATATGAAAGTACGTTCGTGTGGAGCTCAACATATAGAAGTAAGCCTTGTTGCATTTTCTCATTTTTTTACTTCAATTAAGCTGAAGGAAGACACACATTAAGGCCTTGTTACACTGATAAAAAGCCGATCTCAGTGTATTATTTTATATCCGTAATCTTAGAAAAGCGTCCTGTCCTATTAGCGAGAGTTTACTTGAAGTTCTTTCCTAGCATACTTCAAAATATGTCGAAGATCAGACATGTAAAAAACTTTCATATGAATTATTTTTAGATTGTAAAACAACAGAAAAGAAAAACAAACTGCGAGCGTCATTTGCTACTTTTTGCATAAACTATCATGTCAAATCCGCTTATTTCATCACTAACTCTTGTTATATCTCAAATATATGTTTACATGGGTACAATAATAACCATTGCTGGCATCGTTGGCGGAGTCATCAATGTGATTATCTTTCTTAGCCTTCGAATTTATCGTGAAAGTTCAAGTGCATTTTATTTAACTGTTGTTTCGGTTGTTAATGTTGGACAATTATTAACAGGTCTTCTTTCTCGTGTGCTAATCAATGCAGTTGGAGTTGATTGGACGGAAACATCGTTGTTCTATTGTAAATTTCGGAACTATCTATTTCAAGCATGCGCAATTATTTCTCCAATGTGTTTATGTTTGGCTACAATCGACCAGTTTTTGTCAACATCGACATGTCCACAGTGCCAGCGATGGAGTCGCCCAAAAATAGCTTGTGGATTATCAGCACTGATGATTCTAATCTGGTGCATCTACGGTATTCCCTATCTGCTGTATTACAACCTAGTTTTAAAATCAACGGGAAATAAATTCAGCTGTGTAATTACGGACACCATTTTTAACAACTATTATAATGATTTCCATGTGCCGGTTTTGATGTGCGTCATCCCATTGATTATTACGCTCGTATTTGGCTGTCTAGCGTATCGTAATGTTAAACAGCATACTCATCAAGCAGTGCCTCTAGTTCGTCGACGACATGAAAAGCAATTAACGGTCATGGTGCTTGTACAAACAGTTTTTAATTTCTTTGCTACGACGCCGTGTTTTGTTGTACTGACCTTTGCATCACACACAACTCTAACACAAGATCCGCTTATAGCTGTTGAAGTTCGTTTAGCTATTGCGGTCTCAACTTGTTTTTATTATTTGTATTATGCGGTAGGTTTGAATTGTTGCTTCTGGAAAGAACTAATCGTGCTCAAAGCTGTTTTTCTTCTTCTAGATTCCATTCTACATTTACATTTGCGTGTCTGACCGATTCCGTAAACAAGTTCATTATGTTTTCTTTGGCATTTATCGAAATCTATGGCGAAAACTAACTCAAAATGAAGTAGCACCAATGAATGATGTACAAAATATAACGGTTGAACCAAGTACTTTAAATGTAACTTGATACTAGAAACATTCTGCGCACTTCATTGACTTCTATTCTTTTTTAAACCCATTATAGCGTGATGTCCTTTTTTGTTATTAATTAAGCACTATTATATACGGATTTCATGATGTATCATAATATGAAAAATAACACGAACGCTTTCTTCCTTCCGTTACAACCGGCATTGACACAGTCACTTTTGTTCCAGCTGTTAAAAAGTAAACACTAAATTTCATGTCGACTTCCAGTTCAAACAATTACATATCTCAAAGAACACGGTACGCTGTTCTCATGAACTCAATCATATTCGTCAAGTTATAAAATGCAGATAATGAAACAGTTTAATTGAATATGAGTCCTTGCGTTCTCCAATTATTGTTTGCATTATGGGAGTATTTCGTGTGCCTTGCATTTCTGTATTGATGAAGAAATGATTTTCAAAGCACCGCAAAATAGCTTTTAAGAAGAACAACGATGCGTGATTAATCTCGTGATATAAATACGCTCTTTATTAGTTTCAAAAATATCAAAAAGAAAAATATATGCACTGATGGACTAAATCGAAGAAGAAGCGATTTTTTATACTGAGATTTACATAGAAAATATGCACATGTAAACATTCTTAGGTTTCTCATGTATTTATGCATAAGTTACAGTTGCAAACATATGTACTTATCGGTAAAAAAGGTCCTCTCGTCCTTCTGTATCGGTATGATTGCTGTATTTCTTTTCATCTAAGTCAAATAACATATTCATGCGTATTCACCTACTTCTGCTTCCGATATCTCCTATCCTTTTTGCATGTGCAGAATTTGTGCCGTATCCAACTGATTACGATGCGTACAAATTGAAAATAGCTGCCAATAATCTATAAATTGTTGAAGCGCAACATGATTATACACAATTTTTTGTTTTATTCTCACCATACACTGACGATGTCAACGCGAAGAGTGCCCGCTCTTGTCTAATTACATGTCTATGTGATCGCAGTTGGTCGCAACACATTACAATATAACATATTCTTCGTTGGTGAAATACTTGATCTAGATGACAACATTCCAGTCGAAAATTGCACATCCGTAGGCGTTCCTAGTTATACCGGTCCAAATGATACAATTGATTATGATGCTGGCTTGAATATTGCTATGCAGTTGGTGCCGAGTGCTTTTGACCATCAATAACGTTTGGTGTTGATAGCTGATCCTTCTGGGTCAGTTGCATATAGTTTCTCTGATACAGCAGCTACAAACTGTTTGATTGCTCACCCAAACAATTCCCTCCCGGCCTCCAAAACGTTTCTTCTCATTGCGATTGACTATGATGATAGATGTAGTCTCATCGCTGGGTATACTGATAGAAATTCTTGTCGATGTTTATTCGACAAATCAAAAATGGAGCTCTTCGAAAATCTACATCTACATATGATAGTCGATTAACAAACACTTCGACGCCTGTCTCCATCTTCCCTAATATTCAACAACAACTATACAGTTTTATGTCTCCTGTCTTTCTTCATATAATTACCTCCTCAATCCATCTAGTTCTTCTCGACGAACTCGGATATCTGTTTGTTATTCTCTCAGTAGATCGTCGCTACTATTCTTCAACAATTGGAGCTAGCACTGCGGAAATCATGCCCGTATTCTCAACACAAATAACGTGCGCTTCTGGAGCAGATGAAAATGTCACCGGAATTTGTTTATGTCGACTTTGTCTAGCCGTTACAAAAAAACTGTTAGTGCCAATGTGACACTTACAACTTGTGTCAATTGTACAACCAACGGATTCTGTCCACTGGGTTTGTCGAGTGATCTTTTTACCAATAATCAACTGGCGAATATAACTCACGCAGTTGTCCATTCTGAATCACTTGATATAACTGGACTTGATGATATTCTCTTTCTGTCACTGCTATAATCGTTCTTATTAGCATTATAATGATTTCAATCAAATTTCATGTTAAGAATCCATTCAGTGTCAGACATTATAAAACATTCGAGAAGGTTTTCAGACGACCAAATCTGATTCGGGACAGACATATGTAGGGTGGTAGTCTTGCAACAGTTTCAGTTTTAATTCTCATCATTGCTTGCTTTGTGTTCAGTGCTAAATAGTATGCCTCGTATCCAATCGAACCAGCCGGACCTTCAACATATATGTGTGATCAAAGTGTACGCAACGCACAGTTTTCTTCAATATATGCAAGATATGATTGACATATTGAATATTGCGTTTCTCAACACAGCTTCAAACTGTACATCCAAAACGGTGACATTAAACTATCACTTGGATACCTATTCTATCTAGTATTCAATGCGATTTGTCGAATTAGATTATCTCATACAGCACTCTATTACTGTTCCGACCAATCGCTGTACAATTCAACTTGCCGAATATTTGTAGAATTGGTAGCATTTGGATTGGTTTAAATGCGTCAGGAAATATTAAATCGAGTACAGTAGTACTTCGGGACTTGAATTTTTCTCAGAATGGTCATATTCTATAGGACAAAATACATGGATCATTCTGCAATTAACCAAAGTTATCAACACTACCAATTCCCTTGTGGGCAGTGACGATGATATGTTAAGTGACTATCTGACAGCATCACCTGATGGATAAAAAATCTAACGTTAGTCTTCAGCGAACCACCATACTTTATATCGAACGAACAATCGCCTATCGCTCGATTACCTGGAATGATCTTTCATAGTTTTTCTCTTTATACCAACGATTATATTGGAATGCTTGTCCTTCTATTTATTACAATAAAACTATTCATCTTTCCATTAGTGCACATACTAATTGACAAACGTAACAAAGATGCAGATGTATCCGCGAAAGTTTCAACGAACAATCACCTCCAACGACAAAAAATTACCGATCGTATCATTGAGAGATACAGCTACCTTTTTTTTAAAATTAATCTTGCTACTATGTTATAACGAAAATAACAATAAAAACGGTAAATGACGCATTTTTGTTCTAGTACTGGCTCGCAGTGGGCGACTAAACCGTTGAGGAAAGAAATGCTCACATCATTTAAATGATGCGGTAATATCAAAACGAACAGTATGTTTTTTACCAGAGGCCGTTTGGAAAGTGACATTTTTGTATATGTGATTGTTTTCTCTAAAAGTTTCCAAATGGCGTATTGTATAACTGCGATGGTGTTTCACCAACCAATCAGCTACTATGTTGCTCACATTGTCTAAATCGTTCTCTTTAACAATCACAGTTAGAGGAGATTGTAATTTATCTACAACATATTGTTTTCGCTCTCGTCGTACCCATAAATCGAAAAGTCTATGAAAAAGAAGAAAAAAACATAAGTTCCATAGTCTAATAATGTCGATCTATAAATCAACTTACTTAAACGACATATTGTTGAGATTGATCNACAAAACTTAAACTTCAGACTTTGCTCTTTCCAACAAAAATACATTGAACTAGTTTAGAAGTTCGCAGAGTGATTTAATACACTCAGACATTTGTGCAAAGACTTTTGCATCGCATGTTATATGCACTGATGGACTAAATCGAAGAAGAAGCGACTTTTTATGCTGCGATTTACATAGAAAATATGCACGTGTAAACATTCTTAGGTTCCTCATGTAGATATACATAAATTACGATTGCAAAAATATGTGCTTATCGGTATGATTGCTGTATTTCTTTTCGTCTCCGTCAAACCATATATTCATGCGTATTGACCTACTTCTGCTTCCGGTATCTCCTATCCTGTTTGCATGTGCAGAATTCGTACCGTATGCAACTGGTTACGATGTATATGAATTGAAAATAGCTGCTAATAATCTACAATTGATGGAACGCAACATGATTATACACAACTTTTTACTTAATTCTCACCATACACTGACCGTGTCAACGTGAATAGTGTCCGTTCTTGTCTAGATCAATCACAGTACGTCTATGTGATTGCAGTTGGTCGCAACACATTAATACAATTGACTGTGACGCCAGCTTGAATATTGCTATGCAGTTGATACCGAGTGCTTTTGACCATCAATAACGTTTGGCGTTGACAGCTGATCCTTCTGAGTCAGTTGCATATAGTTTCTCTGAGTTTGAGTGCTAATCCAAACAATTCCATCTCGCCTTCCAAAACGTTTCTCCTCATTGCGGTTGACTATGATGATAGACGTAGTCTCATCGCTGGATATACTGATAGAAATTCTTGTCAATGTTTATTCGACAAATCAAAAATGGAGCTCTTCGAAAATTTACGTCTACGTATGATAGTCCATTAACAAACACTTCGACACCTGTCTCCTTCCTCATATAATTACCTCTCCAATCCATTTAGTTCTTCTCGATGAACTCGGATATCTGTTTGTTATTCTCTCAGCAAATTGTCGCTATTATTCTTCAACAATTGGACCAAGCGCTGCAGAAGCCATATCTGCATCCTCAACACCAATACTATGCACTTCTGGAACAGATGAAAATGTCACCGGAATTCGTTCATGTCGACTTTGTTCAGCCGATACCAAACTGTTAGTACCAATATGACACTTACAACTTGTGTCAATTGTACAACCAATGGATTCTGTCCACTGGACTTATCGAGTGATTCTATTACCAATGACCATAACGACGAATATAACTCAAGCAGTTGTCTGTTCTGAATCACTTGATATAACTGGACTTAACGATGTTCTCTTTCTGTCACTGCTATAATGATTCTTATTAGTATTATAATTATTTCAATCAAATTTCATGTTAAGAATCTATTCAGTGTCAAACACTATAAAACATTCGAGAAGGTTTTCAGACGGATAGATCTGATTCGGAAGGGACATATGTAGGATGGTGGCCTTGCAACACTTTCAGTTTTAGTTCTCATCATTGGTTTTGCTGTGTGTTCAGTGCTAAATAGTATGCCTCGTATCCAATCGAAATAGTTTAGCCTTCAGCATATACATGTGATCAAAGTGCATGCAACGTACAGTTTTCTTCAATATACGCAAGATATGATTGACATGTTGGAAGAACAAACAGCTACATTGAATATTGCGTTTCTCAACACAGCTTTAAACTGGGGCACATCCAAAACGGTGATATTAAGTTATCTCTTAGGCGCTCATTTCATCTAGTATTCAATGCAGTTGGTCGAATTATATTGTGTCTCATACAGCACTTTAATACCATTCCGATCAATTACTGTACAATTCACCTTGCCGAATATATACAACTGGTAACGTTCGGATTGGTTTAAATGCACCGGGAAATATTAAATCGAGTACAGTAGTACTTCGAGACTTGAATTTTTCTCAAACATTTTCTCAGAATGGTCGCCTCTAGGACAGAACCCATGGATCATTCTGCAATTAACCAAAGTTATCAACACTACCAATCCACTTGTGGGCAGTGACTTCATATCGAACGAACAATCGCCTATCGCTCAATTACCTGGAATGATCTTTCGTAATTTTTCTCTTTATATCAACGATTATATTGGAATGTTTGTAGTTCTATGTATTATAATAAATCTATTCATCCTTCCATTAGTGCACATGCTAATTGACAAACGTAACAAAGATGCAGATACTATCCGCGAAAGTTTCAACGAACAATCACTTCCAACGACGAAAAATTATCGATCGTATCATTGAGAGATACGGCTACCTTTTTTTTTAAATTAATCTTGCTACTATTTTATAACCAAAATAACAATAAAAATAACAAATGACGCATTCTTGTTCTCGTACTGGCTCGCAGTGGGCGACTAAAGCGTTGAGGGAAGAAATGCTCGCGTCATTTAAATGCTGCAGTAATATCAAAACGAACAGTATGTTTTTTACCAGAGGCCGTTTCGAAAGTGACTCGTTTGTATATGTGATTGTTTTCTCCGAAAGTTTCCAAATGGCGTATTGTATAACTGCGATAGTGTTTCGCCAACCAATCAGCTACTATGTTGCTCACATTGTCTAAATCGTTCTCTTTAACAATCACAGTTAGAGGAGATTGTAATTTATCTACAACATATTGTTTTCGCTCTCGTCGTACCCATAAATCGAAAAGTCTACGAAAAAGAAGAAAAAAACACAAGTTTCTAGTCTAACAATGTCGATCTAAATCAACTTACTTAGACAACATATTGTTGAGATTGATCACCNGCGTTGTAGACTGTGTAAATACGTAATTTAGTTGGAAAAATGTCTACTGACGGCTACGGTCAGAGAAGATTCAGTTCAGTAATCACGAATGACGTCGAATAAGGAAGAGAGTGTAATGACTCGATATGAAGCAATCACATTGATATAAACAGAACTGGATAAAATATGTAATTAGTTTTCGTATGTTTACCCATTTCTTATAATAGACGACAAACGTCTTCAGTTATGATCACGAGTGCATCGTCGTTGATTCAGCAATTCAAAGAGATATCGTTAGTAACTATCAGAAACAATAGTTCGAGTTATATATTTACTATGATTTTTTCTCTCTACTGAAAGGGGGATATACACAGAATTTGAATTGAAGTTTGTCCGTTCGTTCACGTACTTTATGCTGATGAAAATACCATATACATATTGCTGACTAAGAAAGTTTATTCAAAAGGTAATCGCGGTCGAAGATCACGAATCTGAGGTTAGTTCTTTTCTATTCATCAGGCTTCGACTTCTTCCTTTCTCTTTCCAAAAGAGATATTTTTCTGTATCTTTAATAGAATCTTTTATAGAATATAGTGATTTGGACAATATTCCTGGATGTGATATGCACGGAGGTAATAATTTAGGAGTTTACATAAAAAGATTTAGTATATCTTACCTTATGATAGTTATAACTCAAGAAATCAGAACAAGCGGTAAGAACTTAATATCATTATTGCATTATTTGTCAAGTGCGATGTCTTATATTTTTTGATAGAATTTTAGCCGGAAATATGTAGGAACAAGATGTGTTCGTCAGGGGAACTTCATCTTGTTAGCTACAGAAACATTGACTACACAAATAGTCATGAGATGCCTCATTCGACTTATATTATAAGTCGACCCCCGACCGGCTAATATCAATTCGAATATAATTAGATCTCTATATCACTCTTATAACAAGTGACTAGATAGGAATAGGAATAGATTGAGTTTCACTTATACCTATACCCTCATACCGACACTGCTACCTTCAACCTCACCCACACACGCATATCTTGAAGGTATGGATGCGAGGGTGTACGGGCATAAGTCAAACTAAATCTTTTTCTATTCCTCTGTTTTTGTAAGCGGCAACAAGGTAAATAGTCAGTATTTAAATGTATGTGATCAGAAGATTTTGATGAGTATTGGATGAGAATGATTAGTAAAAAGATTGAATCGTCGAGCAAGTTATCAATGATCAGTGACTGTTGGATGTGATCCGTAATTGAATTATTTGATCATCAAAATATAGAATGTATTGGTGTGCAAAGTAAATTATCAGTACTTAACTGTGTTTGATCAGTGAACCATCACATGTTTATCAATGTTCATCGTTCTGGAACGCCCATCGATTATTATATATCGGCTGACCTAGTGATAGATCGATAGATGTGTGATCTTCCTTGATTGCTATTCCCGTTTATCAGGCAAATATGTTCAGGACATCTTCCCTGAATCGTTTTTCTACGTACCTCTATATAAATACATCATTTTATCAGTCAAAGTAAGTAATTCCAACTTATATACATCATTGTAACTTTTGATTGGAAAGTTATTTAGACCTGCGGTTTTCACCATTCGTTAGAGGAGGGTCGGAGGCAGATACCTATGCGGGAAAGTCACCAGTCAAAGCTCTTCTTATAGTGGACTCTCGCTGACGAAATTTATCAGGTGTTAGCAGACCTTTCTAAGGACTTTTTTTATGATGCTGGTACTCCAACATGCCCACTGTACGTTGGTATCGACGGAATTTTTCTACTTTCCTTCCTGGAAATACCAGTGATATTTTAACATTGAAATTATACGAGGAATTTCTCACTAAGAAACGAAATTTTCCTAAACATATATTCAGATTACAACTTTTTTAGTTCACTTGATCTTATAATCTTTCAATTTCTTATAAAATCTTCTATAGCAATCGAGATCCTGTTGTTGATACACAAAAACGTATCGNGCATATATTCTTATATAGATTCTATGTAGATGCAGAAATCGTCACAGTTTAATCATTGCTTAGTTCAATAAAATCAGATCTTCAAAGTGAAACTGTCAGTTGTGAAAGAAAAATTCGATATCTGTGTTGAATATGATGATATACTCATACAACTGATTTCGATCTTTAATCAGTTTAATTTTTGACACATGCGATGAACGTGTCATGACCGAATCACATATACTATCCGCTGAAGAACCTTTTATTTACACACCATTCAATGCAATTGAGCAAAGTTTATTTTCTCTTTTTCTTAAAGTTGCGAATATAATTGTTTTATTAAAAACTAAGAAACGTATAAACACACGTTTCATACAATCATTGATTGTAGCATTTTGCTGAATTTTCATGAATTCAGGTCAATGCATGTGTTGATGTACTCTATTATGTATCGAAAGCAGAAACTTTCAATTACAAAAGTAAAAATCTAGTATTTCATTACATGCACAAATGTATGTGGATTATACAATTTCTACTATCGAAATTTTTATAAAAGGCAGGTGGAAGAAATCTTTGTAACTTTTGATTGGAAAGTTATTTAGACCTGCGGTTTTCACCATTCGTTAGAGGAGGGTCGGGGGCAGATACCTATGCGGGAAAGTCACCATTCAAAGCTCTTCGTACAGTGGACTCTCGCTGACGAAGTTTATCAGGTGTTAGTAGACCTTTTTAAGGACTTTTTTTATGATGCTGGTACTCCAACATGCCCACTGCACGTTGGTATCGACGGAATTTTTCTACTTTCCTTCCTGGAAATACCAGTGATATTTTAACATTGAAATTATACGAGGAGTTTCTCACGAAGAAACGAAATTTTCCTAAACATATATTCAGATTACAATTTTTTTAGTTCAGTTGATCTTATAATGTTTCAATTTCTTATAAAATCTTCTATAGCAATCGAGATCCTGTTGTTGATACACAAAAACGTATCGAATTAAAATAATTATGAATGAGAGAATACTTTTTTTTCTGTGTATTCTACTACTCGTCATCCGAATCTGTTTCTTCACTATCTGATTGTAAATAAGGTTCGACGTCTTCCTCCATAATTGTATCAGCTGTTTTGTACATTTCTTCAATTTTACTAACATGGTGAAAATACGAAGTTGCACGTTTATCATCCATTGCGACCATAAATTCCTCAATCAGTTGTTTCACATCATCCTGACGAAACGTCGTGTTTTGATCACGAACGAATTGCTTGAGACTATTCCACGACAATTCAATAGGATTGAGGCTACAATGTAGTTTTGGTAAACGAAATATTCCTATACCATATTTTTTTCCAATTTGATCACTCTATTCAACAAAATAATAAGGAACAACATAGTGTTAAAATCTCGAAATAGGAGTTTAAAATGGCTTACAATATATTCTTTAGGTGGACAATTGGCACACGCGAGCTCTAACAACTGAGCTTTGATGAATTTTTCCGAAAAATTAATTTTGTGATCTTTTAACCATTGTTGAATTTCTCCCTTTGGCGAAGCACGTTTCGGAATCACTGATTCTTTTGTGAGTTTATTGTGCCAAGTCGCGTTATCTAGACAGATAGCAATTCGATCTTTCTTTCCTAAGAAGAAAATGTCAAAAATCATTAGAAAATTCGACTCAAAATGCATCCGCTTACCAATCTCCTCTCTTAAGTTGCGCAAGTTGAATCCATATTATGATCTTCTGTACAAGTCCAAATATCAACTGATGGAATATGATAACCATTGACATCTATTAGTGCTGATACCGCCAGACGGGATCCTGTGAACAAAACAAATAATGACGTGTAAAAGGATACTTTACGAGTGATTTTATCGCTTACCTCTTCCACCACCTTTTTTGATTTAACCTTCGCCATTTAAAGTCCAAATAGATCGTTTAACTTCTCGAAGATTTATCCAAGTTTCATCGTGATAGTACAAATGAACATTAGCTGCTCGAAGTTCTTCTAGAGTCTGAAAATATTTCGCTCTNCGCTGACGAAATTTATCAGGTGTTAGCAGACCTTTTTAAGGACTTTTTTTTATGATGCTGGTACTCCAACATGCCCACTGCACGTTGGTATCGACGGAATTTTTCTACTTTCCTTCCTGGAAATACCAGTGATATTCTAACATTAAAATTATACGAGGAATTTCTCACTAAGAAACGAAATTTTCCTAAACATATATTCAGATTACAACTTTTTTTAGTTCACTTGATCTTATAATCTTTCAATTTCTTATAAAATCATCTATAGCAATCGAGATCCTGTTGTTGATATACAAAAACGTATCCGATTAAAATAATTATGAATGGGAGAAGACATTTTTTTCTGTGGATTCTACTACTCGTCATCCGAATCTGTTTCTTCACTGGCTGATTGGAAATAAGGTTCGACGTCTTCCTCCATAATTGTATCAGTTGTTTTGTACATTTCTTTAATTTTACCAACATGGTGAAAATACGAAGTTGCACGTTTATCATCCATTGCGACCATAAATTGCTCAATCAGTTGTTTCGCATCATCCTGACGAAACGTCGTGTTTTGATCACGAACGAATTGCTTGAGATTATTCCACGACAATTCAATACAATTGAGGCTACAATGTAGTTTTGATAAACGAAATATTTCTATACCATACTTTTTTCCCATTTGATCACTGTATTCAACAAAATAATAAGGAACAACGTAGTGTTAAAATCTCGAAATAGGAGTTTAAAATGGCTTACGATATATTCTTTAGGTGGACAATTCGCACACACGAGCTCTGACAACTGAGCTTTAATGAATTTTTCCAAAAAAATTAATTTGTGATCTTTTAACCATTGTTGAATTTCTCCCTTTGGCGAAGCACGTTTCGGAATCACTGATTCATTTGTGAGTTTATTGTGCCAAGTCGCGTTATCTAGACAGATAGTAATTCGTTCTATCTTTCCTAAGAAGAAAATGCCAAAAATCATTAAAAAATTCGACTCAAAATGCATCCGCTTACCAATCTCCTCTCTTAAAGTTGCGCAAGTTGAATCTAACCACGTGATAAAATGCGTTGAATCCATATTATGATCTTCTGTACAAGTCCAAATATCAACTGATGGAATATGATAACCACTGACATCTATTAGTGCTGATACCGCCAGACGGGATCCTGTGAACAAAACAAATAATGATGTGTAAAAGGATACTTTACGAGTGATTTTATCGCTTACCTCTTCCACCACCTTTTTTGATTTCACCTTCGCCATTTAAAGTCCAAATAGATCGTTTAACTTCTCGAAGATTTATCCAAGTTTCATCGTGATAGTACAAATGAACATTAGCTGCTCGAAGTTCTTCTAGAGTCTGAAAATATTTCGCTCTTGCTGCAACAAAAGCCTGTGAATCTAATGCAATTTTGATTTTTGATGTTCGTTGATATATGAAACCAAGCTAAAAAANAGAGCTTTGAATGGTGATTTTCCCGCATAGGTATCTGCCCTCGACCCTCCTCTAACGAATGGTGAAAACCGCAGGTCTAAATAACTTTCCAATCAAAAGCTACAAAGATTTCTTCCACCTGCCTTTTATAAAAATTTCGATAGTAGTAAGTCGACGAAGTTGTTCGTCATCATCCGCCGTCAGAGTCAGTTGTACTTCAAAGAGCTGACTGCTTTCGTCTATTCTCTTCAGTTGGTTGATGCGGAAGATGCTATGCATGGAAAAGAGTATCTCCGCTTCGGTTTGAAAATAGCTGGCGGATTGAATATCAGCGAACGGTGTTGACGAAATTGTCGGATCGACAGTTATGACGAAAAGAATTCCGACCATGTCCGTCTTCTTTGAAGAACCTTGAGCGAAGCTTAGAGAAACTAATCTTTCCTTACTAGTGGAAAGAAAATTGTTGAACGATATCAGTCCACCTTGTGCATTTTTCAGCTTCTCGAAATAGATTGTCGAGAGTCCTTGTCCTCGGTAAACGATAAAAGGCTGATCACGATACTGACCAATCTGCTCTTGGTGCAGTTGTTCAATTTGTCGATGGAGATCATGAATAAAGAAACCCATGTTGACGATTATGTCCGCCTCCAATAATCGGAGGGCTAGATTAAGCATCTGGTAAGTAAAGCATTCCCGGGTATACCACCAAATTGCCTTATTTGAACAATAACTCCGCTCAAATTCATCGATGATTGTCAATTCGCATAGGTTACCAGCATATTTTCTTCTGCAGTAGTTTATCAAGTCTTGACGAGATTGTTCATTGTGTTCCATATCAATCAAGGTGTTCTTGAATAATTGGGTGTACATAAACGAAGGCTCCAATTGATTTAAATCGGTAGTGGAGCTCATGTCATCCGAGACAACAAAGCTTACTGGTATGGCATCTTGATTGCATTGCTTGACGGAAGATCGGAGGGCCTCACAGATAGGTTGAATGTGGTTGTATACACCTTTGATCTTGGGCCACTTTGTAATCCACTGTTTGTGTGCTGTCTGATTACCACAAAATATGTAAATAGAATTCACCATTGCCATTGAATGAATTCGTGGCACTAACTCTTGTCCCATATAGCCTGAACTAATAACGAAGACTTCCTCCGTATGAATCCCTTGCAGAAAGTCCACACACTGATCTAGTTGGCTGAATATTGTTACATCATTGATCTCATTAC